TTGCGCCTCCATTAGCCGACACCCCGTGTGTAGGCGAACAAGAATATATAATAAGGAGCTCTCGCTTATAGTCTACGCTTAAAGGAATAGAGGCTAGAACTTATAAGAGTTTCTAAGGTAGTAGAAGTGCTAATAGACTATTATAGGCTTAAATACTTTTACTCTAAACGTAATCTTAATCGTTAATAAGCCTACTAGGCTAAGTTCTTAAAGGAATTTGACTTTTATATATAATACTGCCCTAGTAAATAAGGTACTAAGCCTAATAGCCTTACCCGCTAAATAGGAGACTTACTAGACTTAGTTATAGACGACTTAGTCTAGCACTAATACTAAACTATCTTAAGTTCTAACTAATAGAGCGGTAGCTATACTGCTGTACGCCTCGCTAGAGTATGTCTAGGCGATAATTCTTATAACCTAGGCTCTATCCTTACACTAATATAAGAGAGCGGCGAAGGCGCTTTACTATCTACCTCTATAATATTAGTAGGGTTAGACTACTTCTTCCTAAAGGGCACCTATAACCTATATAACGATATTAAAGGAGCTAATAATCGCCCCCTTAACGATGTCCTCTTAGAGCTCTACCTTAGCGACCTACGCCTACGCAATATAAAGATAGCCCTCGCTTCTAATAACCGCTGTATCCTATATTACCTTATAGTAGAAGTAATAATAATACTGTAGTTAAGTCCTTAGTAGAGGAGTTTAGCTTTATCGCAAGCGAGCGGCGGCTACAATGCTACTACTATATACTTAACCTAAGTGCACAATTAGTAACTTAGGGCAAAGACCGTAGCGCGTATAAGAATAAAGCCGCACATCTTAAGAAAGAGAAGAAGTACATAGATAAGTAGTGTAAATACAGTCCTATTAGCGTCCTCTTTGACGTAATTGCGTCTATCTACACGCCTTAAACTCAACAACTACTAGAGCGCCTATAGCGCGAGGAGGCAGAGTCTCTAAGTGTTACACCATATATCTAGCAGCTTGTGAAGCCTATTAAGACACGCTAGAATAGCTATTTCAACACGTTTGTCCGCGCAGCTAAGCTACACGGCCCTATCGATAGCTATATTAAGTGTAAACTTAAGGAGCATAGTACTATAACAGCAACCTCACGACGCTAGAAGAATTATAAGCAGTTCCCTATTGCCTAGCTATGATTATATATACGCGAAGGGGGTTTAAGCGGCAAGGACTAGGCAATAATAATAGAATATATTTAACTCCTTAAGCTATTTACTAAAGCTACAAGGCTACTTAAAGATCGAAGCTAACACGGCTGGCACAGCGCTATATAGGAAGTTCTAGTAACATTTAAGTAGCTTCTTAACTAGCTTAAGGCTCTTAAAGACCGCCTTAAGGATGTATGTAAGGGTCTCACATAGGTCAGGTATTTGAAACTGTGTTGAATTACAAAGTAATTGCAGTGCAGAGCTTGTAAGAAGCTCTGCGCGGAATATATCTAAGTGGGGGTGTGCATGGGCCACCAAACAGGTGGCTCGTGCGCGAACATCAAAACAACGCTAAGGCATCTGGCAGGTGGCCTGTGCGGGGCAACGGCCCAAAACCATCACAATGTAAATTACGGAGATCTAGACGCGCCTAAAGATTATCTTATTATAAACGTTAACCTTGCGCATTGTAAGCTTGCTAAGTACTACGCAAAATTCGATAACGCGCCTATCTACTACACTGCTATAATACTACACCCGCACTACAAACACTACCTCTTAGCGCTCTAGAAGGTGCCTAACACCTATGTTACTGCCTGTAACGGTGTCCACTATCGCGACGGCTAGCTTAATAATAACTACTAGGCATTCCTGCGCATATAGTAGGGGCGGAAGGACTCTATAGCTACTTTAGCTTACACTATAAAGCCGCCGCGTAAGAAGCCCTAGCTAGGGATTTTAACGTCGCGATTAGCTTTTCTATAGTCATTAATTAAGTAAAGCACATAGTAGTTAGAGGCAAGCCTTGCTAAGGATAAGTATAAAATATAGAAGCGGCAACTAGCGTTAGCTAAGGAGGATTAGCTATCTCTTAATCTGCTTCTATACTAGGAGTTAGTTACTAGATAGTTCACTATACTCTTAAAGTTTACTCTCAACGTCCTAATAATACTAGCAGCAGCGGCAGACTGTAAGCGGACTTTTAGCGAGCTTAGCGACATGTTAGGCACCTAGAGACTCTATATAAAGCTAGAGCTTATTTTAGCTTTGCAGAGCTTAAAGAGCTAGAAGAGGCTTAGTATATAGCTAATAACTACCTTAGCTTCTAGGCTAGCGCGCACACTATTAGAGGAAGAAATCTTAAAAGTATAGGAGCATTTATCTCAGTTCGACGTTAGGTAACTTAGTTCAGTCAGTCTAGTCAGTCCGTAGGCCGCGGCGACGTCAGTTCAGTCACTCAGTTTTAGTTTAATTGAAAAGTCTTAGCAGTCAGTCCAGTCCAGTTCAGTGACCTCAGGACGTCAATTCAGTCAGTCCAGAGAGCTCCGGACTGACTGAACTGACTGATAGCAACTCTGGGAGCATGACCATGTCGCGTTCACCCGGACCATAGCTCATGAGCTTCTCCAGCCTTCTGCAAAGGGTGTCAAGGAGGTTTCCTCCGATGATGGTGGCGCTCTCCGTGGAAAGAATGCCTATCCACTTCATTCCGTCAATGATGCGCTCTCCTTCAGCCTCGTCGGCGAAGCGCGCAACTTGCTTGATGCGGGAGATGAGAGAGCTAATGCCGTATAAGCAAGAGATATTCCAATATGGAAGGTGGGACTTACTTTGCGTCCGTGCCAGATGCAGCAATCCCAGTTTGCTGCATCTCCGCCCACGTCATGCCGTCCTTCAGCCAATCCTTCTTGTCCCGGTCAAGCCAACCCAGATTAGCCAACGCTTGCACGAAGGCTGGGTTTCCTTTGTATCGGAGCGAACCGCGGATGACTGTATGAGCTTCCGGAATACCATAGAAGTCTCGGGATGGCACTGAGTCGCGGTTAGGATAAGCCACGAAGTCATAGCCGTCCATGACGTAGTAAGATGTTGCCGACATCATGAGGTTCTCGGAAGAGATCTCCTGCACTTTGTTGTCCCTAAGGAATCGTGCAGAATTGCACTGCGAAAGAAGCGCACCTCGCGGAGACCACGAGAACTTGAAGCCAAGGGGATTGTCGACGCATTCTGGGTCGGGAAGCCCGCCACAGTATAAATAGAATTCGAGAACTTTACCGCCCTTTTCGTGAACATCGTCGATCTTCTTAATAGCATAGAGGTGGTCTACGCCGGGGTCTACGCCAACTTCATTCAAGACAGTGATGCCGGCCTTCTTGGCGTCTTCGTCAAGTTTCCGTATGGCATCTGAGATGTAACTTGTCGTAACGACTTGTGTGCTACCCTTGAGGGCGGCCTTGATGACTGTTGAATGGTGTATGTAAGGGATGAGTGAGATGACCACGTCATGTGCCGCTACTTGCTCTTCGAGAGCCGCTTCAGAGGCAACATCCAGAGCGATGGCAGTAGTACGAGGAAAGTCAGCAGCGAGCTTCTGAGCCGATTCTAGCGTTCGACATGCTGCAGCGTATTATTAACTACGATATGTAGATGATATCACACAAGCTTACCAACAGTAAGGTTGTTGATCGGGTTGCGAGACAGATATTCCAGGCATGGTGGTGCCACCATGCCACTTCCAAGTACAAGGATTTTCTTGCTAGCGTTAGCCATCGTTTATTGATGGGAATGATGGTGTTGAGAATTGAGTAGGTACTGCTGATGTGGAAGGCAAGATGATAAAAGAACTCAGATCGATGAAGGTAATCCCTTCCGAAGATCATGGATCTGTTGCCCCTTCTTTGCCAAACTCCGAGTTGACTCCGCTGTCCGTCAACTGGTTCTCTCCATTTGGTTTGTTCAGTACCCTTTACATCATCTCAACAGCTCCGATTGGCCAACACATCCCATGCATGTGATGATGAGAGTCATAGTTGGTTGAAATGAGCTCTGGATTGCAGTCACTCCGGATGTGTTCCGAGCTGCATTCCCAGCTTCAAGCCGAAGTGGATTATGTACCTATACCCATATATACAGCAGTGATTCTTACTGACCTAGAGGACCAAGTTATTGATCCAAGCGTGATACCGTAGTTTCTCTGTTCCTGTCTCATGCTGCAACAGCAGCAGCTACCGGCGCCGCGATCCTGGTGATCTGATCACCGGCCCTTACTACACCAAGACTCTCGGGATCTTTCACTGCTCTTTCACCCGTTCGTTTCCAAACCTCGACTTCTTGACCGCCCCTGAGAATCGCTACGCGCATAGTCGAAAGCAGGTTGTGCGCCGCATTCGAATGCTCATACACACCGCCGTTGAATATCGCAGTCGCATCCTTTCCGATTGCAGACTTGATGAGTGCCTTGCCGCCTGGGTGATCCGCAACAAAAGGTGAGACATCGTGGATTACTCCGGCAATAGCGACTAAAGCTGCTCCATTAGCGGAGGCCTGAGTTTGGAAGTCATCCCAGGAGATGACAGGAAGCTGGGCTAGCGGAGCACCCCAGTCAAGCCCCGATCGCTTCTTGTCGAGAGCCTTTTGTTGCTGCTGCAGACGGCCTTTTTCGATTTCGTTGAACCGAAATGTCTTTAGATCGTAGGCCAGCGGAAAGAATGGTATCTTTGAAAAGGCCCAGATGAGCCATTTGGTAGGGTCGTACTGGTACCAGACAATTGCATTGCCTATCTTTATTAGCCAGAGACTAGGAGCGTTTTGTGTAGAAGCTTACGATAGTCACTGGGAAACTCGTGGTGGAAGTTGTGATACCCTTCTCCCATTGTTACCAGAGCAGTTAGAACATGGTCCCTTGGGCTCCTTCGATCGTCGAATGGTTGCTCGCCAATCCAATGTGCGAGACTGTTCACACAAAAGGTAGCCTGCTGAACCAAACAAGCCCTTATGATTCCTGCATACACCAATCCGCCCCACCAATCTCCCCATCCCAATCCGGCCACAAGAGCAGGAAAGATCCAGGCGGCCAGGGGAAGAATCAAGGTATAGTGACGGTGTTGGAATACGATAATGGGATCGCTATCGAGATCCGAAATATTCGTTCGTCCCTTGTTCTTTGGATCCTCGTTTGTTACCAGCCAGCCGATATGTGAGAATAAAAGACCCCGCATTACAGAGTACGGATCTTTCATTGTATCCGTCCATCGATGGTGAGCGCGGTGTTTAGCGCTCCACCATCGAATCGAGCCTTGGATCGCTCCAGCTCCCACGAATGCCAGGAATAACCGTAGAGGAAGCGCGGCAGAGTAGCACCGATGGCTCCATAATCTATGATATCCGCCTGTGATACCAAATGCGGTCATACCATAGTAGAGAATCGTCCACAAGAGGGTCGGTCGAGTGAGGGTTGTATTCCGCGCCAGACAGAGACCGTATATTGGTATAAGCACAACAAGCGTGGTGTTAAGCCAATCTATGTGCCTGTACCAATTCTTCCATGTGAAGGGTTGTTGTGAGATGTGAGGTTCCTTTGGTTGTGCGGGCATGGCGGCATCTGAGCGGATTGAGGCGACCATGGAGGGCAATGGTCTCTATCTGACAAGCAAAGAAGCAAGCGATTGAGCGATTGGAGAGTCGGACATGTATATTCTTTTGACACGAACTCCAGCCTTGTATATGTACCGACACTACATTTGATCCGGAAGATACCGAATGCACCAAGGACTCTCGGTCGGACAATGGTGCGTTCACGGCGAGACTAAATGCTCCGCCCCGGGTACCACGGACTTTCTGTAAACTATAGAGGCCCATTGTGATTGGTTGCAGGGGCGGCAAGCATGGGATTCATGCAGTTCACAGTGCCCGGTGTAGTTAGTAGACATGCAGGAACATGGCGTTTTATCGGCTTCGCGGATTTCGGTGACGAGATGGTCGAGCATGCAGAGTCAAAGATGCACGTGGCGGGGGACTTCATCCCACCTTTTTTTCTTCGTTATCCGCGCCATTCTCCCCTAGCATAATGGTTCTCACTGCGCATAGGTTGCAATAACGAAGCGCCCGGTTGATATTCGTATTCTAACTCTTTCCCCCATGCAAGAGGTTTTGGCAGCGTATTTAGTGGGGCGTCTACAGTAGTGTGTGGAGGCAACGCTCCTCAACACTTGAGGGTATTCAAGTAGTACGATACTGTTTGCATGACACATTTGATAGCGTTCAATTGTCATGGATTCGTTACTTCTCGTCGGATTTGAAGGGCTAGCTTCTTTCGATGCATATTTGCGAGGGTGTTTGGGTAGTCTTAGGCGTGCCGGTTGGTGGCTGCACGTTAGAACGGAGGATGACGCGTGGCTAGTGCTAGCGCAGAAGTAATGTAGGTCTAGTCTATACCAGGATCCCGCATTCTACGATACTGACAGATGGTTTTTTTAGGAAAGATAACCTCAGCCCTGTACTAGGCAGAAAGCAGTCGTGGGATTCAGCAACTCTCACACGTAGCTCAATGCAAATCATAGTTTGGAATGGTATATCCAATCGTGGTTCTTAACTGGCATACTGTAGCCTACTTCTTCGAAGGGACTTCTTCCCACTGTACACCAACCCACTCTTCGACGTACCCTACCTCACCTTCTGGGACATCGTTGGGCTTGCAGTCCTTACTACACACGGCCATGATGATAGTACCCCACTCCATACCATCGATGCTCATCTCTTCCGCCTCCAACTCAGTAATGGCGTGTGGTGTCAGCTGGACTTCGAACACTCTATCAGCGCCGCAAGTTTGGCAACGAGGGTAGCCTGACCCACTCCTCGAGCCTACGGTTGTGACGTTTGAATTTGATGAAGCGCCGTTCTCTGAGTGAGGCCCTAGGAGCTTGCCGACAGCGTCTTTGTCGCTATATAAGAGCGGCTTGCCCTTGAATTCGTAGCGCAGAACTTGCTCGGCGTTCTCGCCTACGCGATCTGCAAACTTCTGGAATGTCCTGTCCATGGATGACTCAAAGACTTCCTTGTCTTCTTTCCCTCCACCACTCCCGCCACCTTCGGTATCGATATCCATGCGCGCATTCGCTGGTATTGAGGGCGTTGATGGAGCGTCTAGTGTCTCATATTCGGCATCGAGGTGGTAGTGCGGGAATGGCGTAGGGAAGGCCGAGTCGGCTGGCCATGGCTCGTAGGGACGAGGTGGTTGTTGTTCGGAGGGTGACGGGGCGGCTATGCGGGCTTTGGCAGCAAATGTCTCTGGGAGAGTCGTAGAAGCCTCATCTTCCTTCTTTTCTGGCTGCGTGATCTGGACAGCAGGCGCAGGTGTCGCGGCACCAAATGGGTTCGTGCTGCCTGACTGCGAGAATGGATTTGCGCCGTTCGGCTTGGATGCGAAGGGGTTTGAAAAGGGGTTTGCTGGGATGGACGCGCTTCCTCCATTCTTGACGCCAAACAGTGACTCGCCTATCTTGGGTTGTGGCTTTTCCTCCTGCTTGACTTCCTTTTTCTCCACCTTCTTCGCAGGGGCCGACTTGGCGGCGCCCTTTGCGATGCGCACACCACGGATTCCCCTGACACTGCCCTCCTTCCGCCTGCAAGTCTTGCGCCGACACGTCCAGATGTACAAGCGCCGCTCGTGACCTAGAAAGTGGTCGGGCAGGTCGCCGTTGAGTTCGAGGAGCAGACTAAGCAGGCCATGACACACTTTACATTTGGCCAATGCGCCAGAAGGAGCCGTCTTGTCGTCTATCCAATTCTACAAAGTCTTAGTGACAGTCTTTGACTGCAATTCGCACTATACGCACCGGAGCGCCTCCAACGTGGGAAATGGCGTCGCCCGTGGCATCCTTGGTCGCGTAGCCTAGCAGGACGTTCGTCTCGGTATAGTCATCTCTCCCATCCGAGGAATCACTATCATAAGGCGCCATGGTGTGAATCTAACTCGGTGCAAATACTCGGTGTATATATTCTCGCGCTGATTCTTTGGCGGGGTCTAACTTTTTTGAAAATGACGCGGGGCGGGTTAGTGCATGGCCAGTGCACCAGCTCGCACTGAGCGAATTTGACCAAGCCCTCAACACCAACTCCTCGTCGCTCATCCACACAACCACCATGGGCGTCCCTTTTGACTTCGCGCCTGAGCGGCCCGATCACATGCAGCAGATCCTCGATGGACTGGATCGCTACAACCCGGAGACGACGGGCGTCTTCCAGGACTATGTCATGCAGCAATGCGAAAGCCAGACATATGACTGCTACGCCAACCTCGCCCTCCTGAAGCTGTACGTCAACCTCCCTTTCTTCCTGCAAAGCTACACGATGAAGAAACAACCACAACGTTTCCTATTACCCGAGGGATGGGGCTTGAATCACTCCGCCCGCTGAAGTTTATTATTAGCTCTATCTGACAGCTTTCACTACCACTACTCTTGTACCCCAGCATCTTTGGTACCTCTCACTAACCGCGAGAATCTAGCTACCAATTCAACCCCCACCTTGCCCGTGATGAGACAATCACCAACATCCTCGTCAAGGCTCTTACCGTCTTCCCGAGCCCCGACTTCTCCCTGGGTCTCTCGCTCCTTCCCCCACACGTCCTAGCTCCTTTGTCATCCTCACTACACAACCCAGCAGCTGGCGATGCGCCGCTATCCGAAGCTGTCCAGAAGCTCAACGAGCTGAGAAATCTGCTCGAAGGCGCTGACTACGCCACCTTCTGGTCAACGCTCGACTCTGATGACCTGTACGCCGACTTGATTGCCGACGTATCAGGCTTCGAGGAGCTTATGCGCGTGCGCATTGCTGCTACTGTCAGCCAGGCTGTGCGTGAGGTCGACCGAAGCATCCTCGAGTCATGGTTGAACCTCTCGGGAAGCGAATTTGACCACTTTGTTGGAAGCGTGTGCGGATGGAACGTTGATGGTGCTAAGATCAAGGTACCCATTAACAAGGACAACGAGGCTAAGGGCACCGTTGTCCGGGAAAACGTCAAGTTTGATCGTAAGTTTGTCGTAGTCGTATGCCGATTGGCTGCTAACAATCATTCTAGAATTTGCAAGGGTTATCAAGAGGGCGTACGAACAGCCTGCATGAGCGGTATGATTTACAGTACGACGACATGAGGCTACGGTATGCACGGATGGCGTTTGAGGAGGACACTACAATTGCATCAGTATGCGACAGAAGCGTACAGTCAGCCTTCGACAGCAACGCAGGTTGATTTCGACGGTTCACTATATACCCCAAAAGTACGCCGCTATGAGCAGGGGCCTTGGAGTAGACATGCTTCTTGAGCCTATAAAGATCCAATCATATCAATCCGACAAAACATTCTCCCATCTGCTGTAACTCTGTTGTGTCCCGCGAAAATACCAATTAGGTCTGACAATCCCTAATCGCAGCATTCACGAACTAACAACGATCCCTGATGCGTCGTCCCTGTCGACGTCTCGCCCAGACTGCTGCTTGTGAAATAGTCCGCTTTGCAACCACATTTGTCTCGTTGCTTTAAGTGGTGCCAAGGAACCAGCAACGGCCCCGTGAATCTCGCTTGCGTTTGCGCCACCGTCGACCCTACCAACCGTCCATCCGACGTCGATGTAGAGTCGGACGTCCAGCAGTATATAAAGGAGTGGCTCGGTGCTTTAGCTGCTTTGGTTCAGAGTTTGGCCCCTACAAGCTCGACCCTGTCTAACATGGCCACAGACTGGAGCGTGCTTTCTTGTGGTCATGTTGTATTCGTGTGCGTTTGGTCGGGGAACTTTGACAGCCAGGACACATGAAGTTGTTTGTAGTCATCTTCCCCTCTTACTTTTATCTGTTCCTGCTTTCCCTTCTTATTTCACCTCCATTCTTTTCTCACTTTTACCCTCCTCCCCTGTCAGGCGTTCTAGGAGTCCAAGTTTCTTTCTTTTTTCCATTTGGCACGTGGGGTACTCCATTTCCTTGACTCACTACCCTGTCTCGTCTCTCACCTGACCCGCACCCCGACGCTTTTTCGTGTCCACGGGGGAGGGTTTTCTTTTGGTATTACCGCATTAGAGTCCGGCGCTGGGAAGTAAAGGCAAAAAGGACCCACGTGGCCGCCACTAGACTATCTTAAATCGACGACGGCGGAGACCACGTTACTTGGACTAGTGACCTTTCAAGTCTCACTTGATAGCTCCATTTCACTTAGCAGGACCCTTGCTATAGCATCCCTGCTTTACGGGCGCCTGAAATCGTCATCATCTCCGACCTGTTTATCGACTTGCTTTATTGCATTAATTCTCCGCGATACCACATACCCGGGTAGCCACTGCTAAAGGCGAAGGATCAATTCGATAAAAAGCTTGAAACAAACTTCAACGACCGACACCGACCCTGGGACGAGGAAACGACACACAACTACATCATCAGCAACAAACCTCCAACCACATACCAAACATGATCTTCTCACAAACCCCCACCACGCTCATCCTCTCAATCCTCACGGCCTCTACCTTCACCCACGCCCTCCCAACAACAACATATCCACCACACCCCCTCTGCAAAAACACCCTCACAAATCCATCCTTCGCCACCGGCTCTCTCACCCCTTGCTCGACATGGTAACCGGATCCTGGTCCATGCGCGGCATCACAACCACTTCCTCCAACTCCTCAGGTCCATACATATACACGGCCCACTCAAACAGCACCACGGTTACCGCCACACTCGCCCTCTCGCAGTCTTACATCACCATCCCCGCCGACTCAACAACAACGACGGTAGAGTGCTACGCCTACGTCCGCTCAGACAGACCAACCGGCCAGACGCGCGTGCAAGTTTTTCTGGATGCGCTGAGTTGTGGTGAGGCTGTGGCTTTGGGTCCAGGAGAGGGGAGAGAGTGGACGAGGGTTGGGGGGAGGGTTGCTGTGGGTGAGGGGGATAAGGTGGTGGGTCATACGGTTGCGGTTAGTGTGCAGGGGGATGGGGTTGTGGGAGGTGCGGGGTGGAGTGTTGATTTGAAAGAAGTTGGTGTTGGTGTTGGGGAGGGTTGTTGAGGGGGGCGTTCTTGGGAACTTGGGAACTGGACAGGACTGGACTGGACTGAACCAGGGTTATTTGCATGTATTTGGGAACGGTTTCAGCTACCCATAGGAGCTGTGGGATGGAGTTTGTGGCATAATGATCTTATCAAGATTTCATAGAAAAGATAGTCTCTTAATCACTAAATCTGTAATTCTCCACTTTACTTCACAATCAACTCAAAAAATTCTTCAAAGCGTAATCAGGCTCGCTAGCCTTGGAGATCTATTCAGATTGACTTGATGAGAACCCAGTATATGTACGCAACGCCGAACAATCCCCGCTATACTCCCTCTCGTTAACCAACAAGAACGTGTGCCAAGCGTGTCAGATGATGATGATGATGATGCCAAACGAAGGTGCCCTGTACCGTACTCGTTGCCCAGCTATTCAAAATGTAATGTAATGGATATCGTAGTGAAAGTCCCCGTTCGTGCTCTCAGTTCGCCTGGATATGCAATTTCTAGTAAATTCAAAGGGCAATGCGATCAAAAGGCTGCGTATTCGTCGTTGGGTGGAAGCTTGTAGTTCTCCGTGTGCAGTCCCTTGAGCGCCTCCTCGCCGTCCTTGGTGAGGTCTGGTTTGCCCACGGGGGTAACGGCACCGGTGAAGAAGCGTGGCTTCCATTCCTTATCCGCTGCCTTGCGCTCGGCCGCCTTTGCCCTTTGCTTCTCCTCGATTTCCGTCTTGAGCGTGGTGGCAACCCCGTATTGTTTGCCTACTATGGCATTCGTCACGCCGTCCCAGAACTTGAGCGATTCGTTGGGAAGCTGCTCCTCAAGTGGCGGGACGATCTTGGGGATGGGGTCAAGCGGATTGAGATCGATGATAAGGTTCTTCTCCTGAACAGGCGTTAGTTTGGCCCTTTATGCCAGCGTTCGGGTACTTACAGGGACCTTGGTGTAGGGCTTGCTGCCCAGAGTGTAGTAGACCTTGTCTTGCCAGTTGCCTTCTATTCGCGCAAGGACATCCTTTTCAGGCACATCCTTGATCTTCATTACCGTATCCTTGCTGGGGTCGTATTTGAAGATGACTCCCATAACCTTGTTTTGCGATCGGCCGAGCCAGCCCTCCTCCTGGTACTCTAGAATCGTCTTCAGCCCAGTCTTTGGGCAGGTGATGAAGCAGCTATCCGCAACGGACACATTGAGGGAGCCTATAGGGGTTGTCAGTAAAATGCACCTGCTATCTTTATCTTTGCTGGTCGGCTCATACCTCGGAGAATGCCCCCCAGGTACGCGGCTGGATGTGTGAGCTGGTACTCCTCGTTATCTCGGTTCTTCAGGTTGATGAAGATGCCCAAGTTGTGCGCTCCAGCCACAACGCGCACGCTTGTACCCGTAAACTTTGCGCTAAGCTGATCATAGCCTCGTGCGCTGATACCCTTCTCGGGGCAGTCGACGTAAAAGGCAGAAACGGGAGGGTGGTGCGACGTCTGCTCGGTGAGGTACGAGACGGTGACAGTCTTGCCATCGCCCTTGACGCTGTTGGCGGCGCTCGAGGGTGCCGATTTGGGCGTCTTGAGCGTGGGGTGGGTATCTTCGATTTTCCAATTACACTGGTAGGTTGGTTAGCAGACAACTCTCATAGGCATCAGAAAAACACGTACCCTGAAGAACTCGCCCAGTGTGGAGTTGTAGGGCTTGCATGGCTTTCCCTTGACGTATTTCTGCGCCACGTTAGCTATGCCACTCATGTCGGTGTATGTGTACCGCATACCAGGTCCTTGGTAAACCAGAAGCGCAGGGTTCCGAGCATGCGCCCCAAATCATCGTCTGAATCTCCGATGCTGCGCGAGTCAGTATGAAGTCCTGGAAGCGTGGCTTGGGCTGTTCTGACCTGATGAAGGTGTCCGGTCGGTCTAGGTAGTGCCAGTACTCTGTTATCCGTCAGAACCATGCTTCAACCACAGCAAAAGCATCCAACAACGTACCCAAATTCGGTCTCGGCTCGAGGAGTTGGGCGGGGAGGGAGAATCGGACGGCAGCGAGATCGGAAACGCCAATGAATCTGCATAGAGAGGCCGAGTTAGCAGTTGCGCCTCAATGTCTTTGGTGTGGCGGTGCCGCCTGCAGCTATAGAAGGGCAGTACTACGTTACCTCCTCAGTATGCCCAGAAACGTCTTGAACTTTGAGCTGTCATCGGGCGCCTTCTCCGCTACCGCAGCGTTCAAGGGAGTCGCCGCCCGTGAGTTATCCCGCGAGTTGATGACCGAGGAAGGCGCGGAGCCAGTTGGGCCCTTTTCAGGAACAGGGTCCGCCATGTAGGGCAAACGAGAGCTGTCTTGTTTGTTGCAATATAGAGTAGAAGGGAGAGCGCGAAGCTGAATCCGGTGACTGATGAATAGTGTCGTCAAGTGTCGAGCCGGTGTGCTTTTCGAGTCACTTGGCGCATGCGCTGCTGCACTGACGTAGCGCCGTGGATAGCTTTCAGTTCACCTGGCCCGTGAGAGTGGCGGCGGGGTAGTCGAGTTGAGAAGAGAACAAGAAACAAGACCACAAAGCTACAGACGGCAGCATGCACATGCGACTCCAAACCACGGTTATCTTCAATCATGCCCATTCTACGGGTTGCGCTTTCTCCCCTCTAGCGTGCCACTATCATACTGTACATGTTTCTCGCGTCTGCTGCAAGTCCGAACGCGCAATAGGAGCATGCATTGACTGGTCGGTCGTGCAGCCCTTGATTGGGTCCAGTCTCGCCGCCCGCCCAAACCCCTACCATGTTTCACACCCGTCCAAAGCTTGCTTCAAACCGCATGAGACGTAAGAGAGCTCGTGATGGAGTCGCGATAACTATTCGACCTACACCACCGGAAACCATAATCTCCATGTGACCTCGCCCTTGCGCCCATGTCCGTACGTGACAACGCCCAAGTGCGAGACACCAGGGTCAGGCCCTAGTCGCCGTCATCGGCAATACTCAATACTATACAAATCATTGCCCACCGCCTACGCCTACACCTTCAGACACCGCCCCTGCTGCCACTCCTCCGTCAGTTGTAATCCCGCCAAACACCCACTTCACATGCCTGGGGCGTGTCGACATAGATCTCGACATCGTACCACTCCTCCACAGGACCCCCAGCGCTAGTCAACCTGTCCAGAACTAGCCAGACTTCTCCCTGCATGCCCAGCTTCGGATCGATGTTAACGCTCTCGGACCGAACCATGGCAGAATCGGCGTAAGATCCGCCTTCGCTAGCGGTAATGAACTTGCGATCCGGGCCTCGACCAATCTCAACACAGAGCCGTAGCGGACTCCGGGCTAGCTTGTCCGTATCCGTTGCCCGAGGGCTAGTTGCCTTCATGAAGCGGGCAATGATGGTATACGAAGCCAGCCGCATGAGCCGCAGCGGCGCTGCCACTTTGTTGATGCTTGGACTGAAGCATGCCGGCGCTAGCTTCATCAAAAGCAACCCCGCCCCCTCGCGCGGAATTTGCTTCAGCTCCATGTCGCTGGTGCTATCCACTCGAAGTTTGTAGCCGCCAGTGAGTCCAGATTCAAACAATGAACAGATGAGCGTGTAAGATCCCGCCTGGACGTCCTTGATTTCTGCATAGACACATCCACTTCGATGATTGCCAGAGTCTCCAAATACATCTCGGCTCTGGAGTCGATACAGTCTCTTACCGTGGCCAATGGCAAGTTTTACATGCAAAGGGTGTTCGTGATCTGTACCCGTCAATAGAATCGCTAGCGAGCCCTGTTCACGCATGATGAGTGAGTACTGAGGGTTGTCAAAGTACCTTGCCGAGTCAGTACTACCACCCGCCGTTTGCCTTGTCCACGCTCCCTCTTCCAGCTTTTGTATGGGGAATCGCTGCTTTGCCGGCTCCAGTGTGATTGGCGTGTTGGCGAAAGCAGACAAGGTGAAAGAGTAGAGAGATGAAGGCAACTCGTCCTGATCAATCACTACAGTGTAGCTTGATTTGGCCTTTGCATTATCGCGGAGGAGGCACTGTGGAGTTGTGACATAGTCGCTGGACTCTAGGTAGGTATCCTTGACGTAGAGTCGATCTCCCTGTCCGTTGCAGATGTATATGCTCATGTAACCCTTTGGGGTCTCTTCGTGGGTGTGGAATTGACTCTCAGGGAGCATGACGCCACCGTCGACTGTATCGGACTCTTTCTTGGTAGGCGCCGGTGCGTCCTGGAAGTGGCGGCTTAGAAGAAACCACACCGGACCCGCTTCTTTACAGGTAAAGGCAAATTGAGGATGCTCGAAAATGCATGCACCTGGTGCTGGTGCTCCGACGTTCCACTGAAAATGAATGTCCTGCCGATATTGGAACAATCCCGGATTCCAGTTCAGATACAGGCCCTCAAAGTGCTGTATGACTTGCTCCAGTCCGATCCAGAATGTTGTTGGGTGCGGTCGCTCAGGAGTCGGAATGCTGTCCTTGTGGTAACACTCGAGGCTGTTATTGGGCTCCCGGTCCGATACAGACGCATCCATGGCTGCCACAGCCGATGGGCGAGGTCCACGCCAGCCTTTACCTTCTACCCATGGGTTCTTGACAAGTAACAGCCGGTCGGGGCCTACCTCCCTCATGTCCAATACGGCATAACTGTGTTGGGCTTCTAGACCAACTTCCTGCTCTTGTTTGCTCGACATCTTTCCGGTGCCTGCAGTGACAAGGACATCTCCATACATGAAAGCGTTGTAGATGCGTTTCCACAGCTGATCGGGAACAGTGTCGGTCCTAGAGACGTTAGTACCATCCAAAGCACCTGCGAACATCACTTACTCTTGCAAGAAGACTTGCTCTGGAATCCAGCCAGTCATTGTGAACAGGTCACTACAGGAACTACTGCCTGGGAAGTCGTAGCCACCTCGAACTTTGAGGTAGGCTTTCTCTAGGAGTGGTGGCCATAGCAATGCTGGGTTACGGCGGTCGTGAACGTGAAGCAGCCGATAGGTGTTTGAGACGGGTAAGCGATCGTCGATGAGGACCTTCCTCCAGCAGCCATTGAAATAGAATCGCGCAATGTATTTGCCGTTGGAAGAGAGCACGGGCGTCTTTCTCTGCTTGTCGTATGGATACAGTTTATCCCGGATAATCTAGGGTCGTTAATTCTGAAAGTAGGAGCCATAGGATAAGTCATACCTGATCATGGCCGCGTTCTGCACGAGCAGCTCCAGCGCACAAACTTGTCACTACCGAGCAATCTGATGCTGCATCCTGTACAAGATCGAGGGCTCTCGGGCTAGACATCACGGGCCCAACACTGGCACTACCGTGGGGAATGAGGGAAGGTGGTGGAATGGCTTGTCTAGAAGGTAGCCAAGCCTGAAAGAACTGCTGCTGATACGGCGATAGAGTTAGCTCAGGTAGTTCACTGTAATTGTTAGCATACTTGCAAGCAATGTCCGGAACTTGTCAAACTCACATGAACGGGTGTGGGCCGTCTTGGCGTAGAAACTCGTCTGGTGATGGAACCCGGTCCCATGGCGGAAACTTGAAACCGTTGACCATCGAGGACCTTAGCAAGATAATCTGCTCCTTTTTGGTTAGAGTCCTGCTGGATACCGGCTCCCGTAACTTATGTATCTGGGTGTGGGGGGCGGACGAGGAACCATTAGCCAGGGATAGCAAATTGGGGGGATAGGTCGGCACAGACGGTGTCATGCCAGTGTTGACATTTTCAGTGCTATTGCCGGTTTGAGCACTCTGATGTTCTTCGTGAGATACATTAGCTGATGCCCTTGTTTTGTTGACAGAGAAAGGAGAGTCCGAAAGATCAAGCAGTGGCGAAGGTCGCTGTAGAGTTGGTGCACTGGACAAAGCATCAGAAAATGGGTATGCAGTGCTTGAAGGAGAGTCGTGACGAGACCAATTTGACGGGGTACTGCTATCGTGTACGGTCACTTCCGCAGCCCAGTGGCTGATGCGTTCATTTTGGGAACTGGGCGGCGGCGCATTTGGAGGTGTCCATTGCTCATTCTTCTTGATACTATCAGCATCGTTCATGGCTTCGATACACTGTGCGTGGAGTTGCGTCCTCTCGTTCGAGTTTGACGACAACTTCATGGCTTTCATGAGGCTTTCGGCTGCGCTTAGGGCCAAGTCTTGCGCTTCATCCTTGGTGGCGGCCGTTTTCAGCTGTGTGCGGTACTTCTGTGGTTGAGATTACTACATGCCGCAATGATGCTTTTGTTTACTGCGACCACAGGGTTCACTGTGAACATAACATACGCTTGCAGCGGCTTTGAGAGCCTCAAGCTCAGTAGCCCGGTCAGTCATTGTCGATGGCACGAGCCGTAAGGGTGTTGATGATATATCAGCAATACCAGAAGAAAGAAACGATGTTAGTTTTTTTAGGTCATGACGGTGCGTTAGAGTGCCCGTAGAAGGCGCAATGTGCTCATGGTGTTGTGGCTTGTAGCTGGAGGGCTAGCGCGGTGCACGGCCGCCTCTGCAAACGCCAGTCGCGACTGCCATCCCGATCAGGAGGAGGCAATTACGTAGGGAAGGCAGTTGATTGGAAAATCTCTCTATTGAAGCAGGAACCATGCAAGGCTTGGTTGTGTGAACTAGCCGACGACGATTTAGGCATGTCACGGTGAAGGAAGACGCTTAGGTCACGTCGTGTGTCGTCATGGCCGAGCCTGAACCTCGGCCTTTGGAACCTCGGGACAGGTCAGCCATCCATGCATGCGACCAAGCGCTATCGCATCGCGGAGCACCATGAATAATCTATCCTACCCGCTTTTAACACTCCCGATACCCACATCTTTATTCATTAGAAATCTCCGGTTACCATGAGATAGCGCAAGACCATAGCCTTCATCACATAACTACCCCTCTGCCGGTTACGTCTTTCGCGCTCGCAAGCACCCGGTCCCAACCCACAGCAACACTTTCTCCGACCATTGTCATGGCCGGTCAGTCCAAGCTAGAGACTCTGCCGCCATGGGGTAATGCCGTCGCAGGCGCCGCTGGTGCCGTCATCGCCAATACGCTGGTTTATCCTCTGGACTTGTAAGTCGCAACATACCCGAGGCCTTGGCAACAAAAAGTTGACAAAACCTCAGGATCAAGACACGGTTACAGGTACAAGTTAAGCGCTCCCCGACAGCCGGCGCTATCAATCCTGCCGATGAAGAACACTACGATGGCGCCATGGACGCGATCCGGAAGGTTATCGCGCAGGAGGGTGTCTCTGGGCTCTATGCTGGCATGGGAGGCGCTCTGCTCGGCGTAGCATCGACCAACTTTGCTTATTTTTACTGGTATACCGTCGTCCGAAGTCTATACATGGCCAACCGGACCCTTCAAACATCGCCCGGAACGGCTGTCGAGCTTTCCCTTGGTGCTGTAGCCGGCGCCCTCGCCCAATTGTTCACAATCCCTGTCGCCGTCGTGACGACGAGACAGCAGACGATGAGCAAGGCGGAGCGAAAAGGCATGGTTGAGACTGCCATGGATGTCATCAATGGAGAAGACGGCTGGACGGGTCTCTGGCGAGGACTGAGGGCAAGCTTGGTGCTCGTAGTCAACCCCTCAATTACATACGGCGCTTACCAAAGGCTGCGCGAGGTCCTGTATCCAGGAAAGAAGACGCTGAAACCCCTCGAGGCATTCCGTAAGTTCATACAACCACCACAGCCACGTGAGAAATGCTAACACACCCCAGTCCTAGGTTCCCTCTCCAAAACCCTCGCCACAATCGCAACCCAGCCCCTCATCGTCGCAAAAGTCGGTCTCCAATCAAAACCCCCGCCATCCAGGAACGGAAAGCCCTTCAAATCCTTCACCGAAGTCATGAAGTACATCATCGAGCACGAAGGCGCCCTGGCACTCTTCAAGGGCATCGGTCCCCAAATCCTCAAGGGTCTGCTCGTCCAGGGCTTCCTCATGATGACCAAGGAGCGCATCGAATTATCCTTTATCCTCCTCTTCCGCTACTTCCGCCAGGTTCGCGCCGATAAGCTACAGAAGCTCGCTAATATCGCCGCTGAGAAGGCGGGTAAGGCGGCGCCGGTGCTGGTCAAGTAGACTTTGGCGTGTTGGCATATTTTTACCTTTGTAACAAGTGTAAATACACGGCTTTGGATTGGTTTTCGGGCAGGCATAGAGCGGGGGGTGTGTTGATTTGGTTGGCGTTGGATTCAAATTCTCTATTATTAGCATTATTGGTATATTTGTTACAGTGTGATTGACCTTGTTGTGTTTTGCAAATGCTCGGGATGTGCTGGGGCTGTGAAGAGGTGCGGCTACATCATATCGCAGTCATTCACTCACTCAAGACTATAAACCCCTCTCTCCTTCTAACTCTTCCTTACCCAACTACTTGATACCGATAAGCAACACACTGCACACCTACCGCATAACTCCCAAAAATGTGCGTCCTCGACCACACGATATACAAATGCCAGCACATCTCCCCAGTTCACTATGCCGGCTATGTACGCCCTTCGAATAGCTCTCTACTCGATGAGATGCCATCATACAAAGGCACGAGAAAACTATTATGTGGGGATGCGAATAGACGGGGCGAACCCTGTCCTGAGCTGTTGGAGGAAATGCAAAGGAGTTATGAAAATGGTAAGAGATCATCTAAGCCATGTCAAGAGGAGTGTGATCACTATAGTTAGATGTATTGGGACATCGAGAGGAGTCTGATTAACCGACATGAATGGAGTGAAGCATAGTTTCTCATGAGGCATGTGGCGAATAGGGAAGGAGACTATCTTTTGAATGAGAACACTACAACCACCTATCGCTGCTTTCGATAGTATATGCGAACCGTAATAATACCTATGATACCAAGAAAACCTCCATGCTTTTCCACCTTGATCTACTGCCAGTTCAAAGGATATCGGCTGCTACCATAATCTCAAATCTCAGTCCCACAAACCCAGGCTAATAGCTTCTTGTTTGATGCCATCGTATCGCTCAAACTCCAACTGTGCGATGTTAGAAACACTGAGTGTTTGATCAGACAGGTCATCTACCTCGATCCTTTTTTCTTCCTCTTCCATTGTCAGGTAAATCAGAGGATCACAGATATCGTCGCTGCAATCGATCTCCCTGCCGAAAGAGAATACAATAGGAAAGCCATCCCAATCGCATGTGTCCATGATAGCGTGACGGGGTCCATCGAATATGAACATCGGCTCCAGGTCTTCTTCGCTTCGACTTGGACCCCAGCAAAGACTCAAATTACCGTTACACGTGAAACCAAGGAAACTCAGTTTGCGACATTTCTTCAAGTACATCGGGGCGAGATCTGTGATACACCCACCACAAAGACCACTCGTTAGCTCTGATTGGCGCTGCTGAATGTCGTAATCTGCGAAGTCTTCGGAACCTTGGGCTTCCATGTCTATGTCGGTGATCTTTCGTAAGGTAGTCATGAAAAGCTCAGTTAGTTCTGCGAAAGAACTAAAAGAATCGACAAAGTTCTGTGACTGTGTCAGTTCTGCTTCTTTCGCATTACACACCTAGTTAGCTCTTCTTCTGCTTACACTTGGACATTCGTGGCCAATACTTCCTCTTAAAGTCAGCTTGTGGATCCCTGGAACGAACTGATGCAGACGTTCGATTTCCTCATTCCGCCAGCTGTCAGAACAGATCTCGAGATGCTTCAATCTCTTCAACCCACTGACAGTCCGAAGAAGATCATCATGGTAGAGGTTATGCGCCAGGCTCAATATTTCGACGTCGGGGCAGGCTTTGACGAGGAACTCCCAACTGCCCTGTGACAAAATGCGTAGATGCGTTATGCTAGAGAGAGTTACTTCTTCTCGCTGAAATGTTACTTGGAGACCGGATATGTCAACATCCTTGCGATGTGTAGTAGAGAATTCAGTGAGAAATTTCATCCTGGGGAGAGTCTTTGCAAGTCGAGTTCTGCAGCCTGTGATATTGCCCATGGACGTCGTGACAATGTCACATGTTCTGTTAAGTTTCTATGTTAGTAAAATCTCGAGAAAAATACAGGACCCACGATTAGTGGACGTGGCACTCACTTGATGGCCGAAAGAACAGGTGGAAGAGAGGGCAGAAGTGGGTTGCCTTCGATATCTCTTAATCGCCGATAGAGGTCGCCCATGGAAATTGAGGAGCGAAAGACGTTTTTGAATAGCGTTGGAATCGTGACTGCACGCAACCGCTTGTTTACTAGGGATAGACAGAACACGATGCTTCCTGTCTTGCGGAAATCAAAGCTTGAAATGGGCGTATAGTAAGGTTCGCGAGGATCTTCTATGCTGCAGATATGGTCGATAATCATCATAAGCACGTCTGTATTGAATCCATCGAGCAAAATTTGTTGGCCTGGAACTGCATTGGGGTAAAGCTTCCCTGCGAGAGGTTTGGATTGCGGCTCAGGCTGTGGTGGAGGGCGACACGGAATCCACCGCTTAGAGTTCTCTTCTGAGAACTTGGACGCCGGTGTCAGCACAGGCGCTGTCGAACAGCTATTTTCCGCTAGTTTGGCAACAAATCCCAGGGCCAATTGATCCCTTTGCGGATCGGGACCTGCATCGGGTGGTGCTGTTGTCAGCATTGGCTCATGTGGTGAGTCCGCCATGGTTAGTTCGTGCAATCACTTGACCGAAGGATCTCGGATTTCTCAGAAGGTTTCATATGATCCGCTATCAAATCCCGACAGCGGATTGAATGGAGCTGAGGTGAGAGCAGAGAGGGAGGAACGAACTATGGTTACCATCGTTATCGCACCACACTAGTGCAAAACTGGCAACAGTGCCTTCTCCGTCATCCTGCACCACGTTCGCATGAAAACATGAACTTTCTCAGAGAACAACCAAGTAATCTTGTCGAATGCCGAAGCGATGGTGAAGCTGTAGATGACCGGCAAATGCTGAGAGTGTGCACATGCAGAGAGGTCGATATAGCCCGCTATGGGTGTTTCTCGAAATACCTTGAGCCACCTGGATCTGGTTGGCTTGGTGGCCAAGAACATCAACTCCTATAGTAATTTGTTAGTAAATCGATGCAGCCACGCTTTCTAACACCCACAACGTATTTGAAGTTCATTGTTTGCTGCGATCGCCTCTACTGACTCGCGTTTTTGGTGTTGCAATTTTCTCGAGCCCATCTCATCGCGATGCCAGGCACCGGCCACCGCTTGCAGCCCGCTGTTCTCCAGGCTATCCTCGACCGAATTGCTGCCTGCGAAAGTGATCGAGCCATCTCTAGAGCTACAGGTGCGAGCCGTAACACAGTAGCAAAGCTGAGGTTGAGCTTAGAGTTTTGGGGCGTGCCTTATCCGCCGCGCTGCGTTCGACTTGGGCGGCCATCTATACTCCGGCAAGCTCAGCGCGAAGGCCTTCAGGCATACCTCAATGGCTCACCGGGCGCATACATGGATGAGATGAGGGACTTCTTGTACGACGAGTACGACGTTAGGATAAGCCTTGCGAGCGTTTACCGAGAGCTAGAGAAGATGAGATGGTCTCGCAAGCTTGCAACAAAGCGGGCAAAGGAGCAGAGTGAGCCACTCCGCCGCCTCTATCTTGCCAGGATGGCGCAACACTATAAGGCGGAGCAGATCGTTGCGTTGGACGAGAGCGCCTGCAATGAGCGTACGGGCGACCGCAAGTATGGCTGGTCTCCAATCGGGGAGCCGGTGGAGCTATCACACAGCTTCAGGCGATCAGAACGGTGGTCGCTGCTGCCAGCCATGACGATAGATGGCTACATAAGCTATAAGATCTTTCAAGGCGCGATTACATCTGAGATCCTAGAAGACTTCTTAGAGTTTCAAGTGCTGCCGTTCTGCAATCCTCACCCAGGGCCAGCCTCAGTAATCGTGCTTGATAACGCCTCCATCCATCGATCAGAGCGTGTACGGGTGCTTTGCCAAAGTGCTGGAGTACTCCTTGAGTATCTGCCGCCATACTCACCAGATTTCAACCCCATCGAGAAGAGCTTTAAGCAGCTCAAGGGGTGGATGAAAAGGAATTCAGCGCAAGCGGAGAACTTCATTGACTTTGGGGTCTTTCTTGAGTATGCAGCGCAGCTGGTGTGCTGTAATATTAACTGCAGAAGCTGGTTCCATAGGTGTGGCTATCCCTATTAATTGTGCTTTTAAATGGATGCCACAGTACGTTTCTATAGGTAGATGATACCATACAAATGCGAACGATTACACCTTAATGCGCAACCCACAAAAGCGATTTAATAATTCTAAAAAAATAAGAGCTATTTCTATACATATAGAACTATCTTAGGAAGTTAACCTGTTATAATCGCATAACGTTGTAGTGTTGTACATAGGGCTATCCAAATAGACTATTGTTGCAGCGCATTTGAAACGCCTGAAAAACCTCAACACTATAGCGGGCACGGGCCGCTGTCACCAAAAACGCTCAGGCCACTAAGCTTCAAGCATTCTCGCCATCATCCTCCACAACACTGCTAGACGGTTCAACCACCAATTTCTTGCGCGCAATCTCTTCTCTTTTCTTACAACGTTCGACTCGTCTCCAGTTACGATCTGTGAGACCCTGGTACCCAGCTTGCCATTCTTTTGCAGTGTTTTGTAGCGTGAAAAACCAGCCAGGAGGCTGCTTGAAATGCTGCGTCCACAACTTCAAGATATCACCAGATGGCTGCATCAAGAGGTTGATATCCATAGCTCCGTCAATAACAAGAGTCTTATAAAGCTCGTTAATGTCCTCTCCAACTGTAGGAAATTTTAACTTAAGGTAGTTAAAGAAATTACTAGTATGCTCGTTAATCTCCTGCTCATGATCATATCGGATAGGCGCCCACTGAGATGCACTAGATACCTCAGCTCTTGTTATCGTTGGTGCAGCTGCCTGCAAGTTAGACTCCTGTTGAGGTTGCCTGTTCATCCGCTCAAGCTGTCCAACGATGAGCAGTTTTGTTAAGCTTTTGATATCATCGTCGCCATCTCCAGCCGCCCGCAACTTGCGCGTTTTCTCATGCACCCGCAGGTCCTTTGCTCTCAAAATTGCAAGCCGTACATCATCAGATGGCTCATCGTACGTTGCCCTTCTCGCTGTAATTGCTCTTGCCCACATGGAGATAATGTTGCCGTTGACAAAGAGGTGATCTTCGAAGCGCGCTGGCTGCCTCGCTGTTGGCGCCATCCAGCAGCAATAAGGATAGTTCTCGCAATGGGTATCTGTACAGCGCCATCTATCCCGGATAGCAATAGCATGCCCGCTACCTGCTTGTTCAGCTGCTATTACACCAGCAAGCCCCTCCTCTTGAATCACCGTTGCGGTGCGTCGACGAGGACCGTCGACAACCGTTGGCAACGGCTGCTGCTCCCCTGGAATTTCAGCCAAGATGAGCTCGAAATCGACGTTTACTGGCTCGCTGACATAGTTATCAACCTCTACAACAAGGCGCTGAAAGCTATTCCACGTTGCATCAACACCTCGCCGCAATCGCTTTATCGCGCGCTCGCGTTTGGCCTGCTTAGCTGGGTAAACAACAGTGCAAACAGATGAGATCTTCGCTCTTTTTGGCCGTAATTCTGCAACAACGTCATCTACCCACTGCCATAGGTCGTCGAAATGCAGCGAGTACAGCCGTACGCCGTGCTCGCTATCGGCAGCTTCAGGAATAAAGTGTTTCTCCATATCACCACCAAGGCAAGCCCTCCACCTAACGCGCAGTACAGGATTAACCTCATCCTCTAGCGCTTGCGATGAGCGAGGCAGCCATGGAGTGCCTTCTTGACGTCGGTACGCTGGCTCTCCCTCATCCTCAACACTACCGGCAGCGCCCTTAGCAGCGATCTCATCCTCATCCTCAGGCAGCGGATCGCCATCTCCATCCTCGAAAGTATCCTCATCCTCGCCAACGATATCTTCAGCTTGCGCGGAGGCAGCTGTTTGGGTGGCTTGCAGCTCAGGCTCGGACAACGGGCTTTGACGGCGCGGCGGGGCAGTCGCTGGAGGCGACGGCAGCGCCTCACGGCGGACACGTTTAGGCGTTAAATGGGTAGGATTTTGTCTAGTTGCTGGCGCTCTACGCTTCTGGGAGGACGGGTTAACGCCTTGATCGAATGGCTGCTTCGGCTTACGCTGGCGCTTGGGCGGCATCCCAACAGCAGCTAGATTGAGCTCGCAACAAGCTCCACACAAACAAAACGCTATACACGAACGATTTAGAGTACAGGACTAGCTTCATGGGCTTCTGGAGGTGGGAAACGGCTGCTGCATTAATTTACTAACAAATTACTATGGGAGTTGATGTTCTTGGGCACCAAGCTAACCAGATCCAGGCGGCTCAAGGTATTTCGAAAACCACAATAAGGAAACTTTCCGTCTTCGGATGATCAGCTTAGAAACACTCACGATGAAGACGGCAATTAACCTAATTCGAGAAGAGGTGATATCTCTGCGCATGGGTACACAACATCTGCGCAGATGTTCGGACAAACTCATCTGACGTCATCGATACAACGGGCCTACTCCACACATTTATAACAGCTCCTGAACAGCGCACATCTAATAATTGACATTCGTTCGCATCCTCAAAGCTTTGAGAAAGATGACAGAAACACCGCCCAACCTACCATGGCATACCATACCCGCCTCAGAGGCAACCTGCAAAGTCCACCTTATCCAAGCTGGCGGGATCCGTATCCCAACGGACCTAGTCCTCCTCCCTGGCCCAGATTCGCCACAAGACCCCAAAGACTCTCATGACGAGAACGGCGAACGGATAAGGTTCTACGGCCCAGACTACGTATTCCTGATTGAGCACACACCTACCAGACACAAGTACATCTTTGACCTGGGCATACGAAAAGATCTCGGAAATCTACCCCCATATATTATCAAAAACGCTCTCCCAACCTTTTTATGTGAGCCAAAATCCCCAGCTGACATCCTGAACGAGCATGGGAGTCCGGATCAGCAGCCCGAGAACGTCAAGGCTGTCATCTTCTCGCACATGCATTTTGATCACCTGGGTGACGGTGCAAAGGCTGGATTTGGGGAAGCAGAGTTGTGGGTTGGACCTACGTGTTGTACTTATGCACGCCCTGGGTATCCGGTAGAAGAAGACGCGCCGGTGTCGAGCGATACGTTGCCGGTTGATGGAAGTAGGAAGATAGTGGAGAGCTATATCCCTGACGATGTACTGAGAGAAGCAGGTGATAAGAGAGCGGGACAGGTCATGGAGGGTATGAGAAAGGGGAAATATGCAGCTGTCGACCTCAAGAAGCCAGAGTGGAAGGGTGTCGGTGCTTTTGACAGAGCTTACGATGTGTTTGGCGATGGATCAGCGTATATCATCGATGCTCCTGGACATTCACCGGGTCATCAAATGATGCTGCTGAGAACCACTTCAGGCTCTACTGAAAGTGATGATACTTTTGTGCTGTTGGCAGGTGATGGCTACCACCATCCTGCTCTAATCAAAGATCCCAGGCTCACTGCCCGTTCCCCCTATGCAAAGGCCGGTATGCACGTCGACCCCGAACAAGCCCTCGACACCATATACCGCACACGAGAATTCGCAAGAAGAGAGAACGTATGGGTGATAGGAGCCCATGACACGAGTATCGGCGAAGGTATCCAGCCGGGAGCCAAAGAACTAACGGGTCTAATCACAATCAATGACTGGCACAAGAAGGGGTGGAAGAACGCATCTCAAGGCAGTCCTTAGCGAACACCACGTATTTCGTATTCACATAGTCCTATACATCAAACAAGAAACGTCTACAAGACTTGCACATCCCACGATAACCCAGTCCACGCACCGTTTCACCTCACTGCCAGCGTAACAAAAAAGCGCCCACGCAATCCTCCTGAACCCATCATTCAGACACACACATCCATGCCCTCCATCAAACTCTCCGAGACAAAAAGCCCTCGACTCAACCCCCCAGCAATCCTCAGTACGTACACATGTCCTTCCTTCCTCAAACCCACCCCCCAAGCCCTTGGCTCCCGAAACTCCCAAAGCTTGACCTTCCGCTCTTCCGCTCTTGCCCCCCACCCAGCGCTACCTTTCCGCGGAACGGGGCAACCAGGTCTCCGACTGCCCGAAAAGCCGAGCTCGATAATTCGGTATTATAGCCGAGAAGGAAAGAAATCCAGTGATTGATCTACCCGTCGCTGCGGCAAACAGGGTTTCGGCGCGTTTTGCGTGTCATGCGAACGGCGGTTGCATGATTGTGGCGTGAGAGGGCGGCGGGAGGAGGGATCGGGACAGGTGGGGGGAAAAGGAAAGGAAGGGGGGAGGGAGGGGCGTGCGTATGATGAAGGGGGAGTTGAATTTGTAAGCTTCGTTTGATTTGTGCCTGAGTTCCATGGGGGGGGGGGCAATGAACACAAATCGAAGGGGGTATGATTTGTTGTTTCTTACCGTCTTTGTTGGGCCATTTGCCTTTCAGGTAAAAGAGAACGGAAAATGTGGAGATTTGTAAGTTGTCAGTAAGAGTGGAGTGAAGAGAAAGCTTCTTGCATAGAAAATTTTCATTAAGTTGGGAGGTTTGCTTTCCTATGGTGTGGTATCATAGACGCTGTATTGCAGTCGTTGCGCAAAGCCGCTTGCAGCCAAGGTAACAAAACATACAACGACAACAGTAACGTAACAGTAAGACAAACTGATGAAGAAGATGAGCGAATTATGTACAGTCGTAGTTAATAAGTTGTGCAATTCGCTCCCAATGCGCAAATGGTGGTATAGCCTCCTCCGTACCTTTCCAACAAACTCCTCCTCTTCTCTCCTAGACCACAGATATTGGCAACTAGAAGTTCTCCTTACCCCATACGAAACTGAAGCCAGGCTCAGAGTACATGTTGCACTTGATGTGGAGTGCGGATCCAAGACCTTTAGGGCCACAGAAGAAGACACCGGCTTCGGCAGGTGAGTGAATCTTGCGAATTGACTTGAAGATCATATCCCAGTTGGGACGACCGAAGTTTGTGGGTGCGCGGAGACCGGTAATGGCGTCTTGTTCGGCGTTTGCGTCGTTGATCATAATGTTGGTTGCATCATCGGCCTTGATCTTTGCTGTGAGGTACTATGGAGCTATTAGTGAATCGTTGCAGACTAGCCGATTGAGAAGAACTTACGGTATGGATCTCGATGTGGTCGTCAACATCCTGTGCCTCAATAGCCAGGAGCAGCGATCTGAACCACTCGAAGGAACCAAAATCTCTGCAAATCCAGAAGAAGTACACCTTTCTCAGCCTCGTGCGTCCCTGGGGGTAGTTCATGCGGTACCAAATACTCTTGAGAATGGAGGCGAAAGGAGTGACACCAATACCGGCACCACAGAGAACGGCAACCTCAAACTTGAACACATCCTCGGAAGCGGAACCAAAGGGACCGTCAATGTAAACTCGGGGAAGGATTTGGCGCAGGGCAATTTCCTCGCTCGATTCGCCCTTTTCGTTCTTCTCAGGCTTCTTCTCCGTGCTGCAGCCGAGGGCTTTGCCAAAGGCTCTGGTGAAGTTACCGACCATACGGATATGAACAGAGATGTAGTCTTCCTCGGGTGCGCTGGTAAGGGTGAAGGGGTGGTATTGCCAGATGGAGATTTCGGGGCAGCACAGGAAAATGTACTGTTTCTGTTAGTACTAGCTCACAATTAGACTCAGTCTTGACATACCTGTCCAGCACGGGTCGTGGTGTGCTCCTTCTTGATTTGAACCTCGCAAACGTTGCTAGGGTGCTGAATGACCTTGGAGATGTACGTCTTGTGCTTTCCCCGGACTTCACGGGCGATACGCTCAGCCAAGTACGCAAATCCACCGTACATCCAGTACTCCCAGAAGACACCGATACCGTCGCAGAAGGGGGCAAAGTCGGGCTGAATCATGCAGAAAGCTCCGTGGATGGACCAGAAGACGAAGAAGATGATGAAGAGATGGTGCATGTACCAGAAACGCTCAAAGTTTGCACGACGAGCCTTTTCCGCTGCGGTCAATGCGATGGCCATGAGCGCGATCAACATGACATAACCACTCCAGCCGGGTCCGGTAGCAAGGTTGGCGAGAATGAAGCCCATGAATCCAAGTTCGTTGCCTGCAGAGAACCTAGCGAGGTTGTTCCAATGGGCAATGGTGTGCACCCAGGAAAAGAATACAATGGACCAGGCGACGAGTTTGTGAAAAGTGATGTTCTTGTCGAAAGGAATGATGTCGTTCAACGGCGTACGGCGAGCCATGGAAATTAAGTTCCTGCATACTGGGAAGAGGATGAAAGCTACGTCAACGTGTAGTACGAGCGCAGCGGAACGAGCAATGGCAAAAGTAATACCAAATCTGGCTCTTGTGCCGATGGAGTTGTCCTAGTACATGTCAGCGGAAGGCCACCAAGGCCATAACAATGGTGTGTACCTTTAGTCCATAGTTCATCATACCGAAAACGAAGACCATGACGTGTAGTATAGCGAATGTAAAGACGAAGCTGAAGCGGTTAGCTGCATCCTCCGACTGGCGTGAGAAAGCGACTTACAATCTTCTGTAACCTTCGTTGACCATCCACACGTCGAATCTCTCTTTCCTGGTGAGCTCCCTGCCCTTCTCTTCCGACATCTCACCGGACATGAGCATTCGGGTAAGAGGGGGCCATCTTGACCGCTCGCGGCCTGTTAGACTGTTGGTGAACGACGACATGGCTACAGTGTGGAGCGAGTGGCGGCCTAGTATGAATGGCGATGATCTTCAGACCTGCTGAATGTGGCCGAAGTTTAACAATAGATTTAAAGAAGGTCAAAAGTAATCTGAACGACGGTTAGACCAAAGCAAATACCAACGGTGGAGCACAGTGCACTCGGCGATATTTACAAAGGGATGACTTACTAAAGGTGCCCGCACGAAGAAGAGAAAAGGATACGAATTGGGCGTTCAGTCACGCGGCAAAGAGTGCACCGGCATGAAATCGGTCGAGTCTTGGGGTGAGTAGGGGAAACAAAAGCCTATAAGCCAACGTTGGGCTGGCGAACAGGGAGATGAGCAGCTCGACGAGGGAGGGATGGCACAAGTCAGGTCACATCCGCAAGCGATAGAGTGGGTAAAGGGTGTCTGTTAGTCAGACGGCGTGGATAATGGGCTCCAGCCAAAGTAGCGAAACGGTAGCAGAAGTCGGACCACCTTTGATGACATTTGCAGTGCGAGGCTGCGACACCGCAAGATCCGTCCTCTACCAGCGCGTATCGCAACCGCGTATAGGCCAATGGGAGACGGGACGGGTGCAGACTGGGCCTAGAGGCATGCCAAGTGGACGCCCTGAAACATGAATGGCTATGCAGTTTGGTAGTCGCCATGAGAATTAAGAGAAGCTGGCGTTTGAGACGTGTTTGGGGGAGGGTAGGCTAAAACCTTGTGCGTTAGAGTGCCCCTCACCCCTGCACAGACCCCCTAAAGTTAGCTCAACTACCGATGCCGTCGGCCCATTCACTTTCCTCGTGTCTTCTGCTGTGCTCCGACGACTTTTGACCGCCTCATCCATGCCCCTATGCGGGCCGGAACACAAGCTTTGATCGTTCACGATAATTGTACGGCTTGGCTGCAAGTGACAGCGGTTAGGGGGGATGCGCTTGCTTCTAAAGGCCTTGGCTGAAGCTTACCACGACCTGCACAACATCACCACGTTGTCAATGTCGCATTACCCTGCATTGTTTAGAATAAGCGTCCAACAAGCGTACACAATATTTGTCCGCCTGCAGCCAGCTCGAAGCCATGCACATGGCTATGGTCTACATGTTTCAACAATCCACCACTACCGTAGAGTACCACCCTTGTGCATGACTATGTCAGATCTACTATTCCCGTCCAAACATCTTAGGTCTTATAAGCCAAACACGGCCGCGCCGCCTTGAAGGTACTCGCTCGACGGAACCTTGACAGTCCTCTGGAACCACTGCTTCACAGCATCAAAAACCCGCCACTTGCGGAGATGGTTTGACCCGAAACCCATTTTGCGTCTTCGCCACAGAGCCATGCCACAATTCTGGAAACGTCGTCGACCGTGCCCACCCTTCGCTCCACCGCCGTCTGCTTCAATTGGTCCTCCACAATCTCTTTGGGCACGTCGCTCAGCATATCCGACTCCACTGGTCCCGGCGCGACAGCGTTGACGGTATGTCCCGCTTCGCCTAACTCTTGTGCTAGGCTTCGTGTTATCCCTTCTATGGCTGCTTTGGATCCAGCGTAGAGCGAGAAATTAGCGAAGCATTTACGAGCTCCTATCGAGGACATGTTGATGATTCGCCCTGGTGCGCGCAGATGGGGCGCTACCGCACCCGTGAGGAGCAGCGGAGCGCGAACGTTCACGTCGAAGATTGCCGCGTAATCTTCTGCTGTCGTCTCCGTGACCGCTTTTGCTGTGAGCACGCCAGCGTTATTGACCAGTATGTCAATCTTGTCCCCGAAAGCTTCTCGGGTTGCCCCCACAATCTTCGATGGCGTATCGACGTGTCTGAGATCGGCTTGGATGACTGTCGAATCGCTGCCATTGCCAAGAGCCTTGATATTTGATGCAACTTCTTCCACCAAATTTCCACTCTTCGGGGAAGTATAGACGAGCGCCACCTGTCATGCACCTCAGAATCTTGGTACGGAATGGTTGGGCGCTGGTGAACTGACCTTTGCTCCTCTTCGCGCCAACTCTAACGCCAAGCCAGCTCCGATACCTCGCGAAGCGCCTGTGACTATGGCAACTTTGCCCTGGAGAGGGAGTGCGGCCTGGTTTGATTGTGAACTCATGGTAGATAGTGGTCAAGTGTGTTGTTAGTGTCCAGTGGATAGCTTCAGCTGTACATCGATGGGAAGCCTACATAATCTCCTCACAAAGCACAGAATTCTTACAAATCACACTGTCGACGTAGTTCGGACTAGACGGGAGATTTCGGATAGACAGGTGGGTACTGCACACCGTCTACGCTGCGTAAATTCTACGTCATTAAGGCATTGCCGACCAACGTCCTGAGAGCCGACATGCTTCGGGCGTGAGATTAGCAATCATGCAGCGGACACGCCACCAAGTTGCACATATCAAAACAAACTGAATGTGGATGAATGTGTTACATGGTAAAAATATATATATATATTAAGCTTGAAAGTACTGCAAGACGCTCGCTTGATGGATAAAAAGGGTTGATGCTTGTAGGGCGGCCTGCGACCAGCTTTGAAAGTAAAAAAGCAAGCCCAGGTCAGGCTCGGAGGACCGAACAAGGTTTGCTGCTAGACGGAGGGTATCAAGAGGCTGGTGGAGTGCGACCGCCTGTGCGTAGACTCGATGAATAGGTGTGTGGTGTTGATCTTTGTGGCGTGCCGAAGTTGAGCGTGCGATGACTGTGCTCGTCCACGTGCGATGACATGGACCTAAGCAGGCCGATATCAGGTGTTGCTAGCGCTCCGTCCCTCTTTTTTTTGTGCCCGATTACCGCGAGATGAAGCCGAGAATCTTTGGCTTCGCGTTCGGGTCCTTCTTCTTCGGATACATCTTGGATGTAACAAAGTGGACGTACCATATCACAGTGCCGAATATGGAGAGGCCGAAGATGACGAGGAAGAGAGTGATGACCGGTCGGCCATCGGCTTGCACAGAGCGCAAGGCAGCCGGTGTAAGGATTGGCGCGAGGAAATCGAAAGAAGACCCCATTTTGTGTGAAGGATGGGTAGTTTGTGGGGCGGTGTCGGCGAGTTGAAGTTGCGGTGACGATCAAGATACAGACAGCCGGCTGTCACTAAAAGAAAAGAATGAAAGTATTGCCAGCAACGTGAAATGGAAGAATCGAAGTGAGGAAACGCGATTTTCAGAGACAGCGAAATCGCGCGAGAATGCGGTGGCTAGCGTTCATGTATTCCTAGCCAAAAGCAAAGGCGAGGGCGCCTCGGCCAGACCATGCTCGTTTCGCGCATGACCTGAAGTCTTGGTACCCTCGGCGGATCGCATGACGTTTACACAAAAGGCCATACAGACGGCGTATAGTGACGTGTTCGGCATCAAGGCACTTGTCTGATATGGTGGTTGTTTCAGATGCGCGAATGCAAGGCGGGCCAAGAGACTATGGTGAGACGTTTTCGTTGCAGAGCGTGCCGTCGTCGGACCAGGGACACTCTGCACTGAGCTCACCGTGGTTAGGACTAACCGAGGTGTCCTGTAGCTGCTCCCAAGTCTCGTGCCTTTTCATCTCGCGTTCTATCGTGTATGCAAAGCTCGACGAAGACGTTTCACCGCGGTCTGTCCGAGGCACCCGCAGACACTTGGTCGGTTCAACCTACACAAAGGAGATGGTCTCGCTGGACTTTTGGGGGTAGTGCTAATTTTGGCACATGACCATTCTTCGTAGGTACATAGATAGTCTCTCGCCTCGGACATGAGATGGTGCCAGCACTGCTCACGTGCGGGCTTCGGAGTCCGACGACCTCGTTTATGTATGTACGTAAGCTCACTTACTCCAAGGTAAGACGGCCCCGGACTACCGCATCTGACGACTTTGTGTTTGTTTTTTCGTGCAGCTTGATTCGAGCGCAAAGTACCGAGCGTAGAGACGCTACACATGTAGGTAGGGTGAGGGATGACTGCACGTGACCAGGTGGCCTCGAACGAAGGCTTATCTGCCTCGGAGTTTATATCTTCCGAGATCCGATGGCCAGACTTGTGCAATCTTGTGCCCGGCGACCGTAAAGTTGGCTGACATAAGCGCACTTGCGATCTTGGCATAGCCTCCGATTGGCCCAGACGGAAAACGATCTTTTCACCGACTGTTCCTTCAGCAAGGACGCGTGGTTCCCAGTCAACTCTTCGTAGCTACACGCATATCATAACTTTTCTTGTCACAAAGAGAACTCCGATATAGTCCGGTGTGTATCTATAGTTGTAATTGCTGACCCACAGACGACCAAACAAATACTCCTTGAGAAGTCACTTTCCCCGCTTTGTATCAATCATTACGCCAAAGATCACGCGGATTAACACAACACCCTACTTGAAAGTACCTCTTCGCGACCGATCCGAAATGGCTCCCCTCAAACCCGAAGACTCTAGCTTGTCACCCGAAAGACCCTCTTCTCGGGATCGAGACTCATCCGAGCGTGGGAAGAAGCGCGCAAGTATGTCGATAGCTTGGTGCCTGGTGGCATCGTTCCATTTCTCCTCACCCTCACAGCTTCGGGGCTGACTTGCTGGTACCGCGTGTAGGAACACAATCGATGCCTCCACCAGAGCTACCAAAACTGGTCGCCGAGCAACATGTCCCGATTCCCACTAATGACAAGGACACGCAACGGCTGATTGTCGTCCTTTGCAATGCCACTCTTGAGACATACAAGGCGTCCCATGGCACAGGCCGGGGTCCTGGCGCGCGCGAAGACAAATACAACCTTCTCAACAGCGACGATCATATCGGTGTAATGCGCAAAATGGGGCGCGAAATCAGCGAAGCTAGGCCAGACATTACACACCAAGTGCGTACAAGAGGGGGCTAAGGGTGCTTACCAGCTAACGTAGTGACGCAGTGTCTTCTTACACTCCTCGACTCGCCAATTAACAAGGCGGGAAAGCTCCAGATCTACATCCAGACCTCCAAGAACGTACTGATCAGGGTCAGCCCTACAGTGCGCATTCCTCGGACATTTAAGCGCTTTGCTGGTCTTATGGTGCAGCTACTGCACAGACACCAAATTCGGTCAACGTCATCCCAGGAAAAGCTGATCGAGGTCATCAAAAATCCCATCACGGATCACCTCCCGCCCAATTGCCGCAAGGTCACGCTTAGCTTCGATTCGGAAATTGTACGTGTCAGCGACTACATCGGCGGTCTTAACAAGGGCGAGAGCATTGCAGTATTCGTCGGAGCCATGGCCAAGGGCAACGACGACTTCGCGAATCACATCAAGGACGACAGCATCGCTATTAGCCAGTTCAACCTTAGTGCCAGCGTTACCTGCAGCAAGTTCTGCCATGCCGCCGAGGACGTATGGAACATTTTCTAGTTGAGCGGATAAGCGGGAGTGCGGCCTATCCATGCTGAACACGCCAGAGAGCCCACAAACAACAACTGGCCTACTGTGGACGAGTGGGATTACAGGCCGGAGCCACCGGAGTAACCGAGAGATAACGGGAACCTATAGGTAGCAGGACACGTTCATGGCTTAGATCGCAACATCGACAGCCGTGGGCGCTACTATTTCTGATTTTGAGCGTCTGCTTGAGGTTTTTTTACAACAAAACAACTACTCTGGCTCAACGCACAACAATCAATCTTCTCATGAAGATGGCGGGGCAGCTCAACCTGCCCCGCACCTCCTGTTTTTTCTTTCCATATCCAAAGGGGCGCAGTGTACTAGTCTGTATGCGTCTGTATGCGCCTGTGTACGGTGTCATGTCACTGGCCTGGCTACGGTTTGTCATTGGTTTCGGTCCTTTCAGGCTTTGTCTGTTGGTAGCTAGTTTGGTAGGCAATCGCGGCTCTCCGTCAACTCAGGAGGTGTCTGCATCAGGATCAGCAGTCACGGCAAGCTGATTCCTGGCGAATGAAAAAGTACTGCTTCACGTCATCTTCGCAGTGCGGTTTCTAAACCCCTCGTTGGAGCATAGCCCCCGTTTTTTGCTCATCACTATGCCGTAGGCGGTTAGGCAGTGTGCCGTCGCACCTTGTTGCGCGTCCGGCGGGAGGGTAACGGGATGTGTGTTTACACGGAGCCGCATCGTCGATCACTGTCGAAGCCGCAAAAAGCATGTTGCCATGGCAAGTCTTGCCGGTCTTCAGTCACGACACCAACATGTCTTTGCAATGCCTGCCGTGGTAGCCTCACTGCGCCGTCATCTTGGTTCTTGTGCCGAGTGCGCTCCGTCATCGACGTCACACCATCTCGGGACGGCGGGTTGCGACGACAAGTGGCGCGTCCAGACCGCAAATACTCGATTGCACGCGAGAAGCGACCAGAACGACCTGAGAGCCGTGTGTAATGTAGCGGAGCGCGTGAGGTGAGGCGTGCGAGGGTTTAAACCTCTCGCGGCTCCGGGCCGGCGCTCAGGGCCAATACACTTCACCGACACCTCGCTTACATTAACAAATTTGTTAGCTGCAGATGCAGGACATGTGGCAGCGTCACAACTTCTTGACAGCGACCTCCTTGAATGCCGGCTGCAGCTGTGGGGCGTGCTAGTAGGGGCTTTGCAGCAACACTATGGGACGCCCTGCTACTCGGTTCACGATGCATCGAGACGCTGCACCTGGACGGGGCTTATGATATAAACCCATCGTCGTACCGTTACTCGACTCCCATACTCCCTACTCACACCTACAACCTCACCACCTATCACTTTGTGCTCGTACAAGGCTCGTCTCCTTCCTCCGTACGCCTTGTATCCTGCTCATCCCGTCTTACCCCTCCCCTCACCGCCGTTGTGCAATGCCCGTCTCCCACATCGGCCTTACTGTTTCGCATCTGCCAACTTCGACGTCCTTTTTCCTCTCTGCGCTCCAGCCACTGGGCTACCGCTACATTGGAGAAACTGGAAACCAGATCGGTCTCGGTATCAACGATGCCGACTTCTTCCTGTGCCAAGAGACCCCTGGGTAAGCACCACAATTGATCATCGAGTACACCGCAACTGACAACTGTACAGCGTGAAAGCCGGGGCCGCACACATTGCATTCACCGCTCCAAGCACAACAGCAGTGCGAAATTTCTATGCCGCTGCATTGACTGCCGGTGGCCGTCCCAACGGAGCACCCGGCTCTCGTTGCTCCGAAAATGGCCACTTCAACGCCGCAGTACTCGACTTTGACGGAAACAGCATTGAAGTTGTCTACCGAAACGGACCCGACATGAGGCACGACGGGACCATTATCGAGCACAGCAGAGTAATCACGTGGTCAAGGACGGTTACCCACAGCTCCAGCTACTACGAAAGCAGGAGCTCCACCAGCTCTTCATCGAGCGCCAGCCCCATCATGACACCGCAAACCGAGTCCGTCGCTTCAAAAGCACCCAGTGTGGCCAGGAGCGTCTCCGCGCCCACAGTTGTCCCCGTTCCTGAGCCGCAGTCAAATTCCAACAACGGCAGTGGAGCCCAGCATCTTCTCGGAACATTACTCGGAGCTGCGGCAGGTGCAGCCGTCGCTTATGCATTTGTTCGCAGCGAGCAGGATAGCGCGAGGAAAGAGGCGGACTTCAGCGCCTTCATGGACGCCAAAAATGCGGTCAAGACGGCGGCTGGCTTTTTCGCTCAGGCCCCATCCCAACCCCAAGCCCAACCCCAAGCCCAGCCACCCCAACAGGCACCGGACCCACAACCCGTGGCGGTACAGCCTGTTGAGATCAAGGCACTGCCCTCTCCTCCGTCAGTACACCGCAACGACGACGATGCGCGGTCTGCCTATTCGTCGGCGCCCTCTCGAGCTTCCCAGGTACCCAGGACTTCTGTGCCAAGACAGATTGAGGCCGCGCCTGCAAGTTATTACTCACCGTCTGAGTTCGGCGCACCGACGCCTATGAACGAGCTTCTTGCGATCGAATATGCTCCAGCATACTCTCGGGCGCCGTCGGCGGCACCGTCGAGGATGTCTTCGGCTCACCGCTCGCACACTAGTCCCGAGCTCCTGACCATCGAGAAGGCGAGGAGTAGCGTATCCACAGCAAGGCCGGCGGAAAGTATCGCATCAACAGCGAAGCCGCCCCGACCCACGTCGTCAAAACCCCAAAGTGTAGTCTCCAAGGCTCACAGCACGGCGCCTAGTGCTGTGCCCAGCACCCTGATTTCGTCGTTTGTGGCTGATCGCCCTGAGCACGAGGATGAGAGTAGCGTTCAATCGTATCACTCTGCTCGCACCAAGGCCAGGTCTTCTCACAGCTCTGTTTCAAAACACAGCTCGCGTCGGGAAGGCAGGGACGACAGTAATAGCTCTAGTAGTCGTAAAGAGGGTCGCAGTTCTTCCCCTACGGAATCAAAGGCCCCTCCTCCCAAGCCACCGAAGCCTGCTTCCAAGGCCGCCTCAATCGTCAGTAGCATCCTAGGCCGTAACAAGTCCAAGGACCACGAAGAAGAAGACGACTTCATTGATGACCTTGATCTTGACGACTTCACCGAAGATGATCTCGACACCGTCGTCCCCAGCGACAGCATCTCGCAGATTGGCGACCCGTCGACTCGCCGCCGCCACCGCTCGCACCGCCACAAGAGCAAGAAGCACGACGACGGCGAATCAACCGTGAGCCACCGCAGCAAGAAGGAGAAGTCAGCCGACGACAACGAGTCTTCGGTCAGCAAATCTTCCAAACACTCGCATCGCTCCGAGCGCTCCGAGCGCTCCCACCGATCTCACCGGTCCCACCGCAACGACTCGGCCGACGACGAAGACTCATCGCGCCCCCACCGGTCGTCGCGCTCCTCCAAATCTTCCAAACCAAGCCTCGTCTCAGAGTCCAGCGAGGCGTCCACCATCCGTCCCTCCGGTAAAAAGACGTCCCGCAAGGATAGCCTCACTCAAGGCCAGTACGACGGCCTCTTCGATGAGGTGCAGTATGGTACCGGTGGTGTGCATGCGAGCAGACAGGTTACACCCAGTATGGCTAGCGCAGCGCGCAAGAACCCCATGCGTAGTATGATTAACTTTAGCCATGCGCAGAAGGTGAGGAACTTTGAGGGTAGTCAGGCGGGGCTGGCGAGGGATTAGAGTTTCCGGGGTTGCCCGGAGGGTCTGTGTGTGTGTGGTGTGGGGATGCAGGGTCTGTGTAGTTTGTGGCTTTTTCTTTGGTTTTGGGCTGGGTATTAGACGGGTGTGTGGTGGTAGTAGTGGTGGTGCGTGGTTTAGTGGGGAGGTAGTTGTTGTGGTTGCTGTTGCTGTTGTTGCAGGAAGCGTGCGTTGTTTTCATGTGCTTACTCTTTTGCTTCTTTTTGCGCAGATTGTTGTTCGCTTTCCGCAATCGTCGCATTTGCGTAACCATCTTCGATCTTCGATCGTTAGGCGGTTCGCTGTTGTCTGTTTTTGCTTTTTTTTAAACTTCCGTTTTTAGCGAGCTGAGTTTGGCATTTCGCGGGGTGCGGCATTGGGATCGGCGTTTTTTGTTTGTTTCAATCATGTGGCTTATGGACTAGATAGAAATGATAACTGCAAATGACATGGAGTTGTATTGGGGAAATCATGCATGATTCACCTTTCGATGGGATCGTGATGGATGGCGATGGTGTTGGTGTTGGCGATGGTGTTGGTGTTGGCGATGGTGTTGGTGATGGCGATGGTTGGCGCAATGGTCGTGTCAGTTTGATTAATCGATCAGAAGTGCGATGACGATGCGGATGACGATGCGCTGCTTTGATATCTGCCTGAAATATACCTCCCAATTCTATGGTTATGGTTTCTTCTGAGAGTGTAGAAGAGGGTGTGGAGGATTTTGGAGCGATCAAATCCAGGTGTAATAGCAGATTAATCTAAGATCTACCTGAGCATGATGCTTGTCTGTACCCCTAGCTGCAAACGGAAATAGCACACAATTTTATTTATGACGTCTTTTGTACGTCGCTAGTCGATTGTTTCCTCGAAGCTGTGTACGAGCCTGAACACGTTTGTCGTTCTGGATGAGCACTGCGAGATGTTGACCATGCCTTCGTTCTTTCATGTTTGCAAAGTGTTTGATCAGTGCATACAACGTAATAGTTGTTGATTTGGCTCTCTGGTATGATGCTAGCGTAAGCATATTTATCTATGTATGTTCCAAAACATACCACTAGAAGAGGTAACATGGAGTAGAGATACCGGCATAACGATACACAGGACATAGACTATTCCAAAGAGCAAACAGGAACGCTCCTTTACCCCTGGTTTTCTTCATCTTCTCTTCTTCCGTGGTCTTTTGTCTCTCTTCACACTCAGTCTCTTTTACCTACTAGTCTCTCTCCCTCCTCCTAACATCTCCCCCTTCCTCTTTCTTCCATCTCTCCTTATCTCTCGTTTTTACTCCTCCTATCTCCCATCTGTCCATCCATCCATTCATCCCTACACACTAACAACACCCCCACCCCTCCCCCCCAACTTAACCCTCCTCCAACTAACTTCCCTCGGAAAAAGCGCCTCAGGCGGTCCCTGCCCTGGATCGCATTCCCAACACTCACCTCCGCGCTCGCGAATCACTTCGGTGGGGAAATTGCATGTTGGGTGGCGGGGGCAGTTGCGGCGGACCCAGAAGTCGTGGTTGCATGTCGTGTGTTTTAGAGTGACTTTTGTGCACATCTTTATGGTTTACTATGTTGGTAGGGTGGGTTTATGTGTGTAGAGGCCTGCGGGGAGGAGGAAGATTGGTTTGAGGATTTGGTAGGTAGTGTTTTGCGATGATTGGGTAGGTCGTCGTCGAGATGTAGTTGTTTTACGCTATTTGGGGGGGGCGGTTTCTGTTTACTTGGGCTGTCACAACCTGTAAGATCCAGGAACTTCAAATTTCTTGTTCAGTCACGGTGGGGTACGTGTGGTGGTGTTGTTGAAGAGTGTAGACTGGCATCTTGTAACGACTGCCGTCTGCAGAGGAAGAGAAGCGTATATTCGTTTTCGGGACGTCTTCACGGCAATTTCAGGGCTACCCCGAAGTTTTTCTTTCGCGGAGACAGTACGGGGCTTCGAGATATGTGATGGTGGTAAAGACGTGGTAGTTCTACACAGCGAATTAACCTGTCAGTGAACGATCCCCTCGACACCTCAAACGAACAAGCATACTCACATCTCCCTAGACTTCTTCCGCACAACAACAAATCTCTTTCGTCCGCTTACGTCAGCCAAACCAATCCGGAAACCCACGATGAACCAACAAAACAACCGTGTTTTCATTCAGGGTCCAGCAAAGCTTACCCTTCTATATAAACCAGCCGGTCAAGCTCTGCGATACCTTAACCACCCCCGCAACTACTAATCTCGATATGCACCGACAACATGCGTCCTGTACCCGAAATCAAGATTTCCACAAGGTTCGAGCTTCGCGATCGCCGATTGAAAAGCTGCTTATCCAGGTGTCTGGCTTGGGGGACTCGCTAGGGCAACCTTCTGACCCTGCGTTTTGCGTCGAATACGGAAAGGCTGGTGTCGTACACATGCGTAGATATTGGCTACGAGTGCCCTGTGGCCCTGTCATGTTGGAATGTGGGTGGGCTGATGTTGGGCTTGTCACAAGGCTTGATTGATACAAATGTCATCGCCGATTGACCGCGTAGCCTTCGGCTGATTCCCGGAGCTTATCATTTTTTGATCAAGATGTCAAGATATTTTAATAGAATGGTGAACGTGTTTGAATGGAAATGAACACGCAACTGCTTGCTGGGTAGCCTGCTGCGAAACAGCTGTGGACGGAATGGGCTTGATATTGGAAAGTTCCATGTCGTACGAACGCAGATTTGGGTATCTCATTGGATAAATACAAATGTACCTGCTGTAACAAGAGGCATTGGACGTGTACATGAATCGGAGTGTAGCTCGAATCGGAAGAAACCGCATCGCTGAACGTCCGTGTACGGTGTCTATTCGGCTCGTCGGCCTGGAGTGGGCTGAATAACTAGATGCACAACGTTACAATGCTAGTAGAATGCATTCGGGTTGTTGTCATGGCCTCGGTTCCCATAGCCGTTATCGACGTCGTCCAAGCTCCTGTACTGCGATTGCCCACCTCCACCACGACCGCGTCCTCGTCCACCTCCACCGCCGCCGCCACCACCACCACGATCACCACGGTGGCCACCACGAGCCCCTCCCCTTGGAATGAAAGGTGGATTTCTATTTCCACCCCGACCGCGATCTCGGTTGCCGCCACGGTAACCCCCTGGTCGATCATCTTTGTCCCTGCCTCCTCGTCCGTTGTTTGGTCGGTAGTTGTCATTGCGACCATTCTGATCTTCCCTGCGGTGAGACTTGTTGGGAAAGTAGCTCTCGTACTCGCTCTCGTTGGCAGTCTCTTCCTCTATGCGTAACATCTGCTTCTCGCCTACAACACTATCGAATTCGATGGCCTGTTCTTGAGTCACTGGATGCCAGTTGACGATGCGTGCGGCATCTGCTGGTCTGCCATTTTTCCGAATGGCGAGGACCACGGTCGGTACTGGATTCTCAGAGTAGAATTTGGTCCCTTTGGGCACAGTCTCGACCCTTGCTGCCCAGAGCTTATTCTCGAAGCAAGAGATGGCCGTCACCTTCCATCTGACTCTTGCTCCAATACCGCCAACCTTTTCCAGAATACTCCTTGGACATGGCTTTGGTGTGATAAGTATGCTATTGGCGAGGAATCTGATGTCGTCTTTCGGACCTCCTTGTTGTAACGAGACAAGGGAAGTCAACTTCTCCGTCACATCGGAAGGTATCATGTAACCAGTGTAGAAGACCGTCTTCTTGATTTGGTAGGGCGGTGTACCCGGCGGAACGCTACCGGCCTTGACCTGTATGTTGTGCGCGTTGATCATCTTCTGGATGGCCGCGATTTCAGCAACCGGGTCGAGTTGTGTCGCATTCTCGGGTACCTGTATGACTTCGGTGGTGATGGGTTGACGTGACGAGTGGTTTTGTGCCCTCATCAGATCCTCGTTGAACTGGAAGAAGAAGTCGCGGAAGCCCTTGGTGTGCTTCACTCGGTCCTCGTAAATGTTCAGCTTCTCGGCATCCTTGTATGTGTAGACGATATCCTTGAGCAACTCTTGCTTGAATTCCATGGTACTCCTAAACTTCTGGCCTGCGGGCCCGATGGCTGGCTTCAAGCAAACCATGTCAAAGTTCAGGCCCTTGCTTCGCACGATACGCTTAACGAGGTCACTGAAGTTGGACTCTGAGCGGCCGGTCAGTAGCACACTGAGGGCGTCTTTCTGGGCCATTGATGATTCCACCAGCTCGACAATCTGTTCGTTCCACCAGCCTTGCCAAGCGCGTGCTTCTTCCTTTTCGAGGCCTTCGCCAGTCGCGGCTAGAATACTTGAGTCGTGCCACCAGCCTCCGTTGAGGAACATGTCGGGAGAGCCCAGCTGACCAATCGTGGCGCTGTTCCATAGCTGTTTGTTCGGGAGAGGGCTGGCGAATACTACAATCGTGTTAGAAGGGCTCGGGCCGTAGCTTGGATCTGCCTACAAGTATTGTCAAAGTCGTAGACATGGATGGCCTTGATTTCCGACACAGCAGGAAGATGCTTGTCGTCACATGACCATCTCTTCAGCGCCGTCACGGTGTGATGTGTCGCCGGCCGGGTCGAGGTTGCTAGCATCTTAGGTAGCGAGCGTGGTTTGGGAATGCGCCTGGCGGCAGCGAATAGCATGCACCTTCAATAAGGTGTAGAAATGGGCGCTGAAGCAACGTGATGAAACATATGCCTTGGTACGCGTGCTACGAGTGTGAAGTTTGTGTATTGAGCGAATGGGCTGAGTCTGGGGGAAGTCGCGACCACTTTTGGATGGCCCAAGCTTTGACTTCCGAGGGATGAGCTCATCATCGGAATCTATGCGCTTGCTCTTCTTCACCTACACCTGGCCGCTACCACGAGCCCCACGCATGCCCGTCAGTACTGTTGGTTCGACGAACAACGATTCGGAAGATAGTTGCGTGATATGTCTCTCATCTCTTACCGAGAGGGCCATCACCGTGCCGTGCAACCACTACACGTTTGACTTTGTCTGTCTGGTGTCATGGCTGCAGGAACAGTCGACTTGTCCACTATGTAGGTCATAGATAACAACAAGACCAGGAATCCTCTAATACAGGACCTAGGCAAAGCACAAGTTACTGCTGTCCAGTATGACTGGCGCTCTCCGACCGACTACAAACATTATGCCGTTCCGCACAGCCACCCTCCCAGCAATGCGCCTCACAGTCGCACTAATCGGCCCGCCTCTCTCTTTGCCCCTTATGGGCTACCGAGAAGACCACGAGGTCCGCGTCGTCCATATTCGCCACCGGTAGAAGACGTCGCGCTCCGTAGGCGTAGGGACGTGTATCAGAGGAAACTGTATTCGCTGCACGTGGGAAGCAATCCATATTCTGGATATCGTGACATTTCTCCGCAGTTAATCGCAGAGTCTCCTGATCTGCAGTCAAAAGCTCGTTCATGGATTCGGCGGGAATTGCGCGTGTTCACTTTTCTACACGCCGACCCTACAGATCCATCCCCTGCGGTAGCGGCGACAAGCAGCAACGCCGAGTTTCTATTATCTTATATCGTGTCGATCCTGAAAATGGTCGACTTGAAAGCAAGCAACGGCCATGCCGAAAACTTGTTGACCGAATTTCTAGGCAGGGACAACAGCAAGCTCTTCCTGCATGAGCTCAACGCGTGGTTGAGAAGCCCGTACACCAAACTGGAAGAATGGGACCAGGAAAACCAATACCGGTGACAACAGATCCGGCAGTCACATCGTGGACTGCGCTATTTCAGCCCTGCATCATTTCTGTGCTTGGAACGCGCGAAAGCTTAAAGCTTACTCCGCATTACCTTCACCACTATCTCCATTGCCGTAAGCTTAGTCTTGAACTGGACACGTCTGGAACTATCTTCTCGCAATATGTAGTGTTCGGCTGTTTTCATAATACCGTTCGAGACGTTATAACCCCCCAGCTAAGCTTATTCCGACTTAGTACCGCATCATGTTTCGTGTCAGTTTCGCGCCCCGCATATCTTACAGGATTGCATACGGACATGTTCACCGCATACCTCTGCATGATTGATGCAATGCTGGGTAAACATCCACAGATGTACACCCAAGACGTTGAGGAAGTCTAGAATTCCAGAGCATGCATATGTATGGTGTTCCTCTGATCTATCGGCGCTCGCCAACTTGACTGTCACCGGAAGCAGAAGTTGTTTCGTCTCTACGGTCTATGTTCCTTGGTTGATTATCAATGTTTCGACATTGCGGCACTGATGCTACAGCGTGGCTTAATCTTCTTAGCATTGCCCCGCTGTCATGGATGTACTGCTTGCTTCAAGGGTTAGCATTGCACTTAAGGGTACCATGATATCGTCTGAACATCTCCACTCCCTTCCGCTTCTTCTCATTTCCTGGGATGCACTGGTTCTATACCCCTCATTTTGTCTTGTTCTTTTGAGTACCTGTACATTAGCGCTGGATCGCTATTTTTAATATCTAATCTTTCTTCACCCTCAAGACATTCCCACCTGCTGTGAGGTTCGGATTCACAGACCTGCATCTTCCGATTCGACACGCTGTACCAAAGATGCTTTCCTCTACACTTTTGGTCGGCGCCCTTTGTGGGATATCAGCTGCCAATCCTCATCCATGGATGTACGGTGTGCCCGACTACGCGTGGGATCTCGACATGAACGAAGTCATGACCCAGGCCGATGTGGATCTTATGATGGCCGCGGATGCTACTACCGATGCTGCAAGCCCAGTAGGAGGCCTCAACACAACTACTCCGTCAGCATCCTCTGGGATAGAACCATGTGCGGTTCTGAGCCGCGCTCTGGCAGCAATGCCAGCCGGAGCACGACCGGTTGTTCCTGCCGAGTTGGGAGTGTCGTGTCTGCAATCGGTACCCCTCGACAAGGCAGGCAATGTACAGCTGATCGACGAGCTAAAGGTCTTTGTCAAATGGCAGTCCAACATAGCATATCTGAGGAACCCGCCAAAGGAGTACACTGAAAAGGCCGTCGACATCGAGGGCGAATTAGACACTATGCAAAAACAAGTGGCAGCTGGCGGATTCAAGTCTGAATACGAGTTCCAGCTGCAAATGTTGAACCTGTTTACCAGCGCCTACGACAACCATTTCGCCTACCAACCCGATATTCTGGCTTCAGCCATGCAATTTCAGAGACCCCCAGGCTCCGAGTTGGTTTCAGTATCCTCCGATGGCAAGGCACTGCCAGAGATTTATGCGTACCGGGATATCTTGAGGGCGAACAACGACACCTCATTCAAACCGTCGCCTATCAAGATGATCAACGGCATGGATGCTCAGAAGTTTCTCGCGAACGAATCCATGTCATCCGACTTCCACGACGCAGACACACGGTGGAACGCTCTGTTCCCATCTCAAGCCCTTCTGGCATCTGGCACAACATACCTTGGTTCTTTCCGTACTGGCCAGTACCAAGGACCCAACACGACTTTCCAGTTTGCCAACGGTACTACCTGGTCCCAATTTAATCTTGCCGTTGCTTTTGGTAACTTTACTGGTGTGGACAGTGGCAGTGCGTTCTTCAAGAGATTTTGCAATGGTCCTGCGCCCATCACCACCAGACCCCCGGCTGCGTCGCCGACCACAAACACCACGAAGCCATCTACACCCACACCCAAACCCGCGCCGTCCCAGGTTAATTACCCAAAAGCCCAAATTATCAACCCCAATCTTGCTGTTGCAGGATACTATCTCGATGGTGCAGCATACAAGGTACGTTTTCCCCATGATATCATGCGCTTCTCTAACATTTGTAGGATGTCGCTGTTCTCAGCATTCCTTCTTACGAATCTCCGGACGTCCAAACCTTCCAGAACACGATGCGAGATTTTATCCGTATGTGCAAGAAAGACGGAAAAACGAAGATGATCTTCGATATGCGCGGCAATGGTGGAGGTAATGCAATCCTTGGTTACGACACCTTCAAGCAGGTCTATCCTGCGGCCTTAGCCGACCCCTACGGTGGAACACGCTTTCGCGCAAATGACGCCCTCAACAGCGCAGGAAAGATGACGCAAGACTTTTTGGCCAACAAGACATATGCCCAGTCCAATAAGACGGCATTCGCCGAAGCGTTCGGTAGGGGAACTACACAGCAAGATATCTTTCAACTTGCTCAGCCCTTCAACTACCAACACATTCTCAACATCGACAACAAAGCCATGGCCAGTTGGTCAGAAGTTTTCGGCCCCACACAAGCCAATGGCGACAACTTCACCGCGACGCTCCGCTACAACTACACTGACAGTCTGAGCACAACTTACACGGGCTTCTCCGTCATCGGTTTTGGCGCAAACGCAAACGAAACAAAGACACCGGCGCCATTCAAACCCGAGGACATGGTCATGCTTCACGACGGCATGTGCTCCTCGACCTGCGCCCTCGCCTCGGAGCTCCTCAAGAATCAAGGCGCCGTCCGTACAATCGCTGTCGGCGGCCGTCCTCAACCAGGCCCCATGCAAGGCGTTGGTGGCACAAAAGGCGCCCAAGTCTTCGCCTGGGATGACATCTCAATCCGCCTACAAGCCGTCTTCCTCCTTGGCTCTCCCGCCGAGCAGAAAGAATGGAACAATACCGACCTGGGTAAAACGGCGTTTGCAACACAGCTCTTCAAGCGCAGTGCGTACAACGCGGGTCAGGTGGCCGGTGGCGTTAACCTAAAGGATAATTTGAGACTGGCGGATACGAGCGGTACGCCCCTCGAGTTCATGTATGAGGCGGCGGATTGCAGGATGTGGTTTACGAGCAAGATGATTAGCGATGTTACCGAGGTATGGAAGGGCGTGGCAGACCGCATGTTCATGGGTAATGGAACCATGATGGGGTGTGTAGAGGGGAGCACTGGCGCTCCCAGTAGTATCTCTGGTGGCGGTCAGCTGAGGGGTGGTGATGGCAAGACGTTGATGAAGAGCACGAGCGTAGCGGCGGTGGCAATGGGACGCATGGGCGAACCTAAGAACGGAACGGCGCCGGATATGTTTAGAGGAAGTGCGTCAAGGCGTATGACTGCGAGTCTAGGCTCTGGATTCGTTGCTAGTATCATGGGTCTGGCACTGGCCTTGTAAACGTTTGTGTATGTACATCTCTGTTATTTTCCTTTTTCGTGGGTTTTCGAAAAGCACTTCACAATGGCATTCCGAGTAGCGCTCATGCTGTAAATGTATGTGTATATACATTGATTCATAAAATATTCATGTATGTAAAATAATATCAACAAGAAAGGTGCCATTGCTGGAAGTGTCGCCCAAATGTAGTGACAGAGTTCCTAGGCCTCAGAAGAAGAACGTCATGCGTCATGCGTCATATCAACCAGCGCTTTTGTTTTCGCCGTACCACAAACAAACTTAGTAAGCGTTGGCAGACCACTGGTTCACGGTGAACGTAGCAGGTCCACCAGTGAAAGCCTCAGTACCGAACTGGTAAGCTAGAGAGAAAAAAAGTCAGTACACATGCTGCGACTGCATTCGCACTAGCAGAAAACTTACTGATGAGGTTCTGGGTAGTGATGGGAAAGCCCTTGTTGTTGGCCAACCAGGTGTAAAATTCCTTGAGGTTGGCGCTGAAGTTGTTGACGACGCTGGGGGCAACGAAGCTGTACACCTTCATCGATCCGTTGAGTCCGTACCAGAGTTCCCAGGTGCGGCCAGCTACGGTGACCATGCCCTGAGAGGTGCCGATGGGGTAGACGTTGTACCTGGCGAGCCTGTAGGGATGGTGGTTAATATATGTGCTACAGGGAACTTTATATCTAATTTGATGAGCTGGCGAGAACTTACCAGACCATGAGTTCGTAGTCTCCGCTGCTGGTGGAGTGGTTGATGTCCTGGGCAGTGAAGAGATCGTATGCGACGTTGCAACGGATGTTGTTTGTGTCGTAGACCCAGTAGGCCTCGGTTTGCATGTTGTTCAGCTGGCTAACAGGCTTCTTGGTGAACTGACGTCCAGAGTAGACGTAGCTCTTTACGTTGTCCTGGCCTCCGGACCAGTTCCATTTGGAGCGCCATTTGGCGCCCGTGGAGCTGACGCTGTCGACGTAGGTGCACTGCGAGCCTCCGGTGGCGGCGCTGGTGCCCCAGAGGTTGTTGTTCAGCTCATAGCCGTTGCTGGAGTAGTACTCGTAGGTCTTGCAGAGAGTGGCTTGCTGAGCAGAGGCGACGGAGGCGATAACGCCGACGATGAATGCGAAGGCCTTCATGGTGTGCAGTGGTTGGATGATGTGGATTGTCTGTGGCTGTCGTCGTGCTGGTCATGCTTCCGTGAGGTGTGCAGCACCTTTTGTATTCTCCAAATTCAATGTCATGGTCCGCTCCCATCCCCCCTACTTTCCACGTAGTGGGTACTTTAGACGGTGGACGTTTCCCAGAGTGGGCCTTTCATATAATCATGTGCACTTGTACTCGCGAAGCGTCCCTAGATTCCGACGGACTTCTCCAAACGGTCGCTCGAGTACCTGTCACTACCAGCATTACTAGGGCGAAGATCAACTCACATGATACATGAGTAGGACCGTAATATGCGTTGCCAATGAGATGGCCATGCACTTATCTGGTTCTGATTGCGTGCAGCTAAGGCTAGTCTCCGCACCGTACTTCTGCCGCGGAACTTTTCATCGGTAATAATCTGCCGTGACTACCGCCCAATTCGCCATCACCGCGCAAGACTTACCCCGGAGCCCGGACTTGTAGCCAGGAACGCACATCTTTCCGCTTTGTAGCGCGCTTTACCTGTAACGTCGGGCTTGCTACCATTCGGCGAAAATCTCGATGCTCGAATAAGTTTGTGGGACTGAACGCCACTGGTGGAGATGAGACCCCATGAACTTGATGTTCCATCAATGAATGCTTGATAGACGGAATTCGTGGCCGTTGTTCCTGTTTCCCCACAAACACCCTGGTAGCACACTGCATGTATGAGCGGCGACAGAAGCTTATACCTGGGGCTATCTCTTGTGGGGTCGCGGGTGCAAGTGCAAGAGCGAGTTCAGTAAACGTTGGAGTTACTAGTTTGTCCAAACACGCTACGAGGGCGATCAGTTCTTCATCCGTGGTGATCTCAGGAATTGGGACAGAATAAGAAGCTAAAAATCCCAGACGGTCGGCGTGGATACAGCGACCAGGAAATTGGTCGTACGCATAGTAATGGGATGTAAGAATCCGACTGTGGCTGTCCGAGTCAGAAACAAATTGACTTGTCCGTCATGATATGAGGTGATGTTCAGAGAAGGTACGGCGACAGTGTGCTTACCTCAGAGCTAATGTCTGCCAAGAGCTCGGGTGAGGCAGTCGCTCACCCACGAGGAGACCCACCACACCTCATCCATCCTTGCGCCTCTATCCTTTCTAATATCCGTGTCTCAAGTCGTCGTTATACAAATTGAGGCAGTCTTGGTACCAATATCGTTGTTATCGCTTCTTGCGGCATTCTCTGTGTGTGTTAATTGTATCACTCTCTTCTTCCTTCGATCGTAGGTAAACTAGATACATGCTGGGAGTCTGACAGAACATTTTCAGTCACATATTCCACGTGCCAACCGAAGCTGCTTCCACGGACACTTTTCCAAGCGTGCTTACTTGATCCAGGTTTTGTCCCGCCTCCGAACGGTCCGGACGGGAGGTTTTGTGGGGTCATGACTCGCCATCAGCTTTGAATCCTTCACAGCGGCTCCGACGCCGTCTTGGGCTAAACCATGCGGCTCTGTTCTGTACTGGATGATTGGCTATACCGACCTCTACTCAATTCAACTAGTGTTCATTCAGTCATCTGGTGTGAGATAGGCAGCTGATTTACTTCGTCGGGAGACTTTGGTTTACTTCTCGTGTCTCCTCCACCGGGACAACGGGAACTCGACCGTCTGTGTTCTTCACACCGGCCCTTTTGATTTACCAGGTTCTTCATTCTGAGATTTCTCCACAACCGGGACTAAACAGTTCGTGCCAGTATCGGCACATGCATAGCGTAGAGGTTCCTCCGTAGCTTGGATAGTTATGGTATCCCAGCTCTACTTTCTCGTTTTCACCCGCCTCCCATGACTTGCGTTCAGCATATGAAGAAGTAATTGTTAGACCAGGTATAACTTCAGACATTTAGTATCATTTCGAGCGACGATTCCAATAATAGGCTGACGCGGTTCCTTATTATGCAGGCAGATCCCAGTGGACACTCGTAAACCACCACACGAGAAAGCGGCTTGATCTTTCCAACACTAGCAACGTCGGCACTAGTCTGTCGTTGAATCTCTCCATTAGATGTAGTTCCAGCTCTGTCGGGACAGAACTGTCACGCCTTCCAAAGTCATCGATCTCTACTCGCCACTCAGTAGCATTCAGTCAGCAGTGATACTATCTTTAGTTCCCTCTAGCCTAATTAAGCGACCAAGGGGTTTGTTTATCGGATTTGGGGAATATGTTTCTGCTCTGCTTATGTCTAGGCTTGCACTTGCATATTGTTGCTTGTCAGACCATCTGGAGGTGTCGTCGCACTGGTAAAAGACGAGTCACACTGTGTTGGGGCCAGTCCAAAGTCACAGGTCGATGAAGGAGTCGTATTCGAAGACTTAACTCAGTTAAGAAAGAGGGGGATGAATGGAGTTCAATACATGCGCTAAGACTTATCGCTTTGATGTGGCGATTTTCTCGATTTCGGCACTGTTGATCGGTTCCAAACAACCTCAATGAAGCCGCGTTCTGAGGACAAGACGTGATATATTCTCTTCGAAAGTGGCCTACTTGACAACCTCAAGGTTAGGTTTGTCGCTGGGGACACGAGGTGGCAAGGTCGCGATGAAGGACTCAAGACACTTTGGCTGGTTGAGTTTTGAATATCAGTGAAGCTGGAGAAGAGACGAGGTACGAGGTTTCACTGCTCTCGAACGAAAACCTTCCGAGTTGTGGTACCAGGATATTTTTACTTGAATCACAGGATCACAGCTAGCAGCTGCAGCCTACCTAACTAAGCAGAGAGCTAACTAGGTAGTTGTAGGCATGAGAAACCCCGCTCCATATCGCACGCGAGTTCCATCACCATAATGTAGCGCTAAGCAAACAAGTGCGCGCCGAATGCCTGCATCGTCTACATATCGGATTTTCAATGGAGGATGACCTCAGCCCCCTCGAATTGGCTGCGCATGCAGACGACATTGACGCGTTCAACGCGCTCCTCCCAAGACCGCTTCCAGAGAATCGTTCTACACACTTCCTAACAATATTCCTCCAAGCAGTCAAAGGAAATAGTGCCTTAGTGCTCTGTTGGCTGCTTGAAAATGACGCTTTCAAAAAGGCACCTCTAATCCAGATGGCTGAGCGTTTCAGAGCCTTCAGGATACTAGATATGCTGTTTTCGAAGTATGGATACGACATCAATGAAACCCTATTTCACAGCATCCCGCCGATGCTGAGGTGTGTCCTCCGAATCTCATTTCTTGCATCTTCCTCTCCTGCGATTGTTTTTGATGGAGCTTGTTACGCTCTTTTTATTATCCTGGAAGCCACAAAACTATCATTCGCCTATAAAGAATTAAGCGAGCGGGCATAAAACGAACGCTCTTATCCAATATTTCGGGGTCTTCAGCCAGACCCAATCAACGGGATATCCTCGCTCGAGTTTCACATCACGAACCAACAGTTCGCAAATCTGCAGCTGACACGAGCCACCAACAAAGTGCACAGCTCGCCTTGCGAATGCTTACAGTTTCAAGTTCCATCGCTTTGTACGTTTCCGCACTTAATCTAACGGATTATCGCCTGGTCCAGTCAAAGGCTCCTGCAGAACACGACAATGAAATCTGCCCAACCGAGCGCCAGGGTCTTGCGAAGAGCCCTGATGCAGCATCGTATCAAGATAGCGAGGATCTGAAGCCGTATTCTCCTACACAGAAAGATTTTGTCAGTATAAATCTGAACATGCCCTCCATGGTTGAAACGGCACGCTTGAAGCTGTACACTCGTTCCACACTCATTCTTTTTTCCAATCTTTGTCCTTTTCAGTCTTTACATTTTCCATTCTTTTCACATACTCACTCTTGACGAGGATAGAGTTTTCAACCAATTTATCACCAACTTTGATAAGCAAACATGAAGGCCACCATCTACGCTCTCGCCTTCGCTAGCATTGTTAGCGCCCATACCACTGTCTACAGGATCGTTGTCGACGGAAAACCACAGCCCCCCGGAAATGTTCAGGGCGGATATATTGATACTCCACCTAGCAACAGCCCTGTGGTTGATGTCACTTCTCAGGCTATGGAATGTAACGTAGCCGGCATCAAGGCTACCACTTCTGTTGCTGTCAATGGCGGTTCCAATATTGCTGTGTGTATTGACGTTGCACTTTTTCTTTGGCGTATACTGACATGACGCCTTCTAGGTCGAATGGCACCACAACAGCGCTGATGCCGGCGACGACATCGTCGCCACGTCCCACGTTGGACCCATCAATGTCTACATGTCAAAGGCAAGCTCCTCCATGTCCTGGACTAAGATCTCGGCGGAAACCTATGATGGCACATGGCCGGTTACAAAGCTCATCAAAGGTCTCTATACGGGCACGCCCGGCCAGCACAATTTCACCCTCCCCAATGTTGTACCAGGAGATTATGTCATCCGGCCCGAGATCATCGCTCTCCACGAGGGAAACAGGGTAGGTGGTGCGCAATTCTACCAAGAGTGTATTCATGTCAAGGTTAGCGGGTCTGGTACCGCTGTTCTTCCTGCTGGCGTGGCTATCCCTGGCTACGTCACTGCAAACACTCCTGGTGTGCTGTTCGACATTTACAACGGCTTTACCAAGTATCCCAACCCTGGTCCCGAGGTCTGGAATGGGGCTTCTGGCGCTGGTACCCCTCCACCCGCGAAAAGCCCTGTTGCCGCGACTCCATCGCCATCGCCATCGCCATCTCCAGCTCCAGCTTTCAACACCCCTGCTTCCAAGCCTCCTTACAACGTCAATGCTGCTCCCAAACCCGACCCGGTGACTGGACCTGCCTCCAAGCCTCCTTCTAACGTCAATGCTGCTCCCAACCCCGACCCGGCAACTGGACCTGCCTCGAGCACACTTACCACAATGGCTAGGCCCGTTGCTACCCCTAATGATGGCCTCGTACAGCCTTGGGGTCGGTGCGGTGGTCTGGGCTACACGGGCCCCACTACATGTCATTCAAGCTGCCAGTGCAAGAAATGGAACGACTGGTACTCTCAGTGCGTGTAGGGGTATGCTTTCGATGACAGATTTAACGGTCATGAAAGGCTGGGGTTGGCATGGAAAGGCTTTGTTTGTTTGAGTGTTTTGGGAGGGTTGCAGGTTTGCGAAAGGCTTTGTTGACGGTTGTTATTATCTACAGCAGTGGCTTGATGGCCACTTTCGATTCTTGTGTAAATACACGATGGGTGTGATGAGAAGGAATATGCACCTCTTTTAGCTTGGAAGCTTCTCCTTTACGTGATTTCGAATGTACTCTGACGTGTCCACATCGGTGAGGTCTTTCTAGGCACTGTACCTACGTGTCGTGCGTGTTTCGTACATCTGGGGACAGTGGGGAAGCGTGCCACAGTAGGGATAGACGATGACATCCAGGCTCACTGCATGTGTTGTTGAGTGGGACTGCTCCGGTGACGGGCTCGGGCGGAGATGACCACGTCAAAGGGCATGCATGACTAAGCCGGTTATTGTCGCAATAGCACCCTGGCGCCTCATCATCTCCTACGGCAAACGTGCGCCGACACTCGGGGAACCCTACTCAGCAAATCTGCCGCAGATGACAACTCATAACACAACACAAACATGCCTCACTCTCCTTGACTTCTTTAACCCCCCGCAACACTCGCACAACTTATGAGAGCCCATAAACCGCCATCATGATCGCTCCTTCCAGCGCCTGGGTCCGCGTGAGTCTACGTCGCATTCCGAACGCCCCTTCTCCTCGGAACGGCAATACCGGAACTCCTTCACCCTTTGAACACACACGCTTCCGATTCAACCCGCACACATCACGTCGCTACAATGCCCCACGACCAAACGCCGGCCAAATCAATGAGAGTGCGCAGACAATTCCCGGCCCGAGCTGGCTTTGGCTTCAACCCATCATCGAACCCTTCCGCGCATATGGTCGCGTGCAACAAAGAAAGCCGTACATGACACAGTTGATATCTTCGCTGGTCATTTATTTTGTTGGGGATTTGGTGGCGCAGAGTATCTCGCCTACTCCCACCACGGCCGAAAGTCTGGCACTTGCGGATGATGCCGAGGAAAAAGGATGGGTCCAGGAATGGAGCAACAACCGCGACTGGGCACGTACGGGTCGCGCACTTGTCATCGGAGGATTGAGCTCCATTCCATCGTACAAGTGGTTCTTGTGGCTGTCCAACAATTTCAACTACAGCTCAAAGTTGCTCTCCATAACGACAAAGGTGTGTATCTTCTTCCCCACCGCTAGTTGCGTACGCTAACAATGCCCAGGTTACTATAAACCAAGCCTTCTTCACTCCCTTGTTCAACTCGTACTTCTTCGGCATGCAATCCCTTCTTTCAGGCGCATCCGGTGCCGAGATTGTCGAACGAATCAAGAACACAGTTCCAACAAGCTGGCTCAACAGCTGCAAAGTCTGGCCCGCCATCACGGCCTTTAGCTTCACGTACATACCGCTTCAGTACAGGAGCATATTCGGCGGCGTCATCGCAATCGGCTGGCAAACCTATCTCAGCCTGCTCAACCAGAGAGCCGCTGCCAAGGAGGAGAATGGAGCTGAAGCAGAACACGTGCCAGCTGTAAAGACAAGAGTTATGGAGACCAGGGCAGAGCGTGGGCACGGCCAGCAAAAGTGTCCCATGTGATGCACCTGCTACCGGAATTCAACATCAGCAGCGTTTCGGACTCATTGGACGAGTTTCATCGGCTGACGGACTTGAGTCCGACAACACGACATTCACTTTCCTGACTTAGGTCAGCGACTTCTTTTTTCCTTTGTTCAATTGTAGATATCCAAGAGCGAGCACATCGCATATAGACTGGCGTTTGGGGATTTGATACCACGAGTAAACCGCATAGACGATAGGACGCAATAGCCACCATATTATTATCATCACATTAACACATTAACACATCAACATTTACATCAAACCCTTCCCCGAAATATATCCGAGACACGGGTTTTCGATTGATTGCCATTCACTTGCTCATCGGAATACAAGGACCATTATGATCTTCAGAGGACCGCCGGAAAACACTATCCGGAGACCTCAACCAGCCAGGTACACAGCTATATCAGCGTAACAACCATTCTGGCTAGTATCATTCATATAATATGTTGAGGCGTTGCTTCATCCCTGGCCTACGTTACGGGTCGACCCACCCTATGCACCAATGAGACACCAACCAAAGACTTGCCCCCACCCATGCGGCTCTTCGCTGGTGTGTCGGAGTGTGCCAAGCGGACGTCATTTACACAAAAGAAAGCGCTTGCGATAGTGAAATCGGCGCTCTAGAGGAAAATGTTCAGGAGCGCGGTCAAGCGTGTCTTGTGATGTCATGATGTCGACTGTGGAAATAAAAAATGAACAAAAACTTTAATTTCAGTCGGACATTCCGAGTAGCAACACGCTTCTCATATGCATATATTGCAAGACCTTCAGAGAAGTCAATTTCAACCCCCATCCTACAATAGTATCTCATCATGGCACCACCACCCTCTGCAACCCACAGCATGAACTCTGAATCCCACACCTCCACCCACCAACGCTCCGAGCTCTCCAAAATGACCAATCTACCACCCTCCCTAGAGCAAGCACTCTCCCACCTAGACCAGCAGTTCTGGATCTCATGCCCCAAACTCAAGGAAATCGTCCACCGCTTCCGCGAAGAGCTGGAACAAGGCCTCGCCCGCGACGGGCAAAACATACCCATGAACATAAGCTGGGTGCACGCCCTACCCAGCGGCCGGGAAAAGGGAACGATACTAACCCTCGACCTCGGCGGCACCAATCTACGCGTATGTAAAGTGACGTTACTCGGCGACTCCGACGAGCAACAAGGAAGCGACACGCAAAAAAGCGTCTTGGAGCAGGAACAATACAAACTCCCTGCGTCCTTGAAAACAGGGTCCGCAGAGAACCTATGGACATTTATCGCAAAAAAAGTAGCTGCGTTTATAAAATCCAGAGGACTGGATAAACAGTATAACATGCAGAAACGCATGCCTCTTGGCTTCACTTTCTCGTACCCAGCGACACAGCACCGTATCGACCATGCTATCCTGCAGACGTGGACGAAAGGGTTTGATATCCAAGGGGTGGAAGGACAAGATGTCGCGGCGCAACTACGGGAGAAACTTGCAGAGAAGGAACTACCAGTCCAGCTCATCTGTGTTATCAACGATACTGTCGGCGCAATGGTGGCGTCGGCGTATAACGACCCAGATACCATTGTTGGCGCCATCTTCGGTACAGGGTGTAATGCTGCGTACCTCGCCCACGTGTCTAGTATCGGGAAACTGGATCCAAACGATGAGCGCATCACAGCTGCGTCGGCGCATAACGGCGCGAGCAAAGGGGAGGAGATGATGGCGGTGAACTGCGAATACGGTGCGTTCGATAATGCGCATCGCGTGCTACCACGTACCCCGTACGACGAGCGCATCGACGCCGAGAGTCCGCGGCCAGGCGAACAGACGTTTGAGAAGCTATCCGCGGGACTGTATCTAGGCGAGATATTCCGGCTTGTGCTTGTTGATTTGGTGGATAAGGGGCTGGTGTTGCAGGCACAGAGTGAAGACGACGGGTTGAAGAAGCTGTATACGGCGTATACGATTGATACCTCGTTTCTCTCGCAGATTGAAGACGACCAGTCGCCTTTGTTTGCGGATACACGCGAGCTTTTTGCAAAGACACTAGCGCTCGAGCCTTCAGATGTGGATTTGGAGGTTTCGCGTAGGATCGCTGAGATGGTTGCTGTACGTGGTGCGCGTCTGTGTGCGTGCGGTATAGCGGCTATTTGCGGGAAAGAGGGGATCGAGGGGGGAAATGTGGCTGCGGATGGGAGCGTGGCGAATAAACATCCAAAGTTCAAGAAGAGGTGGGCGAGGGCGTTGGGCGAAGTGTTAGATTGGGAGGATGGGGATGGGGAAAAGGGTCCGATTCGCATTACGAGTGCGGAAGATGGGAGCGGTGTTGGTTGTGCGATTATTGCGGCCATGGAGTTGGAGAGGAGGGGGGAGATGTAGATGTGATGGTCTTGATGAATGCAGTGTTTATTCTGGCGTTGGTCACACTGCCACTGCTTCGTTCCATGCATCAACATCTTCATGGCTGTAATGGTAATGCAACTACAGCGAATCCCAAGTGATCCTGCAACTAGATCTATGTTGAGGGGTCATAGAACCTGCCAATGAATGCGACTGCCCTTCTCTTCCACACATTTTGTGTGGTCTTAAGCTTCAATCTCCTGGACCTCGGCATGCCTTCTCGGCTGCGTAATGCTCATGGATTGATGGCGCCTCTGTGGTGCGGACGCCTCGTTCTTCTACACTGCGTCTTCGACACCGGGTATTGGGTTCATGCAGTCTGTCTGTTAATACACAAAAGCCAGACGTACGCGGTCCTCAGTCAGACTCTTCCTCTTCCTCCATAATTTCTTCACATCGTTCCCTAAGCTCTTCCACACCTGCAACACCTTTCCACTTGTCCAGTATCTTGCTAACCTCCTCCCATTCCTTCTCCGCCTCCTCATCTTGCTCTTGGTCAATCAACTCTTGCAGTCGCCTTGGCGTGTCTAGCACCCATTTGACAGTATCCTTTTGTCTCTTCTTCTTCTTCTCTGCCTCGGTTTTGTCTCCCTGGTCTTGTTCGACATTGATGCTAATTCCCAGGCCCTCTTCTTTCGGTTGAGGTATCTCATGCAATGACGAAGATAATGAAGCGGCTGTTTCGGCAATGTGCGAGATGGCAGGACCGAGCGTGTGGGTGGTGGGCGCGAGAGGATCCATGTTACCGCGCATTCGTCGGATTGTGCTGGTAGCAGACAGAAGTTTGGAGTAGTTGTCATAGACGAGGGATTTGCGGTCGCTATCAAGATTCCTGATCTCTAGCAACGAATTAGCTCTCTACACACTCATATAGATATGGATATAGATATGCGCACGTGATATCAAGTCGGCTTCCACCTTTAACACGCCTTTTAGACCCTCTTTCGCAAGTAGAGCTTCGACGAATGCTTCGGCATTGAAGTCGGCAGAATCCAGCTCCGTCAGCGTCTCCTCATCATCGAGTGCTACCTGCGATCTTGACGGCTCTTCGGATATTCTTGCATCGGGCGTTCCATCTCTAGGCCCGTTTTTGAGGCCGTAGAATTCGCGGAGGGCGGCGCGGTTGCGACGTATGGCTTGGGGAGGCCGGTGCGAAGAACTACTGTCGATTGAGGTGCGGGTCAAGGAAGGGCTGCGAACCGAGGAGCTGGGCCGGGGAGATGCTATTATTGACATGTTATTTATCGCTTACAGTGAGGTTGAGGTTTGGTTGTTGGAGTGTTGAAGCTTGAGGTTCTGTAAAGGGCCGAGGCCGGCGTTGTAACGTTAAAAGAGCCCCACGTCATTCTACGCGTCGCGTCTCCCACTCATTTCTACTATGAAAGCTAGACAATACGAATAGGAACCGGGTGCAACTAATCTCCATCATCAATCAATCTCCATCATGGCAGCTAATATTGCAACGGAGCTAACACAGCACCTCAATGCTCGACATCTCTATCCAACTGTGGTATGGCTCCAGGGCTTCCTCTCCACAGTCCGACCAAATACTCCGCTGCCCGCCATCAAGCAAACTGCACTCTTTCGCCTTCTGGCTACTGACATCACCAACTCGCTCAGCCAACCAGCCGCCTCTCTGTTCCCGTCCGACATACTCAAAGGTACTACTCAGACCCGCATCGTCGCTGGTCCAGTCGTATGTCAAGTGCTCGACATTGAAGACATTGGCCACTCGCGCTGGTCACAGGTTGAATCAATCGAAGCCAGAGAGCGAGGTGAGATGACCAAAGGACGGGAGATTGTGCGTGTCGTAGAGCAAGAGAATGAAGGCACTACCGAAGCTGCAGCGCCTGTTCAGAGCAAAGGGCCTTTCAAGTTATTGCTGCAAGATGCGAAAGGCTTGACAATTTACGCCTTGGACTTGAGAGGTATTGATGGCATCAACACAAACATGGTCATGGGCCTCAAGCTTGTTCTGCGCAATTTTGACGTTCGGAGAGGCGTAGTCATGCTCGAGCCTGGTAATGTTCAGGTTGTGGGTGGGAAGCTGGAGGCGCTTGATAAAGCCTGGAAAGAGGGGAGGAAAGATAGGCTGATGGCCGCGGCAAGAACGATGGGACAAACTGCGGGGTAATCAGTTGGATTTCTTCCAGCTGCATCCTCCAGCTCATCCTCCAGCTCATCCTCCAGCTCATCCATTCAAGAACACCAGTCAACTGCAATCCTACTGCAAACATGTTTTGCGAAACATGCATCGGGTTTCTACAGCACCATCGCAATCTCCTCTTTTCAGACATCACAGCCGACTCATGTGATTTGGTGAGAAGCTCAAGCAACTTCTTGCTAGCTGTCACTGATAATGCTCAAGGAATACGGTCTCCACCGGACATGCGCCTCTCTTGCTGCATCTGCGGCCAACCATTGTCCAATCTGCCATCAGCTTTGGGATCAAGTCCAAGGATCCGAACGAGAAGCCTTACTTTCCGCCGAGTTGAGCCGTGATGTGTCTCAAGATTTTGTTCAAAGTCGTGTAGATCTACAATCCACGTTCATCACGATAGCGAAACTTACAAGATACGAGGAACTTCAAGAGACTGGCATAAGTATTTACTTGCGCACTGTACTACTTACGCGACGAATTTACAAATCTCTACTTCAGCTTGAAAAAAGAAGTCGGTATGTTGTTTTTCATGGGACAGGACGCAGACCAACTGAGTGTAACACAGATTATGTTGACAACCGAATTACCACTGACAACACATCTTCGGATGAGTCTATTCAAGTAGCATCTAGGTGGCTTCAACGTTGTAATGAGCGTCATGAGAAATGCAAGATGAAGGAGTACGGCGATACTTGGTATCCAACGCGTCTCTTGGACCTCTATGATGCCGCCCCTGATAGTACACACGTACGGCTCATTCATACGGCTCAAGAACTGCCACTTGGTCCTTATTCCACCCTAAGTCATCGTTGGGGCGGCACGAAACCTTTACAGCTTACGGGAGCATTGTTGCGTAACTCGCAAATCAGATTCCAAGTTACAAACATGCCCAAAACATTACAGGAGGTAATACAGGTATCCAAGAGACTCGGGATTCGTTACATGTGGATTGATTCTTTGTGTATCAATCAGGAAAAGGATGATCTTCGGGATTGGCAAAGTGAAGTAAGTTTGATGGGCTTGATTTGCTCACACTCATTTTGCAATATATCGGCCACAGATAATGAGAACAGTACTGAGGGAATTTTTCGTACACGTTCACCTCAGACTCAAGGTCACTGGACAGTCAAGGTTGACTTGACTGACCTCGAGCCAAATGGGGGCCTAGTTGATTGTGTCATGATTCCCCAATTCTTCTGGGAGTACAACATTACGAATGCACCGCTGAGCGGCCGTGGATGAGTCTTCCAGGAGAGATTGCTTACACCACGGGTCCTTCACTTTGGCCGCCGTCAGCTGTTCTGGGAGTGCCGCGAACTCGCGGCGAGCGAGTCGTTTCCTGATGGATTGCCGACAGCGTACAAATCCAATGATTGAATTGTCGATGGTTTTATCAAACTGTCATTTGCACAACACCATCTACCAGAAATTCTTGCTGCAGAGGACAATTACTGGCTGACTTTCTGGTGGAAAACTGTGGTACCAACATATACGCAAACGAGTTTAACATACCCAAGCGACAGATTAATAGCACTTTCCGGCATTGCCAAATACGTCATGTCTCGCATGCGATGCACGTACGTCGCTGGTATATGGCGAGAGCATCTCGAAAAGACTTTGACGTGGTATCCGCCGATTGATTCCACCGGTTCCCGTCCAAAGGTCTATGTTGCACCCTCTTGGTCGTGGGCATCTCTTAATGGAGGTGTAGAAGCTTCAATGGGGCGCTATAAAGACGTCGATTACGCCATCCATGTCGAAGATGTGGCTCTGACCTATGCAACTGAGGACGTGACAGGTGCAGTGACAGGTGGATGGTTGGATCTGCGTGGATCTTTGAAACCCATGAAGCTACATCTAGTAGAGTATGAGGATGATTTTTCCTGGTGTATGACGCTCAATCGAGATTTTGCTCGAAAACAAGACGAGACAGACAAGTATGAACAACGGGAGTTCCTACACCCCGCTCGCGTCTCGCTCGACATCGATCCAATGAGTGATACCGAGTTCGATGACGACAATACAGAAGGACATTTGTTCTTTATGCCAGTCTGCAAGACGAAAGACTATTCTCAGAGCTTGATGGTGAGGCTGGCCGATGAAGCAACACCGTCATTTCAAAGAATCGGGTGATAGGGACTCGGACAGGAGAAAAGGAAAAGCAAGTATGGAAAGAGTTGGACGAAGAAACAAAAGCTCGTCTACCGTGCTTACGCTACGAGAACGGCCTTCACACCATCCGAATAATCTAGACCGCCATCTAGACAAGGCCAAGCCCAGCAAAGAACATAGCCCTAACAAACAAAGAATCCCCATCTCTGCCGTTCCCCAAATAAAATAAATCTAGACTCCCACGCCTCTCCGTAAGATGCATCCAGAACGCCTCTGACGAGCACCTTCCCGCATCGGCATTGATATTCAGGGTTCAATTCAGGGTTCGCCATGCGTGTAATAACTAGCGGGTGAAAGTGGGGCCAAAAAAAGCTAGCGTTTACCTTTACCAAGAGCAACGGCGATCCCCCAATCACCTAGGCGTACGCAACACAAGCCATGGCATGCGCGTCGCCCAGTCAGCACCCCAGTGACGTAGTGGTAGTGCGGCATGTATATGTAGACCTTGTCCAGTCCGCGGCTGCAAAGAAGAGACGTCAGAGTGTAATCACTTTTCAATCAGACTAAACTTTTTTCTTGAATTACCAATCGATTAGAACGTATTCAGTATGGCTAGTGCAGATGTTTCGTCGGCTCAGTTCCAGGGTATGTTTGTTGTCGTTAACTAGCCCCCCTTACTCTCGGGTTGGGTTTTTTTTGTAGAACCGGGTTATCAACGCTGTAGCACAACATTACTAACGCTGCTGTAAAGAACCGCCTGTGAACGAAATCCCAGAGGCTAATACCGGTACTTCTACGTCTTCAATCAACGATACCATCGACGCGCAGTTCCAAGGTAAGTCCGCTCATTCGTTCCATCACCTTCTTCCTACATCGTCCACACGCATGTTTACTACATCCCCATCACCTGATTACTAACAACCACTCAGAACCCATACCCGCGCCTGCACAAGCATCTACATCCACATCTTCTTCCACCTTAACCTCAACATCAACATCAACGCCAACACCCTCTTCCAACAACAACGACGACACCACCGCTCTGCACAAGACTACGACTGAGAAACTCAAGGATGCAGTGAAGAAGCCGTTTGGTGGTGGTGGTGGTGGTGGTGGTGCAGAAGGCGGATCGCACATGTTGGGTAAAAAAGAGATTACGTCGCCGGAGATGGCGGCTGCGAATGAGGTGCTTACGGCTAAGGAGTTGAAGTCGCCGTGAGTGGGTGGGTTGTTTGTGGGGTGGGTGGGGGTGTTAGGGAGAAGAGGGGGAGGAGGAGGGGAAGGGGGGGATGGACGGATGACTGAGAGGGTTGTTGCAGTTGTCTGGTTGATGTTGAGTTCGTCCAAGATTTATGGCGTGGATGTAGAGCATAGGTGCGCCTTTTCTTTTAATCGGTCAGTCATCAAGGTTGCGTCTCCTTTGCAAATTGGTATGTCTTGGTAGCTTCATAAAGCTACATCAGAAAGCTCACTCGACATGAGCACGTCAGCATAAACGTAAAAAGCAAGAAGTCATGAGGAAAGATTATGTATTGCAAAAGAGGTAGTGGGTAACCTATATCGACAGAGAAGAAATAAAGACTCAGGCTTTTGCCCCAAGGCAATAAAGAAGAGGAAGAAAAAGGGAAATGCACCCGATATTCCTCCACCATTACCATGTCATCCATTCGCAATCGTTTCCATATGAACATGCATGTGCAGTCGATGAAATCCCACACCACCTCTTCAAGTTTCCGATGAACTACCTAAGTCCAGAGCGCCGTCTGGTTGAGGTACAAATCGCACTCGTGCGGGTGCTGGAGGCAGTACTTTGGCATCAGCGGGCTGGCGCTCACACCGTTGGCGACGAGGTACTCCCTGAAGTTGAGGATCCTTTGTGTGAGCTCTGTAGTCCTCTTGTTGCCCTTTGAGTCACGGTTGCCAGACCACACGAGTTCAGCGAGGGCCGCAGCACGCGGCCACATCTTCTGACTCACGACCGCGTCATCGACTTGCTCACTCCAGAGAGGAGCGATGGCGCCTTGGATGAGCTTCTTCTGGGCATCAGTCATGTTGAGCGTAAAGTCGTAGTCATAGATGCGCTGCCAAGTCTTGTAAGGAGCGCACCAGGAGCCGCCGCCTCCGCCCCAGTTGAAGTTGAGGATGGAAGTGTCGTTTGCGTTTGGGTTGACCATGACGTTGTAGCGGGGGTCGTTGCCGACCCAGCCGCCGTAGCCGCAGTCGAGGTACATGAAGTCTGAGCTAGAGACGATGACGCGGTAGCCCTGGGCGGTGAGGTTGCTGATGTGGTCGAGGCCGTTGTTCCAGGCTTGGAGGATGATGTCCTTTGGCACGTTGCCCGTGGCGGCTACGTCGGCGGACAGCTTGACGTCTTCCCACATGACAAGCGTCTTGTTTGCGATGCTGCGGAAGTTTGGGATGGCGCGGTCGACCCAGACTTGGTAGAGGTCGCCCATAGACTTTCCGCTGTTGAAGAAAGCAAGGGCCGGGGCGGAGAAGTTGTTGCAATTTGCGAAGAGCTCGTCGCCGCCAATGTGGAACCAGTTGTCGGGGAAAATCGATGTCATTTCCTTGTACACTTGGCCTGTGACTTCGTACGTCTTGTTGTTCAAGATGTCGAGTTGGCCTGGGTTGGGCTGCACGGCAGTGTGCTTGGGCCAGTCGTCGTTGGACCACCAGCTGTCCTCGCAGGTTACAATGTTCTCGTCAATCTGGGTCCAGCCGGAGCTGGCGTGGCCGGGCATGTCAATCTCGGGGATGACGCGGATACCACGTGCAGCGGCGTAGCTGACAATCTCCTTGAGCGTGTCTTGGGTGAACATCTCGTTGGCAGAGTATGCGTCTTCTGTCATGGTAGGGTACTGCTTGACTTCAACGGGCCAGGACTGAGAGTCGACGAGATGCCAGTGGAGGACGTTGAGCTTGGCAAGGGCCATGGCGTTGAGTTGCTCTTCGATCTTGGCCTTGGAGATGAAGTTGCGGCCAGTGTCAATCATGATGCCACGGACGGGGTAGAGAGGCCAGTCCACGATGCTGACGGGCTGCTCAATAATAAGCTTGCCAGTGCCGTCGCTGATGACGATTTGCTGGAGGGTGGTGAGAGCATGGAGGGCACCGTAGACGGTCTGAGCTGTAATGAAGAGAGTATCAGAGCCTTGCTTGAGGTTGAGAGTGTAGGATTCCTCGACGCCGTGTTGAAGGTCGGCATTGGGGTGAACCAGAGTGATCCTGACACTTTTTACCGAGCCCGTGCAGTTTCCAGCCGGTGGCGCGTTATATTGCCTCTTATGCTTGCGCCTAGATGCTTTCGTTGTGGAGCCTGGGAACGGTTCAAACTCCCTAACTGGGGCTTCAACGGCTTGAGGAACCCACTTGAGCGTGGTGATGCTCTTCTTGGTACGGTCCACAGCATCGCTGAGAAGCTTTGACTCTGGAACATCGAATGAAGCAGAAGGGTCAAAGGAGAAGCAGCCAGAGTTACCCCAGACAATGTTTCTTGGTGCGGGAAGAGGGTTGGCAGCAACAGCCTCAGCATGCCCGGGGAACAAGGCAGCGGCCGTGACCACAGAGGCCAGGATGAAGTCGCGCATGATTGTCGGTTGAGGATGAAGAAAGCGGAAAGAGTAGCTCGATACCTGGATACAATAAAGTGGGTGAGAGGGCAGCTATAAAAAGGAACGACAAACGCCTCCACGCACGCGATGATCAAAGGAACAACCAGTTGCGGCGTCAGGTTGTGGCGTGGGTGACCAAGAGCTATATTGCCCAGGATTCGCATTGACCAGTTCAGCTTGACTCCACAGGCCAGCTGGGTAATTGATCGACCCGGTTAGCGCAGTCACTAATTCACCCTCCAAGGCGCGCAGTCCAGGAGATTGCAAGGGTTTGCTGGCCAGAGGCTTCCCCTGGCCGCAGCTAGACCAACCGCATGCCAGATTGCTTGCTCAGCCTTGCTGCAGGAGAGAGCCTCTTGTCAGATTCACACGGTACCATAGACCTTGTGGCTGCTTTCGTGTTGTAACCTACCCCTCCCTCGGTCACACAGCTGGGCTTCGCATACGGCTAAACGACGTCTCATTACCACACACTTGACAGCCCATCTTGCAGCTATCTTGCAGCCTGTGGCCATGGTTGCCCTGCACGGTCCCGTCCCAGAAGTTAAGCGGAGTGGCTTGGAGTGAATGGGCGCCTATCCCCACCACCCGGCCGCCGATCGGTCCTATCCTACTACCGGTAGAACAAACGGCTGACAAGCCAGTATGCATGTCTAGTGCTACCTTGATCCACACTAAATTTGCTCCTATGGCTACCGAGTCTCCTGGTTCATCTGGGGTAGACGTGCATTCTGGGGGTTTCATGTCCCCGCCTGGTATAGAGAAGCGTGGGTTGGTGACGGTAGAAACAGGTACACAGCTCAAGGTCGTAGTCACAACGCGCAGGCCGAGAGAGCCCCACCCTCTTCCGACTATTTACGTGGATAAACTAGCCGACTCTTTGACAACTCGGCTGTCAACATGTCTCACCGAACAATCGGCCTTTGTGCGCGTGTAACTGTCACTTGTCACTTGCCTAGCAGGGTCTTTGACAGTCATCACGAGCTGCAGTCATATGTCTCATTGGCCCTCCGTCTGCCGATGTATCAACGACGACAACTTCATTGTACTGCCGAATCTACATGATGACGTTGGCCCGTCATGGCCAATAAAATGCCATGTCAGACCAACCATTTACCCATCAGTTTCAAGTTATATTTAGTTGCATAACAGCCGTTCGGGCCGTCCAAAGGGCCGCATCAGATGGTTATGCCGAGAATCCAACTGCCAGGATGGAGTTTTGCGTATTGCTTACCATATGACGCATGATCTTTCGGTGTTCCGTCGCTACTAACAGTTAGTTGCTCGGAAGAGAGCCAGTAGAAGTAGCAGTTGCGAGCGACGCTGCAACCGTAGGCTCTGTAACGTTCTCGTGATATTGGCTCGCTTTGATCTGATCCCAATCGGGTGCAGGCGCACTCAGCAGTTTGCAAACATTTCGCCGCCGATGTCTGAAGTCATCGTACAAGTTCTTCCAAATGCGTCTCTCTGCACAAGTGCCTTCATGACTGCCGCCGCAATCCGGTTGGGTCTCTTCGACTCCCTTCTGAGGCCACATGAACCACGGCGGCGGCAGCGGGCGGTCACTAAATTGGACCAACTTGGCCTCTTTGTAGATCTTTTCGGCATCCCATAGCTCGTTCGGATCGCCGAGATAGTCGGTGTGGTCGTGACGTCTAAATTCGGCCGTGCGTAGAGCGTAAGGTCGGTGTGGGAGTACCAGTGCGCTCTCCTCGTATCGTTCGTTGAGGATCTCCATGTCGAACCTGTGCATCTGTACCAGTGCACTGTCCCCTCCCCCTTCCATACGCCTTTTGAAAATCTCCAGTTCTCTCGGATTCGGTTTGATAACCATGAGTGTTGACGACAAGGGCCATGGCTTGCTATCAGTCCCGTACGCGCGCGGCATTGCTATCGGCGTCGAAGGGAGGAGGAAGAGCTCGTCAAGGGAGTCAAGAAGCGTCAAATCCGATTCTAGGGCGATTACGCGATCGTAGTACTCAAGGGAGAAGGCCATGAACTTGGTTACCGTCTCATCCCATACCCAATCTCCTGCAAGGCCGTTAGCTGTCTTGCCTTACTGTATCTGTGCAACACATACCCTGTGTACGACCTGCCACCTGAAGCGGCTTGACGGGATAAAGCTTCGCTTTGTAGGTATCGCGTGCCAAAATGAGCAATTGACTGTCTCGATCCTTGGAGCTATCCACTTTGGTATCCCAGTGCTCAGGGTAGAAGAGGACGCGGTCTGCCTTGCTCCCGAATCGAGCGAGCGCGTCGAGAATCATGACGGCATGACAAAGGCTCGCTGTATCGGTTGCGTACACGCTGTAAGCATAGTATTTCCAGTTGACTTGGACATGGTCAGCCTCAGCTTTCGCCTGACGCGATGGGTAGAGGATCCAGCAGATGACGAGAAAGGCAACAGCGTAGTATGCGTAACGGCGGCGTAGGCGGAACGATGACCATTCACTCTCTTCTGCATACCGCGGCAATTCATCTGATCTCCGCCGACGCATGATTGATTTGACGCGAAATTGGTGCTAGCATTCTGAGCAAGTGCATGGTCGTTGGGACGTTTATGACGGAGGTGCGACGCGAGATCGCGGAGGTTGCATGGAAACCCCCGGACGAGTAAGGGCAGCTTCACAACTAAAACCAAGTTTCTAGCCTTCACATCAATGCACTAAAACAAGCATAATTTCGCAATGTGGAGTTGACATGTCTTGATTCATCGTCATATGCCAGGGTCACTTTTGTAGTATGGTATCAAACATCCTAAACGCCGTAGCTGTGCAAACTCCACGGGTCCCGAAACCGTGACCTCAAGGTTGGAGATAAGATCCTCATTCAGCTATGTAGCTCCCTCTATGGCATTGTTCATTCATCGTCATCGTTTCTGATGCAAACGTTTACTCCTCAGGAACTAGGTTTTGTTAGCACGAGCCATCTCCGCAAGTACCTTTAAAAACTTACTCTCAATCTCGCCGGCCTTGATGTCGTCCGAGATGTCCTTGGGGCTGCGGCCATCGACCTTGCAGCCAGTGCTGAAAGCAGTTCCGAGAATCTCAAGGACGGTACCCTTGAGGTCCTTGGCCATCGACTTGAACCTCATGGTGCGGGCAATGCTGATGATCTCATCGAGAGGAATGCTCTTGGTGTGCTTGATGTTCTTCTCCTTCTTGCGGTCGCGAGGAGGCTCCTTGAGCGCCTTGATGACGAGCGAAGAGGCCGAGGGAACGACGGAGACGGCGGCTTGACGGTTTTGGATGGTCAACTTGACAGTGACACGGAGACCCTTCCAGTCACCAGTGGCCTTGGCGATATCTTCACCGACCTCTACAGACTAATTAGCCATCTATCCGAGCGTCTTCTTCGAGGATTCAAAACGTACTCTTTGGCGACAGACCAAGAGGACCGATCTTGGGGGCGAGCGCGGATGAAGCACCGACTTCACCACCAGTCGCACGGAGGTGAATAACCTTCACCTCGGAGGGATCGATCTTGGGAGCTTTGGAAATGTAAGCGCATGGCGTTTCAGGTGAGCCTGGCTGTTGAAGAAGTCGAATTTTCTGAGTACTACAGATACACCCGTCGGGCGCTCTAGCCACTCAGGAAATCCGCCTCTCTTCGTAGCCGACCAGAAGGATGATACTCACGCATGGCTAGTGCTTGAGGTAGTCAATCGGTTCTGGTTGTAAAGAGTGACTGCCGTTGGTCGTGTCGTCGAAAGTTCGTGAGAGGAATTCCGCCAGCCTCGGTGGGGGAGGATATTGCTATCGCGGATAGAAGCGAGTCTTGGCGGCGCCTTGCCTGATTGGTATTGGCACCTTGCCCCCAGATCATTCGCGATCGTCACAAGTACTAGTTACTCATAATAGAGACAGATATAGCAAATTTGCGATGATTTGATCTTGCCCAAGATATCTGATTTTCTGCGCGAGATGACAGCCCTGACTCTACCTACGTAGCCTCAAACGCGCAGTTCATCGAATGCGCAAACCAAAGCAGCCATGTCATCATTTTATGTTCAAAGATTACAGTAGTCAATCGTTTCCATATGCATCACTACAGTTATTTGTGACTTACAAGCAGCGTACACGTACCAAGCAGGCGATAATGTGCATTGCATAGCCGACAACAATGCGCCAGCGCAAACGTGATGCATCTGAATGTTCTAGCAAGCAAGCAATCCACTACAATAGTCAGATCATTCCTCCTCCCTCATCTCTTTACATTCTCCCTACCATACTTTCCTTATTCTAGTACTCAACCCCAAAACAACACATTAGCCATCTCAACATGGGTCTCCAACAACATTACGACCATCTACGTAGATGCTGCGAGAAAGCACAGCGTCCAACTACTCAAGCAGATGCATCTGTATGTTTCATCTCACAGACAACGGTTTTCTCTAACAGTTCTAAAAGTCTATCAACGATACCATGAGAAGTGAGGAGAATCAGGCGGCGTCTATGGAGAAGCACGACACTCCCAAAGGCGATGCCATAGCCGAAAACATATCCAGCAGCAGACTCCCCGCCGCTTCTGGGCCTGTATCCGATACAGTGAATTCAAACTGGATACTTCCACCCTCTGAGATACATGACGGCCGGCTGTACCGAAGAGTTGGATAGGTTTCTGGCAGAGCAGGACTTAGGAGTGTGGCCGAAATGCGGGGTTTCGTTATCTATTTAAGTCTACCAATATGTGGCGAATCTACTCTTTTGGACTTTAGTCGGAGTACTCTAATGTTCTAGTGTAAAGTTAGAAATCTTATTTAATGTATTTACCTTACTATCTTAGTTATTAAGTTTCCCTCTCCTTAATTTTATATACTCTAGTACCTTTTCTAAAGCCTTAAACTACTTAAGTCTTTAATGTTATTTACTCTTAACTTGGTTTTTATCAGTACTTTTATAGCTTACTCTCTCTCTTTATCTCTTTATCTCTATCTCTTCTCCCTCTATCTCTTATTTTTATCTCCCTTTCTATAAACCGACCCTATCAAGGACATATCTAATCCTCTTTAGTGCCTAGGTAGTAAATAAAACGAGCTGTGTATTACTACTCTTCCCCTATGTTAGTATCGACATGTACTTATACGCGGCGTTTATGCGGGTATTGTGTTATCATGACAAGGCGGACGCTTCAGCCGCCTGTGTGCCTTGTGTATATAAGGCAACGTAGGATGTGGTAGGGTTAAGTAAATAGTTAAGGTAGCTTGTAGAAGTTCGTTTAAGTTTAGGGTGTTTAGAGAAGAACGGCGAATGTACGTTGTAAACCATGCCGTATATAACGCTACAATATAATACATACTCTAAAATACATTTAATATACACCACAACCCCTCCAATATCATCTACAACACCCCCTTTACAAACCAAAAAACAGAAACCAACCCAAGACCCCCTCACTACACACCATCCCTCCCCAGCGGCGCCCTCAGATGCTCCGCCGAAAACTGCGGAAACGTAAACGGCGGAATAAGCATATTCCCCGCCCCCAACTCTGCACTTCCAAACATGCGCTCTACGTCATTCTACAATATATCAGCATCTCCGCCAAACCAACAAAAGAAGTATACTCACCCAATCGATATCATTAATAGCATCCATGGTATCACTCCCCACCGACCCCGCCATCATGTTACCAGCATAAGACGCCGAATTCGGACTACTATTACCACTAGCAGCCTGCCGTACTGCGTTGGCCATTGCGCCGCCGCCGCTAGCTGGATTAGTCATCGGAGCAAAGTCGCCAAAGGAAAGTTGTTGAGAGATTAGCATCGAGGAGGGGAATGTGTCGGGCATGTTGAAATTGCCCCAGCTTACAGTTGGCATGGAGCCTGGGAAAGCGTTGATACCGGGAGCTAGTGCAGACGCGTTGAGTAATTGCTGTTTGAGTTGGTGTGGTGGGACGAAGCGTGGGGGATTCAGCTTGTTGTTTAGACCATTATTCTGCAAGACGGGTTTACTGCTGGTGTTTGGATCCGAGTGTGAGACTATTCTGTTCGTGTTTTCCTCTCTTTGTCTGCTGGGCGGCTTTGATGATGATGATGATGATAGCTGTGGCATATTGTTTGGAGCGCGTACGCCTGTCATTTCGGCGTATTTTTTCGATTTCCAGATTAATTCTTCTAGGACGAGTCGGATTTTTTGCACGTTGGAGAGACCGCTCGGTATGTCGAAGGAGTAGTCTAGACAGCGCCAGATACGTTGTTCCATTGCTGGTTCTGGGTTGACGATGTAGACTTCGTTGACGAGAAGAAGGGCACAGTGGTGTTGATGGAGGGCACCGACGATCCATGACCAGGCGGATAGAACCGGGTCTTGTTCGACGGTCATGCCGTGTTCCAAGATCATGGTTGCCGCACTCAATGTGAGTTGTCGTAAGCGTTCCGGCAATCTATTGCGGGCAGCTGTTATGTATCTCTGCAGCAAGGAAATGTACAAGCGATTCGAAAAAATTCCATGCAGCTCTGATGCTAGAACGTGAAGCGGCTCAGACTTTCCGAGCATCGGGACGTATTTCTTCTCCATGGCAGCCTGGAAAGACTGTACACGTGAGAGGAGCGATGTGATTGTGATCTCGCTCTTTCCATCAGGCCGCTTTCGATCTAATTTGGTACGTTCGCTCCATACAAAGCGGTGCATTTCATAGCTTTCGAATCGCATACGGCTAATGGTCATGTCTGTGAAATGGTCCCTGTCTCTGCTAACATCTATGCCGCTTTCGCCACGCTCAGCGCGGTCGAGTTCAACGTCATCGATGTTTAGCGGAAAGCGCGTATCGTAGTCGTCCAGACGGATGTGCGGGCGAGGTCCCACAGCGTCGCAGGTGCGGATATCGAGGAAGCAGATCTGAAACCAGAGAACGCGTCTAACTTGAGTCTCAATGGACGAGGTGCTGTATGCTGTGGGGTCGCGGTGTAGTCCCATGCACTCTGCCAGGCGTATGAGCGACCCAACGAGTGCAGAATGAGCGCGAGATACTTCATTACGACACAAGGGAATCTGCAATAATAATATCAGCTATTAGTTCCCGCAGTCATTGGTAGAATAGCAAGACATATTAAAGATGATTCAACGAGCACGATAAGCAAACTTACCAGGTACATGACAAAAGCCTGCAGCGTCTCCAGTTTGGCGGTTCGCAGGAAATTGGCCTTGACAAGAGCTGCTTCAGCCCCCTCACGGAAATTGTCTACCAAGGTTCTCTTTTCGGCACCATATTCATTACGCACTGTATCCGCACTCATGGAGACCACGGAGCTTAACAAGGCAGCAAAGAGCACGGCTTGGAATGAAGAGCGAGGCTTCATGCCCATGTTCATCCTGATCCAGAAGTTTTGATACTGACGCTCAAACGAAGGGCGATGCACAGTACGTGCGATGGGATGAACGCGTATCCAATAATTGGCAATCAACCTATCAACTACGGCTCGTGCCGGAAGATGAGATTCAAGCAACGCTCTGTCGACGCCGGACGCCAAGATGAAGTTTGAAGACGGGGCAATGTAGTCGGAAGTCGGCGCTAACCAGTTTATGGGGTCTTCATCGATGAAAGATCGGCTAGGAGATGCCTGCAGAGGAAGTTCGTTGAGAGATTGGGCAAGCTACACATGAGCTGTTATAGGAGGTAAATATGAGTAAGGAGTTGCAGACTTACCTCGTCGGAGAATCTCGGACGCACAAGACCTCCAACTCGATCAGTAATGCGTAATTTTCCTATGCGAAAGCCCAGATCGACCATGTCATCATTGAAATCCTCTTCAGGCTCACAGTAGGCAGAATCTTCAGTAACAAGGTTGGTTGGACGGAGGTCTCGGGTATCTTCTTCGTCCTCTTGATCGCTCTGCTGCTCTTGGCCAGGCAGAACACTCAGTCTCGAACATTCAGAGGTAGTTCTGATACTAGGTTTTCTTTTGAGCACGACATCTTCTTCCAGGCTCTTCTCCAGCATGCCCATCCGTTCTTTGACTTCGGCAAGTTTCGCTTGTGCGTCCGCGTCCATGCCCGAGGCGATGAAGACGCATTTTCGGTTAGTTTTTGTACAATGCGTACACGGATTGGCTTTGTCACATTTCAGCTTTCGCCGTCGACATTCAAGACAAGAAGTGATGAGACGATTTCGGCGGCGAACGCGTGGTTGCGGCGGATGTGACTTCTGTTCGGCGCCGCCGGATGGAGGTGTTTGAGCAAAACCGTGGGCAACATTTTGGGTTGACGAGGACGAGGCGGACATGGCTGTTTAAACACCATGCAGTTGGTGCATTACGGACATAAGACACGAACAAAGGAGGCTATGTAGTGATTAGCGAGAGATAGGGAAAAGTGTAAACAGGTACCTAAGTAGGTAGTCAGCCGAGCCGAGGTCGACGATGACTACTGTGGCTGGTGAATGCGGACATGTGTAAGAGCTAGCATCTAGACTGCTCAGCATATTCTCGCGCCAGACATGGAGATGCTGGCAATGTTCGTTTCTTAATCACGACAATTGGGGTGTTAAGTAGAGATCCGCAAGTTGTGCTGGTGCTTCATCTCAATCTGGTAGGGCGGCCAGCCCCGCCTTAATTCTTCGGCGATGCATGCATTCGTCCCTAACAGTTGACTGACGGCAGAACTAGTTTCTGTCGGCCCCTTTGACACTACTTTGACCAAACTCAGTTCCTACCAGGTGGGATTATTCTGCTATCTGCTCTAGAATCTTTGCGCCCGTGGGGCTAGTGCAATTTGACTGGCCCAAGTCTTCGATTGTTCGTGTAGATTCAATCAAAATGCGAAGCGATTACACCAGTATATGCGAGTGACAAGGCCATGTGCAATCGAGATACTCTTTGCTGGCTTACACGCTCATCTCGTCAGGCTTGGAGAGGAGACAGTGCCGCAAAACGCGTACGCGCGACGCCTGGTCACGTTTCTAGTCAACGCGACTCGCGACAGGCCCAATTCGACAGGCCTATCAATGGATTGATCCACTGATGGTTGCCGCCGCGATCTCTCTAACGCACGGCCTCACCGCTTCCCATAACAAACACCTTTTCCTGTCGCTTCTTCTGCAATTCCCCATCACGCACGCTCAACTTCCAAATCCATCACCGCCTCCAAATCAATAGTGCCATCTACTTTCTAGTTGTCCTACAATTCACCTTCACAATGTCTGTCGTGTCGCTTCTCGGTGTTGAGGTGAAGAACAACCCCGCGCGCTTTGATGAGCCGTATGAATTTGAGATCACTTTTGAATGCCTTGAGCAACTACAGAAGGGTAGGTGCACTCGCCAATGATGTTTTGCACAGTCATTGACCGAAGAATAGATCTCGAGTGGAAATTGACCTACGTTGGTTCGGCGACGTCGTAAGTTCACCCGTCGAGTTGTAGCCGCCACCACGTCTAACGAAAGCGTGCAGAAACGAGTATGATCAGGAACTCGACTCTGTCTTTGTTGGCCCGCTGCCAGTCGGCGTCAACAAGTTCCAGTTCCGCGCCGACCCCCCGAACCTATCGCGTATCCCCAACAGCGAAATCATCGGCGTCACAGTTATTCTGTTGAGCTGCAGCTACGAAGAGCGCGAGTTTGTCCGCGTCGGCTACTATGTGAACAACGAGTACACAGACGAGGCGCTGGCACTAGACCCGCCCACCAAGCCTGTGATTGAGAAGGTACAGAGGCAAATTCTTGCAGAGAAGCCGCGAGTCACACGCTTTGCCATCAAGTGGTATGTTCCAAACTACGTATTGCACCCCGCACCCCCGCTAACCATTTCAGGGATTCTGAGGAATCTGCACCGCCCGAGTTCCCCCCTGAACAGCCAGAGGCTGACCTCACCGCCGACGGAGACCAGTACGGCATTGAAGAAGAGGAGGACGAGGAGGAGGGCGTCGAGGGTGAAGGTGTCGCCGCCGAGGGTGATGATGCGGCCATGGCAGGTGCTGAGGACACTGCTGGCCCCGCCAACGACGAGGATGCCGAGTCTGAGGCAGGCAGCGAGGAGATTGACATTGAAGACTCCGAAGACGATGAAGAGGAGGAGGGCGAGGGCGAGGGCGAGGAGGGTGGAGATGATGACATGGAGATGGACGAGGCTGAGCCAAGTGGTGCTGGAGGTGACAAGCCCCAACAACAGCCTGGAGCCCCACAACAGCAACAGCACGGCGCGGATGTCATGGTGCACTAGGTGTAGCACGACATTTGTGTTGATTGTTCGACTGTATCGTACACTTCACTTTACCGTTGCGATGTTTAAGACAGCAATGGCAGCTTCTTTGGGTAAGATGCCTACGCATGGCGCCTGGTAGGGGTGCTCGTTGGATGTAGTCATCATGTCAGCAGTAATTTAAGAATTAAACGCCAAAGCACACTTTCTATACAATGCGGAGACGACTTGCTCTCTAACCGTGACCATGTCGACGAGGCTCAGATAGAAGCAGGAAGGGAGGCCTGTGCAAGCGCAAGCCACTTCCAAGCCCGAGCCAGCCCGGGCGTATATCTAAGACCTCATCTCCGCAAACAACTCGATTGCCTCAGCCCTTGGCTACACGCGAGATTTGATGAAGCAGACGTGCACAAAACCTTCCTAAAACACTGCAGAGGAGATGACTCGGCGCAACGTCACTACACAGCCTCAGCGATGAGGATGGCGCAGCAGTGGTTGTGTACCCAAAGTGGGCTCCAATGCGCCAGTTGTATCGAAAACATTTATAGCAAAAGCGAGCGGCGAGCCCCTGACGGGTACGCGGCAACGTTATTAACCATGGCGACCATCTCACAAGGGTCCCTTTTGCGCTTGTTCCTGTGACCCCTCGCAGTGCACATGTCCATACATACAAGGTCGAAGAGCTCACTAGTTGGTCCTTGACGTCAAACGATGCACCTTTCAAACTCCAGCATCTGAGATAGTCCGACTACCGCAGTGCCTGTTTCAGCAATAAACTACGCGCCTCTCGTCTCAGGCCTCTCTACCTCTTCTCTCCTACCTGTGCCCCTCGTTGTAACCCTTCTCCGCCGTCGCCGCCTGCAGCCGTCTTGATAGCTACACAACTACGCCAGATCGCTCGCTTCCTCGTATACCCGACATATCGCAAGGGTCGAGCTCAGGTTAGCAACCCCACCAAGGTCAAGGTACGCTCGATCCTACTTCACCCGCCATGCGCCATGCATGGCCGTGTCTGTGACGACGGCCTCATGCGACCATCGCGTGCGAGGCGAAGACGTGCATTTGCACGGGTTCACGTTCCTTTTGGATATCCACTGACGCGCTAACTACCCAGTCGCCATAACGAGGTCAGCTCAACTCTCGTGGCCACAATGAGCTATCACCAAGGCCAGCCCCAGCTCGGGGCTACATTTGTGCCAGGCGGCTTTGATGACTATTACATGCCGGCGCCGTCGCCTGAAGTCATCTCGCCTGCGCCTCAGCGGTTTGTTCTAGCCCAAGACCATGTACGCGCCTTTTGATTGTGGCTGACGTAGGTTGGCGGTAGCATAATGCCCGAAGTGCCCGAGAATATGCAAGAAAACATAGCTCATTTGGAGTTGGAAGCCAACGGCCCCCGTAGCACGACCATGTCACCAACCCAGGCCACGTACAATCAGTCACAGCAGCAATACCCACCGCACCAGGGGGGCTACCACGAGCTGCCGGTGCACAACGACCAATGGCCGTCGCGGCAAGGAACCATCTCATCCGCCTTCCGCCAGCCGCCAAACGTGCAGCCTCAAGCCGTGCAACACCAGCAGCCGTCGCACGACTACAACCAGTTCGCACAGCATCACGACTCGCCCAACTTCTCGCCCTTTCCCAAGCTTCCGAACAAGCCTCCGAATGTGCCCCCCTCTGACGATGAGAAGGAGGCCGTGTTGGAGAATGCCCGCTTGCCGGTGCTCAACTCAAACGACCCCGAGATGCAGCTGGCCTGGGCACAAGACGCATTGCAGTATGTAGACGCCGCCCAGCTGCATGAGCAGCGCATTTCCGAGATACAGGGCGCAAGACCCGCAACTCCCCAGGTCGAGCATCAGCTGCGTCTGGATGCCATGAATGTCGTCACTTTTCTTGCAGACCAAGGACATCCCAAGGCCACTTTTATGCGGGGCATGTGGCTGGAGTTTGGCAAGTTTGGCATGCGTGCCGACAAGAAGGAGGCCTTTCGGTGTTACTCTCGTGCGGCAGCAAAAGGCTATGCCAGGGCAGAATACCGGATGGGCATGCAGTTTGAGCAATCGAACGATCCCATCAAGGCACTGCAGAATTACAAGGCTGGCGCAGAACAGGGTGATTCGGCTTCCAACTATCGCCTTGGCATGATGACGCTGCTCGGTCAGCACGGCCAGCCACAAGACTTTGCCAGGGGCATTCAGCTCATCAGGCAGGCAGCGGCCACTGCTGATGAGAACGCTCCGCAGGGTGCTTACGTCTTGGGCATGCTCCAGGCACGTGAACTGCCTCAAATCAGCGTTCCCGAAGTCTTCTTGCCGTACGACGAGAAGGGTGCAAGGCAAAACATTGAAAAGGCCGCTTACCTTGGGTTTGCAAAGGCCCAGCTCAAGATGGGAGCTGCTTATGAGCTTTGCAGTCTGGGCTGTGAATTCAACCCCACCTTGTCGCTGCACTACAATGCACTTGCATCCAGACAGGGGGAGCCCGAGGCAGACATGGCTATCAGCAAGTGGTTTCTCTGCGGACACGAAGGAGAATTCGCCAAGAACGAAGAGCTTGCCTTCCAATATGCACAGCGTGCCGCAGCAGCAGGACTCGCCACGGCAGAGTTTGCCATGGGTTACTTCAACGAAATCGGAATGAACACTCCGGTCAACCTTGAAAAGGCCCTAGAATGGTACGAGAAGGCCGCAAAGAACGGCAACAGAGACGCTACTGCACGCATAGAGAGCATATCCAAATTATCGCGGACCTTGTCGAAGAAGGACCATGAGAATGTCGCAATCAACATGATCAAGTCTAAACACGGCTCGATGCGTGGACAGCGGCCACTAAGGCTGCAAAAAGGCCAGCCCGCTATGCCGGCCATCAATGACGTGAGCCCTTCTGAATATGGTTCTCCAAACCGAGGCGACAGCACAACGCCGTATCCCATCTCGGACCAGCCTCCAATGGTCGGCAATTCACCCATGTCTGCACCTTATGACCGTCCATCTACAGCAGCACCATACCCCATAGACAATGGCCCTCCCCGGTTGGGGCCGCAGCGGCCAAATATGGCTGGTGGGTTTGCACCAGAAATCAGGGCTTCTAGCGCTCGCCCTGCATCCGGGGCATCCTCGGCATTCACCATCAACCCCAATCTGTACCCCAATGATCCCTACGGGCGCGGTAGTCCACGACCAGGGCCAGGCCTCGGTCCTGGTCCGGAAATGGGGCCGCTACCACTGCGGCCTCACACCAGTGTAGATAACATGGGGCCCGGAAGAGGTGGACGTCCTCCGAACGGTGGCCGCGGCGGTATGCCACAGGGGGGACCCGGAAGCTATAGACAACCGGGAGGGCCCAGTGCCCAGCGTCCAGAGCCGCAAAACCGCCCGTCGACCACACAACCTCCGGATATCGGATACAGTGCGCCAGACTCACGGAACAAGCTACAGAAACAGCCTGGACCACCACTCAAGAAAGCACCTACGCTGCCAGACATTGGTTATGTTGCACCTCTCGACCCGCGCCAGCACACCCGACCATCTACCGTTCAACCGGGTCAGGAGAGCAGGACAAATTCACGCATGGACTCGCGACCCTCATCACGGCCTGGATCAGCTGGTCGTCCCAGCGGGTATGACAATATGCCCAAGCCTAATAGGGTACAGACTCTACAGCAACAGCAACCGCCCCCGAAGCCAGCACCAATACAAGCAAGCAAGCCAGTCACACCGACGCCACCTACCAAGCCAGCACCATCATCAGCCTCTTCGACACCAGGTAAAGGGCCAAAGACCTTTGACGAGATGGGTATTGGAGCCGCACCAAAGGAAGGAGATTGTGTAAGTCTTTAACATTTCACTCACTTTACATGTGCTGACATACAATAATAGGTCGTCATGTAAAACTTTGTAGTTACTTTGCAACATGTGATATGGTATTGTTGTTTGCATATGTAGCGGGTTGTTTTGCGCTTGTGGTCTTCTTGCATGGTAGTGGTAGTTGGCGAACATTCACGCTCGATATACCCTTTTTGAAGGCGTTGGCAGCATATGTAGACGAATCGAGAGTGCGTAAGAAAGTGATGAATGCAATGTTTGGGTTTCTGATTTTATATGTCTCCCAGATTGTTGGGTTCTGAGACGTCATAGTGGTGTCTTGCCTACGGTAGACGCGTGTAGACGCGGTGTCACGTGCTGATATGCACGTGCATAGTACTGCGGACTTGCTCTATAAGATGTTTTGCCACTATTTACTAAGTAATCACGTTAATGGTCAGTTTATTTCGACTTGATTGTTCCAAAGATGTTAACTGCAAAGGCAGTGCATAGCACTTGAGTGCAGCAGTGGGTGAGGTGACGGGCTGCATACGCGCTAGCGTTGTTTCTGAAGGCTCTAGCGGGGAAGGAGCGCCCAGACGCGTTCTCATCCCCAACGCCTGATGAGACCTTGTACTATCTCCGCGCCCACCAACGCCCCCACCTCCAACTTTGGGCTGCACTTATGGCTGCGGTCATGTCTGCGAAGCGCCCTCGCGCCCTTACCAATGGGATCGACGTGAGTAGTGTTGGCCGTAATGATCGTGTAAGTCGATTTCCTCAAACAAACGGCACGATCCGCTAACACAGACTAGAATAAGCGACGACGACAATCCGAGCCAGAAAGCAACGCCGGATCCTCAGGCGACGAGCGATCCGATGTGGCAAGTGGTAGCGATAGCGAGGACGAGGACAGCCTCCAGGCCCAAGAGAAGTGGGCGACACAGCGAGTGGAGAAGATCTACATGGAACCTACAGCCAGGCAGAATGTCCCGTCAGACTCTGGAATCATTGAAGAGATCCAGTGCATCAATTTCATGTGCCACGAGCACCTGACGGTGACTTTGGGACCCCTCATCAACTTCATCATTGGACACAACGGCAGCGGGAAGAGTGCCGTACTCACAGCCCTCACTATATGCCTGGGTGGAAAGGCCACTGCAACCAATCGAGCCCAAAATCTCAAGAGTCTGATCAAGGAGGGCAAGGAGCACGCTTCAGTGACGGTCAAGATCAAGAACCAGGGCCCCCTCGCCTACAAGCCCGCAATATATGGCACCTCCATCATTGTCGAACGCCACTTTAACAAGTCTGGTACCTCTGGATTCAAGCTCAAGGACTCCAACAACAAGCTGGTCACGACCAAAAAAGCAGAGCTGGAGGATATCCTCGACGCTTTCTCTATGCAAATCGATAATCCGATGAATGTATTGACGCAGGACATGGCAAGGCAGTTTCTCAACCATTCTACTCCGAAGGACAAGTACAAGTTTTTTCTTCAAGGCACGCAACTCGAAAACTTGAATAGGGACTATCAACAGATTGAACAGTCCCTAGAAGCTATGAATACAAGAGTGGAGGTCAAGGAAGCTGACCTGCAAGTTTTACGGCAAGAAATGCAAGAGGCGGCGTCGAGAGCCAAAACATCAGTGGAGATGGAAACCATGCGATCCATGGAGAGAAGCAGAGCCAACCAAGCAGCTTGGGCTAGAGTGGAGGAACAGGAGAGATCAGTGGAGGAGGCAGTATCTGCAATCGCAAAAGCTGATAACTTGATGGAAGAGAAGCAGGTGATGGTAATAAGAGCAGAAAACGAGTTCGAGCTCGCTGATCAGAATTATGGGGCAGCCCAAGAAGCTGTCATCAAAATCACGGAAGATTTGGAACCCGCGATAGAACAAAGGGATGTTGCCAAAGAAGCGTTCCAAAAGGGAAAAGCAAAACTCGCACAGGGATTGTCGGAAGTCCGCTTAGCTAGAGGTGCATTGGATGCGGCGAAAAACGAGGTTGGAAAGAAAGAAGATAACGTCAGACAGCTTCAGCGACGACTGGACGAAGTCGAAAATGGTCTCTATGCAGAAAAGGTTCGTGAGCGTGACGAGGCCAAAATCGAGCACGAAAATGCGAAAGAGAGATACACATCGCACGACTCGGCGCTTCCGCAGCTCAACAAAGAGCTCAATGCAGCGACTATGGAATTGGATAAAGCCAAGAAAAAGGCACAGGAAGCACGCAACGCCGTAGTGGTCATTCGGAGCACCATCGCTCGGTTGCAAAAGGGCGAGAGCAACGGCATGGACGGATTTCCGCAGCCCAACAAGCTGCAGGACTTGTTAGATGCGATTAAGAGAGAGCGCGGGTTTCGAGAGACACCTGTGGGACCGATTGGTCGTCATGTAAAGCTAACAGCGTCTAAATGGGGCCGCATTTTGGAAAAGCAGTTCGGTCAGACTCTAAACGGTTTTGTCGTTACCAGCAAACATGACCAGACTAAACTCTCAGGGCTCATGAACAAGACGGGATGGTACGTATTCGAATTCGAAGCTTGAGATGACGCTGACAATGCCAGGTCTGCTCCAATATATATTGGTAAGAGGTCCCGTATTGACACGCAGCCCCACGAACCTGCGAAGGAGCTTTTGACGTGGATGCGAGCACTCACAGTAGGTGACATGTGCATACGAAGAAGCGGTCAGCTAACACATGGACAGATCGACAACGACCTTGTTCGAAATCAACTCATCATCAACCAGGGAATCGAGCAAACTGTGCTCATCGAGAATCTACAGGAAGGTTCTAATTTTATCGCGGACCAAGGACCACTGACGAAAAATGTCAGAATGTGCTTCACGTTCGCGGATGGTGATACGCGAAGAGGTCGAGTAATAAACCGCTCGCCTGCAGGTGGTATCAACAACAGTCCAATCGCCGAATACACTGGAGCCATGCGGATGCAGGTTGATCGGGATGCTCAGATTAGGTGAGTGCCCCTCTAACGTTTGCGTATCTCACTAACAATTCATCAGAGAGGAACAGAGCCGTCTCGCCGTAAGGGAACAGGAGTTACAAACTCTCGAGAAGGAACTGCACCAAGCACAAAACCACTTGAAAGATTGTGAGCGCAGAGAGGCCGAGCATAAAAAACAGAAGAAAAACCTCCAAGTTGAACAGCAAAGGGCATCAGCAAACTTGGATCGACTGGAGGGCGAGTTGAGTGAGGCGACTCCAGACGCATCAGCTGTCAAGGAGGCCGAAGGAGAACTTGAGGAGGCCAAGCTTCTAGTTGCAAACACAGAAGGGATTCTCGAGGACGCTGAGAAGGCGATCATGACGTGTAATAACGAGCAGCAAATCCACAAGCGTGAAATGGACGAAGCGGCGAAGTGTGTCGCGGATCTCGAGTACGAGCTCAGTAAAGCCAGACAGGCAGTCAAAGGCTTTGAGAACGAACGAGATCAAGCGCTCAAGACCAAGAACGCGGCGTACGATTCGGTCCGTAAAGTAGAGGAGAACAAAACGGCATGGACAGACCACCTGGTAGTTCAGCAAACTCAGCTGGCAGAAATGACAGAACAGGCAATGCAGATTACTGGTGGAACACGTATTCCTGTGCCTCCTGGTAGATCGGCTGACGATCTTCTCGAAGAGCTCAGGAAACTTGAGCAAAAGCGAACAAGAATGGAAACCGAACTTGGTGGATCACAGATTCAGCTTCTAGCTGCAGCGGACGATGCTAAAAAGGCGCACCGCGGTGCCATGAAAGAGCTGGATGAAATCAAGAGTCTGCGCAATCATCTCATCACTACTCTGACCAACAGGCGCAATCGATGGAAGCTGTTCCGGTCAGGCATTTCGATCCGAGCGCGAGTTACATTCAACTATCTCTTGAGCGAGCGCAAGTTCAGAGGTACCTTGTACATCGACCACAAAAAGGCACTCCTGGACATCAATGTGAGTGGGAAGTATGGCGTAAAGTTGACGAGATTGCTGACTCTGGCAGGTCCAACCAGATAGTTCAGAAACGCATGCAGAGGGTAGGCAGACCAAGACGCTGTCGGGTGGCGAGAAATCCTACTCGACTGTGTGTCTGCTACTCTCGTTGTGGGAGGCCATGGGATCACCGATCCGCTGCCTCGATGAGTTGTAAGTTGGGTTTGATGTTTTGATGAGTACAAGCTAACGTTTGTAGCGACGTTTTCATGGACAGCGTCAATCGCGAGATCAGTATGAAGATGATTATTGAAGCTGCTCGACGGTCGATCGGCCGACAATTCATCTTCATCACGCCGCAGGGAATGGACAATGTGAGCCGGGCGGCGGATGTCAAGATGATCAAGATGAGCGACCCGGAGCGCGGGCAGACGGCACTGAACCTCCAACGCGGCTGAAGCAGAATGTGTTGATATTCAAGTATATGGATGCAGATATGGCGTTAATCTTGGGCGTTTGACTAGCGATTGTGGGACCGGGGCATGATTAGACGTGGTTATACCCGCTGGACAAGGCGTTGGGCGAGCTTGCAGTAGTTGGAGCAGTGCTGTGCCATGGTAGTAAGGCTTGGCAGACAGGCCTGACACGGGTGATGATGGCGGGCCGGTAGCGTAGCAATGTATAGCAGTGCGCTTAGTCGTTTTGTCCGTGGTCCGAGAGACATTTGACTTTGATAATGAGTGATGGCGTTTGAAGTAGCTGGTTGCGGCGTAAGCGGCGGCTCGGTTGCACAGGGAACGGCCGAGCTTATAATGGAAGAGGCGTAGCGGATGTGCGCCAGGATAGCCAGGGTCTCTTGGCCAACAACGTTCGATTGGTAGTCTGATACATACACGACTCCAACACCACGGCGAGCTGGCAATCTTTCGTGCACATGTGACCGCCGTGTTGCCGTGCTGTTCCTGCGCCTGGCCTCGACACGTCCCCTGGGGCCTCCAAGCAGTGCCGGCCCTTGGCTACCACGACTACTCAAACCACCATGGCTGACTCCCCACTCTCGTCACCCGGCACCCCCAGGACTGCATCGCCCATGCCTTTTGACCAAGACGCTGCCCGCTCGCTTTCACCCCAACACGACGACGCGCATACGCCCGCCATGCAGGGACTGGACGATGGAATCTGGCCGAGTGCCCCTGCGACCGCCGCTGTGAATGCGACACCATCCACCGAGCAGGTGACGCCTGCACCCAAGGGAAAAGAGAGGGCTGCAAAGGGCCCGCTGAATTTATTGGACCTGCCCATGGATATTCTGAAAGAAATCATCCATCAGGTGAGTCAGGCGCGCATACAGCCGCCAGAGCCATACTAACACGCTGCTATGCAGCTTCCACACACAAACGACCTCACATCACTATGTCTCTGCCATTCAGCTCTGCACCGACTGACGATACCGTGCATCTACTCGCGCTTCGACATTGTATGGCCCGACGAAAGTACCCACAACGAGCCGCGAGCGGGCGTAGATGCCCTCACGTACGGCCTGGCTACGCTGGTCATGGGCGATGACTGTTTCCCCCACCAGAACCGACTAAGACTGCAAGGACAGACGCCCACTGCGCTACTGAGGACTGCCGCCAATCCATATCCCGTCCCCCAGCGTCGCTTCGGCAACTACTACGGCCAGTTTACCAAGAAGTTTTCGCTGGGCAACGGGCCACAGGCATGGGTCCAGGAGTACATGATTACGAAAGAAGGTGGGAAGATGCTGGGAACGCTCGTGGCGCTTGCCGTTGCACGCATGATTAATCTCGAGACGTTTGTGTGGGATATGCCGACGGGCGTGCTCCGTGATGTGTGGCTCGCCTTGTCAAGCCTCGCGCACCGGAGTGACGGTGAGGAATGCCGCCTTGATCGTCTCTGGATTCGATGGCACGACAACACCATCGATGCTCCTGTTCCTCCGCCTGCTCCGCCCATGATCCTCAACAATCAGAACCTCCCTCCGCCCCCGAATACGACACATCCAAGCGGCCTTGGCACTGTACAGGCGCCCATCGTCGTGGTACCGCCATACGCACCGAGCAGCATGTCCGCCCTCGATCGAGTCGAACACCCCACCTTTTCCGCCATTCCCGCGCTGAAGAGCCTGAGTGTGTTGGACATTGACGAGCTGCCATATCTGGACGAGATGAGCATCCTGATTGCACGGTCTCAGAAGAAGCTGCGCGAGCTCCGGATAGGTGTTGCAGCCCATGCACAGCAGCGAGACTGGGTAACTGTGTGGGAAGGCGAAGGCCTTCAGCAAGTCGACTACAACGCTACCACAACGGCAGCATCTTCGCTCGGCGAAAAGAGACTAGGAGGCGTTCTGGGCATTCTCGTGGGGCGCATACACAACATGCGCCATTCCGAAGAGCCCCCCTCTCAAACATCTGGCACCACGGGCATCACAGAGCGGTCAGTCGAAGCTAACCCGATCAAATCAGCTTCTTCCCTGCCCTTGCCTTCCATAGCTTCGCTCTCATTGCATGAGCGGGAAGCCGATCAAGATGTCGACCACTTCGGTAACCCAATGGACGAGACCTCCATGACCGAAGGCGTCAGTCTGTTCCACGAAAACCAGCCAGCCCATGTAGAACACACCCCACATCCAGCAAATACAGGGAAATTGGCCCCCAAGTCGCATGTGGCACATGGCGAGACACGCACCAAGTCTCAGGAACCCACAGAGCCTCTGCTTACTGGAAAGTTGAAGCTCGAAGTCCTAGAACTTGAACGTGTGCCTCTTTCGGTACCCGTGCTACGCAGAGCCTTTGACTGGTCTATCCTCTCGACACTAACCCTTCTGCACTGCAGCAACCACGAACAGCTATGGAAGATACTGCGGAGAACGTACACACCCCGCACCGCCTACCCTGGATCGCCATCCTCGTCCAAAGCATACAAGGCCTCATATACCCTACGATCAGAGTACCAACTCAATCTCAAGCGCATTCATACAAACACAGTCTCACCCTCGCTCATTTCCTTCCTCAAGGAGACTTTGGCGCCCAACAGTCTGGAGGTTCTCTTCCTCCAAGAAGGCCGGTCATATTCGTCCACTGTCACAGTAGATGCGATATATAGAGGGCCGATGAAGAGACATCGAGCCAGTTTGAAGAAGTTAATGATCGACAGCGGAGAAAAGGGTTCAGACGGCCACACAACGACGAGCTCGAGATGGAGGCGGTGGATGCTAAATCGCGAGATCCTAACCTTTATAACAAGCGGTCGTATGAATAATTTGCGAGAACTTGCCGTATCTATTGACTACAAAGACTGGGTAGGTCCATGTTACCCCGAGTTAATGATTTGGCTAACAATAGACAGCATCACTTCCTCCAACGTCTCCCGTACATCCCTCACATTCGCTCCCTCTACATCCCCTTCATCGCCGACCACGCACACGGCAGTAATATAGACCCCCGTGAGCTTGCGTACCAAATTCTCGACATTGTGCACTTGCGACCAGAGATTGAGCTCTGCTACATGGGCTTATCTACCAAATGCTTTGAGATTCTAGAAAACCGACCCTCGAATTACGACTTACGCCACGATGGTATGCATGCTGACGGTAGCGGCTCTGCATATGCCACGCATGATCCCATGATGTCCGACGACGAGAGCGAAGCCACTGAAGATGAAGACGAGGACGACATGGACGATGGTGGTATGCCACCCGGTGGTGATGAAACGGAGAGCGAAGCCAGCGATGATGGAGATGCCGAAAGTGATGACGATTCGGTGATGCAAGATTCGCAAAAAGGTCCCAAACTCAGAGTCCGAGAAATTCTCTTCTACGAGGAACGAGTGGAGGCGTTTAGGAGGCGGCATGGCGTGTTGCGGCCATGATACGATTGACAACGTGGGTGTTATTTTTCGCTGCAAGCATTTTGAGCGCACGGAATTGGCGGTGGGGACTGGAACGGTGCAAGATGGCGTATATGGTAGATATCCTTGATCATTTTTCATGATGGGTATGTGTGGTCTCGAGAGTTGGGACCTGCGGACATGGAGGCGTTATGGTTGAATGTTTATAGGTTCATGTAGTAGCAGATTTTGCAAACGTCCGTTTCATCGCATACAAAAGTTTGGGACATGTCTACATGTGTGTAGTGTAGCGGTTGTTTGAATGCACGTGAATACGCGTTGTAGTTGGTCCGAGCTCGAAGTGGAGGTGATCGCGAATACTGGAAGTACGATCAAGACTACGTAAACAGAGGCCAAACAATGAGCAAGAGAACAACGTCCATGCTCTCACAGCCAACTTGACCGCTTCTCCCATATCCACGAATTCGCCTATTCTACTCCAACCCCGTCTGTAAACAATCGCATAGTGGGGTACGCAACACGCCCGCCATGGACCACTCAACTCTGGTCTTTGCCTCTGTCTTCCCGGTTCTCTCCTTCTCGCACAGCACGCCCACACCGATCGCGACCCCGGACCTAGCATCTACCGCGCCCGAATCATCGTTTGGGAGTCCTTATGCGCTGAGAAACGTCGAAGGACGAGCACAAGGGCAGGGACAACACAAGGCGATCAAGCGCAACACAGCGTGGAGCTCCGCAACGAGGTTCCTAAGCCTACCCAAGGATGTCTTCTTTGCGCCGAGGTTAGATCGGACCGCCGAGGTCGAGAAGGCGCTAAGATACTTGCTTGTTGGCGAGGGCAAGAGTGAAGATGCGAAGGAGGAGAGTCTGATCGATTGGTACACAAACGAGTGTCGGCTACACTTTGCGAATAATGTGAGACCGGAAGTAGAAGGCTTGTGGGGGGCCGAGGTAGAGTTGCAGCACTCGTGGGACATACTGGACGAAACGCAGCGCCTTCTCGACCAAGTGCAGAGCATATACCTACAGCCCTTTACCGATCACTTACTACCCATCATACAGAACCAAGCGAGTAACACGACGACTCGGTCGAGCAGACCTACGCAAGTTGTTGAATCAGACGCAGGGAGCGTCGCAGACTGCAAGTTTCGTAGGGAGATACAGGCCGTTTTTGCGCATTGCCTGCCGCTGCAACGATACTCCAAGACGCTTAGCTACGTTTTGTATGATGCGGGATGTAAAATCTTTCGCATCTACAACCGCCAGGATGGTGTAGAACCGAGTGCTATGCCTGAGAGTACGCAAGAGACTAGGAAGCGCATGACTACGCTTCTACAGGGACTGGAGCGGGTTGGACTTGGAGGTGATAGTGCGCAGAATGCATTCGCGCATGCGATGAATAAGCTTCTTGACTCGTTCATCACAAGTCACTACCTAAAGGTAGATTGGTATTCCAAGAAGTCGAGTGTACCCCAGTTGAAGCTGTGGATACAAGATGGCTTCTGTCCGCTGGTCGAGCTGGTACTTGCGTGCTTGGAGTGCGAGCAGAGTAGCATTCTACCCACTGAAATTACATCATGGCAAGAAATGGCCCTGGGCAGGCTTGGTCGATCGCGAGTGGATAATCTGTTCGACTTTGTCATTCACTGGGACAAGAGCATGGGCGCTATTCTGGATATCAAAGAGTATCTTAGGGTGTCGAATGCGAAGCAACACCTTACATCCAGCTTTTCCCAGCAAATATCGCGGCGACTGTTGCATCCAGGAGCCACGACCACATACATCTTGAACGTCTATATATCCATAATTCGCTCTTTCCACGAGCTAGAACCAAAGGGCGTGTTGCTTGAGAGGGTAGCAAGGCCAATTAGACGGTACCTGAAGGAGCGGGAAGATACAGCACGGATCATCATATCCAGTCTGCTCACCGATCTGAGTGACGAAACGGGCAGCAAATTCTCATCCAACAGCGAGCTCTCCTACGAAATTGCCAGTGAAATGGCCAAGCCATTTGCAAACTACGGACAAGACGCAGACGAGGAACTAAACTGGAACGACATGAACTGGCAACCACTCCCTCAAGACGCCTCACCCGACTACAAAAAGTCCAAAGTCGAAGACGTAATCTGGTTCCTCTTGACCCTGTGGGAGCGCGAAGACTTTATCAACGAGCTCAAGAACATCTACGGAGACCACCTACTCCGGTGTCAGGATCCAGAGTACGAAAAGGAGATTCGACTGCTCGAGCTCATCAAGGTGCGTCTGGGTGATGAGAAGTTACAGGCTTGCGAGGTCATGCTCCGCGACGTGCTGGAATCAAAACGTATCAACAGTACTATTCACACTACCATCAATGTGTCGGAGACAACAGCAACAACAACCGCGCTCGTGACACCAGACCACCGCAACAAAAACCCTCAGACGCCAGACGCAAGAAATACACGCACATCCCACCCCCGACACACAACAAGATCGACCCGCAAAACCACCACTACGCCATCCACTCCCACCGCCACCACATCATCATCACCCCCCGCCGTCGTCGTCCCCCCCACCCTCAACGCCCAAATCCTCTCCTCCTTCTTCTGGCCCCAACTCCGCGACGACACCTTCCAGATCCCCGCACAAATCTCCCTTTTACAAAAAGAATACGCCACGCGCTTCGAGCGCATAAAGGGCATGCGGAAACTACGCTGGATGAATGCGTTGGGAAATGCATCTATTACGCTTAGTTTTGCCGACGGCCGCGAGGAGCGGTTTGATGGCCTCACGCCTTGGCAGGTTAGTTTGATTTCGGCGTTTGAGGGGCAGGCTGGTGGGGAACATGGAGGAGGAGATGGTGAAGGTGAAGGTGTAACGCGCACAATGGCTCAATTGGAAGATATACTGCAAATGGACACGACACTCCTATCACAAGCCCTCGCCTTCTGGGTCGGAAAATCCGTCTTACGATACCATCCCCCTTCCCCTTCCACATCCTCTTCCCCCAGCAAACCAGCAACCTACACCCTCATAGAGTCCCTCCCCACCGCCTCCTCAAAAACCTCCACCCACGACGCCGCCGCCGTAGCCGCCGCCCAGGAACTCACCTCCCTCACCACCGCAGACACAACAACCACAACTATCAAATCCCACACCGACCTTCTCGAGGAGAAAAAACACGTCTACACGGCTTTCATCATCGGTATGCTTACGAATCAGGGAAATATGAATACAGGGCGGATTGCCATGATGATGCGGTTGATGGTTCAGGGAGGGTTTCCGGGTGGGGAGGCGGAGGTTAGGGGACTGTTGGCGGAGTTGGAGGATGGGGGACGGGTTGTTAAGGTTGGTGGGGATATTTGGGGGGTGGTTAAGTAGGTAGGTAGGTGCTGGGGGCTGGAGGCTGTGGTGGAATAGAACGTGTTGTGGGGTTTGAGGATTGTATGAAGAAACTGCCTTTGGTGTCTACAGAATTATATGAAGTCGCCAGGCACAGCCATGGGCTTCTGTTCTGCTAGATTGAAATTCTCCACAGATGACATACAGAGATTCAAACATGATTTCGGGCACAGTTACCCATCCTTGGCGTATGTACCAAACTGAAGAACCATCCATTATGTGATTTTGTCGAGAGCTCTAGTTACCGAGCTTTTTTCAATCTCCACCTCATGTTTTGGCATGTAACGTCCAAGTGTCGTTTGGCCATTTTGCAAGTGTGATGAAATCTGTGATTATTTGAGCATGAAGCTCGGTTTGTAGCAGGGTGCAAATGTGTGATTCAGACGATATTCTAATGAAGTGTATGGATTTAAACATGTTTTATGTTTCGTTTCTGTAACGGTTTGGGCCTTGCCAAGACCAACTTAGGTGAGAGTTGGGTACGGCTATCGCTACCACACTTTCTCATCACACACACCTATATAGCTGCAGTTCCTCCATAGCTACACAATGCAACGCAGTCCTTCTCCTCTCCTCTCCCCGTTACAGTTTCTCATGTCAGAAATCATTCACGCCGGTGAGATTAAAAGAAAGGTAGCGAAGTCTGACAGATCCCATTTCCTCTCCACATACAACTAGATGATTGCATGTCATCATCTCCTCCACATTACTCCATTCCATCAGAAACCATCACACACACATACACACACAAACACACACAAACATACACAAACAACCCCCACCTACCCATCCAAATCAAACATCTCCCTCATCTCCTCTCTAACCGCCAGATCCCCCACCCCCTCCTCAATAACCCCCCACATCTCCTTAACAATGCGCTCTCTCGCCTTCGCCACCTTCCCCCACTTCTTCCACTCCATCTCCACACCCTCCCTCTCCTCCCTTGAAATCTTCTTCGCCTTGCCCTTCCTCAACGCATCAAGTCGGGTTTCAAGCTGCGTCTTCTCTTGCTCGAGCGCGTGCACGTGCGTGACGAGGTCGGCGGTGCTGAGGGTTGAGTTGAGGCTGGAGAGGGTGCTGCGGAGGGCTTTTGCGGTGGCGAGGAGGGCGGTGGTGCGGGTGCGGAGGTCGAGGATGGTGGTGTCGAGGGCGGCGAGCTCGGAGGTTGTACAGGCTTCTGCTGCGTTCTAGGGGTGTTTGGTTAGCTGGTTGGGGGGATGAGGGAGGGGAAAGGGGTGGGTTGGGGTGTACCTGTAGGGCGTGGTAGACGATTTGTTTGCCTGGGGATGTTAGACGTTGTGTATTGGTGAAGGCGGAGATTATTATACCAGCTGCACGGCCTTCAATCAATTTCTGCTCATGGAGGTCTTTGAGGATTTTTGCTGCGGCGGCTATGTGTTTTGTCATTAATTACTGGATGCTCTCGACTAAAGCAGGTACGTAGTCAACACACCTTTGGTGACCTTGTTATGCAAGTTGGCAGACACATCAATGGCTGAGTAAGGGCGGTTTTGCTTGTCTATACGAGATCAGTATGTGACAAATGAGGAAGGGGCGTCTGGGTTGATCAAGGCAAGAAGAAGCAGTGACTCACGCAGATATTGCAGCACCATGTCTGCTGCCTCGTTGGCCGTCGCCTTCTCTTCGGTCTTCTTGCGGGGCGCCATGGTATGCGATGGATGTTCAGGTGAAATGAGTTGCAGTGAGAGAGATGAAGTTTGAGCTGTTAAATGACAAGTTGGGATAGCGCCAAGTCACGAGTACACTTCGGGAGGAAGGAGCCACCCCCAACCCAGGCAACAAGATGAAAATGCCTTGAAAGACCTAGCATAAGCGAACATAAATTGAAGCAAGATGATTGCTTGTATAGACGCTTCGTTTATTGCAGGCGCAGTGCCATGCATACTATACTTACTATCAAGCCTTGTGACTATTCAACCCCCACGCTCACCAAACTGCGTGGCCCAATCCTCAAACTCCTTCAACCCCTGCTTACTAACAGACGGTCTAATGGTTTGAAGGCTAGCTACAAAATCCTGGTACTGTATCGGCCGTATCTGATCCATTGTCATAGAAAGTAACTTCTCACCCAGCGAGCGCAAAGGTCCCATCGCAGCATCCTTGGCAAGAGCAGTAATATCAGAGCCAGAGAAACCTATCATAGCGTTAGCAAAAAGACTCAGCACACGAGTAACTACTTTGTACATACCTTCTGTGAGCGTGACCAAATGATCCAAATCCTCATCGCTCAATTCGTGTTTCTGATGGCTCAACAATGTCTGCATTTGCTGCTTTCTGACCCAGCCTTCGGGGAGCGGGATGTACTGTCTTCGCACAAACCGCCTTCTAGCTGCTTCATCGATCGCCCATGGCAGGTTGGTTGCTGCAAGCACAAGCACCCTTGTAGCATCGCCTTTTTCCTTCTCCTTGTCAGTAAGTGCGCTGCCAGCAGCAGCCTTCTGTAAGTCAGACCACTGGATGAGAAACTCAGTCTTGATACGACGCGAAGCTTCGTGTTCTCCTGAACTAGAGCGTGATGAAAGAAGGGAGTCAATCTCGTCAACGAAGATGATGGACGGCGCAAGCAATTTTGCAAGCTGGAACAGCGCACGAACTAGCTTCTCAGACTCGCCTAGAAACTTCGAAGTCAGACTGCTAGCTGAAATGGCGAAGAAAGTGGACTTGGACTCGGTGGCCACCGCTCTGGCCAACATCGTCTTTCCAGTTCCTGGAGGCCCGAAGAGAAGCATGCCACGTGCAGGCTCCCGGAGACCCATGAACAGATCCGGTCGCAAGAACGGATACACCACAGTCTCTTTCAATGCCGATTTTGCAACTTCGAGCCCTGACACGTCGTCCCAGTGTACTTCATCTCCCTGTATCACTATTTCATTCAAGATTTGCTGCGCAGCTTGTCTGTCGACACCTCTTGGAAGAATCTTCATTATCTCCTCCGTTCTTTGCTTCCACTCGTCCATCTCTTCTGGCTCTAGTTCCGCTTCAGTACTATCTGTGCTCGGGGTATCAGGCAGTTCGGCACGCATCGAATTTCCTCTGGCTCTGCCCTTGCGCACTGGAGATGGTCTGTGTTTGAGCATTTCGCCATCCTCCTCGAGTGGTATGGCTTCAGACTCGTCTTGGTCTGAATCTGTTCGTGTGCGCGAATAGCTGTTTGTCGACTTTGGTACTAATCTTCGTGTAGTGGGATCCCACATAACCCCAGCTCGTTCACCACTATTGTCACTATAGGATCGGGCGGCTGCCGAAACTGCGAGATTACGAGGGTCTGGGGGAGGCTTGGGATACTCCTTCCTGTATGAAGGTAGTGCTTGCGCATTCAATGTTCGACCCGTATCGATAGACTTGCGAGGGATCAGTGGTGTGCGCTCAGGACCGGGCATCTTGATTGGCTCAGGTTCGCTTCCACCCGTGGATGGCACTGCGTAGGCGGTGGAAGCCGAACCGTCGCCAGCTCTAAAGTAAAATGGAGCCTGTGTGTGCGGCTGGTATGACTCGGAATTTGAGCAGTACGCGTTCGGCCTCTCACCAGCCGGCCTATCAATGGATGAGCGACTTGACTGAGGTAATGAAGCCGATGATGAGTTTGAAGGTCCCAGGTTGGGCCTACTGGAATTGGATGTGGCTTTGACAGTCCATGCTTGTGTAGCTGCCTTGGAAGCATCAGGCCGATTCCTCAACGAATTGGGCAACTTGGATGAAGAAGACTTGCTCTCCTTCCCAGACCTAAGTGTCCGTAGCATCCTGCCCTTCTTCTCTGGCGATGGTGTACGTGTCTTGTCCTCTCCCGTTGCCCCAGGCGACAGCATTGATGCGCTTCGAGTCTGCGTCAAGGTATTCTCTCGTACGGACCCGCCAGAGCTCTTTCGTGGCGGCAGAGCAGGGCGATATGGTAAAGGAGGTGGTCTCGAGAGATCGGCATACTCTATAGGAGGTAGAGAACCTCCGCCCAGCCATGAGGCTGTGTTGACATTGCTCGGCGACAGGGGCATACCGTGGGGAGGCGGGGCGGGCGCAGTTGTACTAGAAGGTTGGCTCTCCTTGGACTCTTTCCGACTCTTCTTCAGCGCCTCCAAGAGATCCACGCGCTCCTTGCATTGCAGCTCCAGTTGACGCAGCGACTCTATGAGTGCCCTCTCTGTCTCGGACGCGGGGCGATAGGTGGAGGGATTGCGGCGAGCATTATGGTAGTAGATATGGTCGAGCGCAGTCTTCCACGACCGTAGCGCTTCTTTTTCGTTGTTCTATATGTCTCCTGTCAGCATTGCTACCTCATGCGACAATACTCGGGTGGTTGGGCACGAACTTGGCCTTCGAAATAAACCGCTGTCGAGCAAGCTAGAAAGGCCTCGTCATAGGCTTTTTGAGTAGTATTGGCGCGCATGGCGGAAAGCATAGGGACGGAGCGCCCAATTCAAACTGGCGTCTTGTATGAAGGCGGGAGCATGTATTCGGCGTCACGTATTGGGTGTTTGTAGATCCGTCTGTTGCATAGGCCGGTCTTAGTTCGCGCGGTAGGTGACGTATGTAGCTGCATTTCGCAACCGCGAAGGCTGAGTAACGGCAACCAGACGGAACAAGCAAGCTACTACCCTAGCACTCCCGATAGTCTAGGAGATGCGCACTGGCCCGCTAATACATACATCAAAGAACAATCTGCAATCGAGACTACAAGCGTTGGCGTGAGCAGAAGCATGCACGAGAGAGGTGCATGTGCAAGTGGGTGCTAACAGACGCTAACCAAATCAGGCCGTCGTTATCGATTACGCACCTGCACAAGACTGAAACCACATGATACCATATACCAATCGAATGGTGGCGTGAGCGACATGGATACTGAATTTCCCTATGTTACAAGTATCTCGCATAACCAATCTTCTACTGTGCCGCCAAATGGAATCTCCAAGAAGCCGCTATGACTATACAAAGGCAGCAAGCAGCGTCGCAACACAGCCTATGCTTTTCCCGCGCCACACATGATGCTGAACCTAGTCACGAATGTCCAATATTGCAAGGGTATTACCCTCCTCAACCTTACTGCGTGTACATGATTGCATTAGTCATGCACAGATTGCCGCCACGAAGTCGTCGCACTCGGTTTGAAAAGGATCAATTAGAGCATCGTCTCAAATAGCCGTGGACGAGTTTGTGCTTCGCCGAATGAAAAAGGCCTTGGCCATTTCGTATGCAGACCTGATCAAAGTCAGATGAACCCACTTGGCGTAGGAGCATGATACTCACCAGCAAATTGCTGTGCTAGGCATGGTGGTGATGATTCGAGGCTTCAGTCCACGAAAGTACCCTCTGTATCCTTCTCTTTCACGAATGATCCTTGCCGCCTGCATCAAGCCCGAGACATTTTTTAATTCGGCATCCCGAGCATTTCCTCGTGTTTGTAATAGCGTCTTGATCACGTCCAGTGGCGTGGTAAGCCCGGCAGCAAATCCACCGGCAATACCTCCGGCGAAACAATGCGTGTACGGGTCGTAGCGGCCGGTCGGGTTCATGACTTTGGATATGGATTCGTATGCCATGAATTGTAGGGCGGTAAATGGAACCGTCATACATAGCGTGGTGGGGTACGAGACGTAGAATGCGCCTATTCCTTCGGCGCGGAACACCTCTCGGGCGCATTGGGGGACAGACTTGTAGATGGAACCGTGCATTTGCATGCGTTGTTTTATGACTGCGAGCTTCAGCAGGCGGCAGGCGTGGTCGCGACGCGCTTCTTACCGTCAAAGGGATTCATCAGCGCATCGCTGGAAATAGTGGCTGCAGCGCCGCTAGCAGCTGGAAGTGGTCAGTAACTGCCACTTTGATATTTCCCGGCATGGGTTGCGCACCTGCTGCAAGAGGGTGGTGCTCATGGCTCTCTCCTTCATTGCCACCGAGGGCGTGTTTTGTGGCTTCATACGAGGCAAAGTAGACGGCATGCGCGGGACCTGGGCCGTCAGTTTCATTTCATCGTGGGGGTGCGCCAGTGAGTGTTTACCTGCGCCCATTACAACACTGGACAAACCCCTCCATAACGACCAGAAGCCTTCCGCCCGCGATATTGTGACCATGGCGTTTGAAATGCCGCTGTACATGGCGCTCGGTGATGGATTGACTATCTGCATTCTGGTCTGCTGCGGGTTAGCGCATTGCCCGCAGCACATGAAGAGCTCGAGGCAAAGCTGCACACCTTGAGTAGATCGACGGGATACATGACCGAGTGTTCCTATCCTCAAGTCAGTCGAGATGGATGCATGGCGGCAACTCCGGTGACATACGGCAATGCCTGCGAACGCGCCGGCAAGCATGTTCGCAGTGAGGGAGAAGTTTGGCGGCAGCGCCTCATAGCTGGTGCGCGAGTTAGCAACTAAAGACGCTGTGTGGTGTCGCAATCGAGCTGTACTCGTGTTCTTCTTCTTCCAAAGGAACTATTGCCCGATCATGGGTGGCCATTAGTCGGCCTGTGACAGGAGCCGCAGATTCCAGATTTGCGACTGCCTCGAGATTTGTTTTCGGCCGTTTATGTCGAGTTCCCCGGGATGTGGTGAAGGGCGACTAGGGGTGCGCGGGCAATGGTTCGAAATTGGAGTTGTTACTTTTGTTTGCAACTAACGGAAGCGCAACATGACTTCAGCCGAACGCCGAGACGTCAGAGCTAAAGTCCGGCCATTGGACACTCTACCATTTATACCCATGTCATCACTCCTCCGGCATCGCTGTTGTTCGTATCTACAACAGCGCATGTCACTGTCTTGTTACAACTACACGTCGTATTTCAATCATTTCACTTCCGGCTGACAGTTTGAAATTTGATCCGCTGCCATGGTCTCCACCCTTTGTGCAGGAAAATACCGCTGAGTACATATGTGGCCGCGGAAATCCAGTACATCAGCAACGCGATATCGACTCGGCGGGCGGGGGGAGACCTCGGGCGTTGAAATCTTATCAGATCATCTCCGCCCGCGCATCCTGCTTGCGGAACACCGCAACTCTTCTCCGTTGCAGACATGCGCATCTTAAGAATTCTGTCTTGATAACGAAAATAGCGATGAATCATCTTACCCCACCAAGTTGCTAACGGTGCTTTTTAGCGTGTCCAGAATTGCACGCTGAATAATCCCCCGTTACACACTAGACTTCCAGAAAGCAGCGTCTGGCATATTACACATGATAATGAAAGAATGACTCGTATTTTGCTTGGGACGAGAAATGTATCGTTTGTAAATTCGGTCCATCGATCCGAACAAGTGCCAGCATCCTGTATCGCTATGGTACATCCTACCATGTCCGTGCGCGTTTTGGCCACGTTCGCGTTTTGGCCACCCCAACACAACAACCACCTATACAGAACACGTCATAACTCCACCACCATGGATCCGATTCAAAAAGCGATTGAAGAAATCGAATCGCGCGCATCAGGCGCACCATTCTCGTACTCAGAAGTCGCAAAAAGACATGGTGTAGGTCGCCGTACGCTAGCTCGAAGACACCAGGGCCAAAACCAGCCGCATACGCTCGCCCATAGAATCCTTCACCCACACCAAGAAACCGAGCTGTTAAAGCATATTACGACGCTTACTGAGCGACGTACGCCCCCTACACGAGCAATAATACGCTCCCTTGCGTCGTCTTTGGCTGGTAGGGAGGTTTCAGAAAGCTGGGTTACTCGCTTCATCAACAGAAACCCAACCCATCTCATCTCACGCTGGCAGACCGGGATGGACCGCAATCGCCACAAGGCTGATTCAGGAGCTAAGTACAGCTTATACTTCGAGCTGTTACACAGTAAGATGAAGGAGTACAATGTAGAGCCCTCCCACATCTTCAATATGGATGAAAAGGGCTTCATGATTGGGGTAACTGGGAGATCGAAAAGGGTCTTCGACAAGAGGATATACGATCGAAAAGGGGTTACAGCTGCTGTTCAGGATGGTTCTAGAGAGTGGGTGACGGTGCTAGCCTGTATCTGTTCGGATGGTACAGCTCTATCGCCAGCGCTCATCTTCCAGTCAGCTGCTGGGGCCCTACAATCGAGCTGGACGGACGCAATCAACAAAGAAAAGCACCAATTCTTCATCGGCTCATCCCCTTCTGGCTGGACAAACAACGATATAGGACTTGCCTGGCTTAAGGAGGTTTTTGAGAGAGAGACTAGATGGAAAGCTCGCTCAGGATACCGATTACTACTCCTTGACGGCCATGGATCCTACGTAACTATGGATTTTATCAACTACTGCAATGACCACAAGATCCTGTTACTCGCGTTTCCTCCTTATGCAACCCATACGCTTCAGCCGCTTGATGTTGGGATGTTCAAGCCTCTCTCGACTGCCTACTTAACTGAGCTTTCATCCCACCTTTATAGAAGCTAGGGGCTTATCTTAGTAACGAAAGGAGACTTCTTTCCCCTCTTTTGGAGTGCCTGGGCTGCTGCTTTTAAACCTCAAACTATCATGAAGTCGTTTGAAGCAACTGGGATACACCCACCTAACGCTGAGGTTATACTCCGAAGATTCCGCAAAGAGGCATTAAGCTTAGATGAAAGCTCAACTTCTGTGCTTAGTGCAAAAGACTGGCTTAAAATCAAGACTCTTATATCTCGTCAAGTGCGAGATAAGGACGCAAAGGATACAAAGAAGATTTACCGAAGTCTCCACCATATCTCAGCTCAACTTAGTATCCTAAGCAGTGAAAACAGGGACCTCAAGGAGGCTCTTTTGGTGAAAAAGAGACACAGGAAGAAGAGCTATACTCTAAACGTCAACAACAACCATGAGTATTATGGTGGTGCTCTTCTTTGGTCTCCTCGTAAGGTCCATCGGGCTCGGGACGATGAAGCAGTTCGACAACAACAAAAACAACAGGAACAACTTCAGAAAGCTGAGAGATCTCAGATGAAGGAGCAAGCTCGGTTGTACAAGCTTCATCAAGCTCAGGAGAAGCGTGTTGAGAAAGAGAGGCTCAAGGAAGTGAGGGAGGAGAGAGCCGCTAAGGAGGCTGAAAAGGAGCGCCAGAAAGCAACTCGCGACGCTGAAAAAGCTATACAACTGTCCCAAAAGGGTAAGCGCAAGGCCTCACAAGCCTCTAAGCTACCTAGAAAGCGTCAGAAACGTGCCGTTGTTGTTCCATCTCATGTTCAAGCTGAGGAGGCTGCATCAGCCGCCCCAGCGCGTACCACCCGCCTTGGCCGCAAAACTAAGCTACCAAGTAAATAAAAGTAGCACAAGTTAATCGCAATGATATAATTACTACAACTCCACAAGATCTCGCATTAATAGCTATTGTTGCTGGTGATACAGCCTCATTTTTCTGGTATCTTCATGTTGTTGGGGTGGCCAAAACTCGAACATGGCCAAAACGCGCACGGACATGGTATCGTTATCGTACATGGCGGCCCATGCCGATTGTACAGGCACAATGTACTCGGCTTCGTCACGTTCTGTAATGAGCAATTCTATCCAGAGTGCTCGTGACGACACGTTACGATGCGACACGTCTACAATGCCGTGATCCGAAATACCAGGGGCCCTGGAATCCCGATGCGACTCAGCAGTCGCACCGCTTGTGCCACCGTGGAAAGCTGACCACATCCCTGATATTGGAGACGCCTGAGAGGTAGCACAGGAGTCGATCGAACCCAAGACCAAAGCCGCCGTGCGGCACGCTGCCGTATCTTCGGAGATCCACATACCACTGCAAGGACCCGTCTGATGCGTCGGTGGTCTTGTCCGCTACGTGCTCAAGGCCGTGGTCATGCATCGACTTTACAAGTTCCGGTAGTCTGTGTTCACGCATCGAGCCACCCACTAATTCACAGATCTCGGGGACTAGCAGATCGAAGCACGCGACCGTTGATGCCCCCTCTTCTTCAGCTGCCGCGTCAGTTGACGGCGCCATGTAAAACGGCTTGATGAGACGTGGATAGTCGGTGATGAACACAGGTCCACCCCGTCCCATGCTGTCAGCCAGGTATCGCTCGTGCTCGGTTTGGAGGCCGTCTTCATGACCAGGTGCATATTCAAAGCCCACCTTTCCCTGAGCCACGGCGTCTTTGAGGTGCTGTACCGCAGCCTTGTATGTGATTCGGGGCCATGGCCCGGCTACCAGCCCTTGCCATCGCTGTGCGAGGACCGTGTGCGACACGGGTGTGCGCTCTTCCTCCTGGTCTCGTGCTCGCGCCTCGAGAAGCTCCCGCCCTACAGATGAGGTTTGTAGTTCCGACGCAACCGAGCGCAGCATGTCTTCTACCACGTCCATGACAACATTTACATTGTTCACAAACGCCAGCTCCGCTTCCAACATGTAGAACTCGCTGAGATGACGAGCCGTATCACTCTTCTCAGCGCGAAACGTCGGAGATAGAGCCCAAACCTTGTTTACAGACTGGGCCAAAGCTTCCAGATGCAACTGGCTGGAAACTGTCAGGTACTTTGGGGAACCGAAAAACTGGTCTTCGTGCTGTTTGGCCTGATTCGACAACTGTTTATCTGGTACAGCCGGTGCTCCCGGTGCAACGGTAAAGACCTCTCCTGCGCCCTCGCAATCCGACGACGTGATGATTGGTGGATGGCATTGGACAAAGTCGTGTTTTGCAAAGTACTTTGTCACTTCTGCCGTGACTAGCGACCTTAGTCGCAGGATGAGAGAGTTGAACGGCAGCCGACTTCGCAGATGCGGGAGAGTACGAAGAAACTCGGCTGTCTGATACTTTTTCTGAATTGGATAGGTCTGACGTCGATTGACATGAATCAGATACTGGGGCAAGTCTACAATGGTTACAAACAAGAAAAAACTTACTGCAGCATCATTGTCTCCCAGTATGCGCACATTGTTCACTTGAAGCTCATGAGATTGACCCTGTCCTGGCGAGGGTGTCCACTTGCCAGTGACTGTGACTGCAACACCGGTAGAGAGTCTGATAGCGGGCCATGTCAGCACCTATGGGGATTGCTGGAGATAAGTGACTGACCCTTCTGCTAGGCTAGGATCCAGAACAGCCTGGACTGTCTGCAAGGTCGAACCATCGCCTATGGCAGCAAAGGCAATGCGCTTCTGCTTACGCACCGTCCGCACGTAGCCGTTGATTGTCAGCGTCTCACCGTCTAGTGGAGACTTGGGCGAGGAGGAAGGGAGTGGAGACTTGGGTAGCAGCTCAGCTAGATTGCTTGGGCCAAAGGTCGAACTGCAGCGAGGACGACATGTCGACGCGCTTCCCCGGTTTCGACCTGAGAGCTGGGGTCGGGCAAAGCTCCTCCGGAGTGCAAGGAAGCGGGTCATTTACGCGTCGGCAAATTTCACAAGGGGCAATTAGCCAGTAGGAAAGGTGCGGTGTAGCGTAAAAGCAGCAATGCTCGTCCATGTCCATGTCGTCGACGTTTCCGAGGCTGGGCAAAAAAGGTAATCGACGCTCGGGCCAAGTGCGCTAGAATCGTGTGAACCTCGCCGTTCTTGTGCCTCGTCAATCGTATCTGTATCACTATCGGGCCTTGGTGAAACACTAGGTGGTCCAAGGAGAGACCATGCAGGTGCACGAGATTCATGGCCCATGGGCACAGCGCCGATGCGCCTGCAGTCTTGGTGTTTTGCCTGTCCGCGCCATCATTCGCTCGGTCGGATTCCTTGCTCTCCTCCACGCCCCAAAAAGCACACAGGACACAAACGCCGCGCCCCACGGAGCTCGACCGCCGTTTGCCATGGCCTGATGGATCGTGTGTGCCAAAACGCTCCGAAGCAAGGACCCGTTGCTGCAGTGGCTGATTTGGGCGGACTTGTCCGCTACCTTGACGCTTCCGTGCAACCGCTCTGGCGGTGAAGTCGGACGCCTCGTAGAACCAAAATGTACCCGATCTCAGTGCCTTTTCCCTGCATCCCGGATCGTAGCGCAGACGCCATGACTGCAGCGCTATATCGTGCAGGATCTGGATTAGCAGCTGTCATCATCGGATGGACCAACGCCGCCAGATCCTTCTAACCCGCTTTCACCACTATGCAGATCGCTTCAAGGCCTGGATGAGGCATCCAGCCACACATCCCTGCGACATGTGCCCCCAGAAGTCCCGACACGGCACTTTGTGGCTTCCAGTGCCTGGCAGTTAATGTGGGTTCACAACATCGCTCCCAGAACCAGGATGCAGGTTGCAATCACAAGGCGCGGCTGCTACCGGTCATCTTGACCTCTGTGCCTACCCTAAATTGCTCTGGCACACGAATCATGTCCCCATTTTCCTGCAGCTCTGCGCTATGTCTGGTGTAAATGCCACCCGCCATGATTGCATCCACAGGGGGACCGCTTGATTCACGCAGTCGACTTCCGCTTCCGTAGTTGGCGCAGCAAAATGCGCCAACCTAGTGTCCGGCTCGATCTGGAGCTATTATTTAGCTGCCTTATCACACGCCCTTGAACACTTGCTCAAGTGATATACTTCCCTCTTGCCGCCTGAGCTAGTCACAAACTCGTTGCGTTTCTCCCACTCGCCGATTTGGTATCGTTCTACTACCAAGTCACTCACAAACTTCATATCTACCATCCTGCTCTCTGTCTCTCTATAAACCCCTTACCCTCCATCATGCCACAGTCAAGACCTAAGCCGTCGGAGATAGCAGCCGAGGCGAAACGAGTATGGATGCCACATATCTGGAAACACTACATCCGGGACTCGAAAACATCATACCTTTACCCAGACTCCACACAAATACGAGTAAACGTCGACAAGCGATCATCCCAACGGACGCGAGTAGCAGTCATGGAGGGCGATCCAGTAAACTACGCCCTGGGCTGGTACCAGAGCGCAGTCAACGCAGATCCAAACTGCAAGCGGATACCCGTCATCAATGTAGCCAACGAGAAGCGGGCTGGAGGCGACTGGGAATCTGGACTCATGGCACCGGAAGAATGCTTCGCGCGGAGAAGTAATCTAGTGCATGCCCTCACCATGCCCTGGAACGCGCAACTTGGGCGGGAAGAGAATTTCTACCCCATACCGCAGAGGGGGGGCATATACTCTCCCGAAGTTTGTACGTTGATGAAACACTAAGCAAGCATGGTCCTGAGCCGTCATACTAACGGGCCGCAGTCGTATTCCGAGCAGGACCGGATCAAGACTATGCAACATTTACAGACATATCCTCGCTGCCAGTGATATCAGTAGCGCCAGTCCGCCGTCCAAAGCTCGACGAGAGCGGGTGCAAGTACTCGTTTGAGCAGGAGAAGGAGCTGATGAAGGAGAAGATGCGGGCAGTGCTCCGAATCGCGTCTTACTGCGGGCACAGAAACTTAGTGTTGGGCGCCTTTGGTCTAGGGCCCATCTTCCGCAACCCGGCACAGGAAGTAGCGCGCATGTGGCGAAACCTGCTCTTCGACGAAGAGGAGTTCCACGGCGCCTTCCAGGATGTCGTCTTTGCCATTGACAGCAGCATGGTTGGGTTGCCGAGCAAAGGCTGCGCGTCTGATGTGGAGATCTTCAGACGCGAGTTTGATCCCGCGACTATTTGGCCGACAAAGTGGTGAGCGGAGAGTCGGCGACGAAGCCGATGAGGAATGAAAATGACGCCGATGAAACTTTAAGGCAAACCACCAAGATCCAGCAACATCCTTCTTGGGCACAGATGGGGAAATGTTGCGGTCACGAAGCTTACGAACTTGAAGCGGCCGCGCGCATAGAACACGGGCTACTGGTGTGGCCGGCACCGTCAGAGCCGCGCGCGGGCGACCAATGGAGGGGTAAGGAACAGATGAAGTCATAAGATCAGATTATGGTTGGGTTTGTTGGTGGGGTCTGTTCTCTGTATGCACAGATAACCGAGAAGGCAGCCCAGATCTCGCCGACCCGACAAAATGAATTAGCTTGGGTGGGTGGACAGTTGGTGGGCAAAGTGGGCATGTTGTCGCTGTGGGGTTGTTTCCATTTTGCGGCTAGAACAAATCTGCAGGCTTGTTTTGAAACTAGACGAGTTTAGTCATGTTTAATCAAGAAATTATCAGCTATCCATGTGGGGAAAAAACATTTGTCATGCCGCGAACAGCTTTTGGCGAGCTTTTTGGCGAGAGAGACAAAAGAGGGTCGATCTTGACTACTTTCTACCCCCGTCTCCGGTGCTTGGTGTCTCGGAAGGATGGTAGCGTGTATGTAGGTACATACGTAGTCTGCATCGTACACTTTACATGTATGTACTGTCGCCCAAGCGTCAGCTGGAGAGAATCCGCCGTACCCACGTATGCACGTACGCAAGTCATCATCTCGTCGTCGCAAGCAGACTGAATCCTCTCGCTTCCCGTTCGGCGGACCATGACATGGTAAAAGACCAGAAAACAACTGCCGACCTCGCCGTTCAAAGCCGAGTCAAGCAACAGCAGCAACAGCAAGCAAGCAAGCACGTCCACCCATGTCTAACTACAAAGCAAAAAAACAAAAAAAGAAGTTCCCGCGCACGCTCACGCTCGCATTCATAAAGTAAAGTAATCAACGGCCCAAACGTCCGCCGATCCCCGATTCGTTCCCTGCCGTTCCCTTGTGCAGTACGTATGTATGTACATACGGTAATTTGACGAACCCCCCCTCATGCAAGGTCAGATAAGCGGAGCGTTGACCAAGACAAGGACGCGGCTCATCTGTGCAGGTGTGTGTCGCCTAGGATGGGCATCTGGGATGAGTTGATTGGTAAGCCACACCCCTCACCCAAGCTTCCAGAAGCTAGAATGAGTGACGACATTATGCGAGACTAATCACGGTTGTTTTTGGCGAGGGGGGGGAGGGGGGGTTCGTGGCGGCTTTTAGGGCAAAAGGCTGCGAGGGGGAGGTAGGTAAGCTCGTATGCGCATGGTAGTTTTTTTGACAGGTGTGGTGTGAGATGCGCGCGACTGCCTTGCTTGCATGCTGGGGATCACCGGAAAGGTTGCCGGAGTTTTGTTTGCCTGCAAATCATGTTCGGTTACAAAGCAAGCAAGCAAGCATGATGAGGTTTGATGAGGTCATTTTAGGTGTACATAGTCTACAAATACAGTTATCTTTTACATGGTATTGTAACATTTCATGAGCGGCGTTAACAGGGCCAAACAAAAGCAAAAGTTCCATGCCATCCTTCCTCCTACTTGTTCTGACCAGGCACAGGTAATTGCGGTGCAGTAATTTCGCCTCCCTGCATCTCAATCCTCTTGATTGTTTGCTCGCGTTGGAAGTTGACCACTCTCTGCTTTTTGAAGTACTCAACCTAGAATTGTATCAGCGTGATTTGCCTCCCCCAAAGAAAAGCGTGAGAAAAGCACATACCCAACTGTGTGCACAGTTCTTCTCGAATTCCTTGTCAAACTGCCCGCACAACCTTTCAGAATTTTCCCGACCCTTTTTGCCATTTATGCTGTCGAGGATTTGGTTCTTGTCGAGACATTCGAAAAAGGCGTCGCGTGCTGCGTAGCATTGTTTCCGATTTGAGCGTGATGGGGATTCGAATGCGCCGCCTTCTGTCTTTTTGACGCCCGACTCTTCCTTTGCGCCGGAACTGAACCAGCCCATGGTTGTGGTGGATTGGGAGGTTGCAGAGGATATGCGGAGGTGCTGGTGAAGGCGGGGATTGGAGCTGGGCGCTTAAAGTCAGTCGCAGTCCGGGGAGTTTGCCATATTAATCATTCGGCGGAGATGCGTACTTGAGCAGTGTATATATGCGCCGAGCAATTGGATCCTATTGTCGTCAATGGTCGCAACCATGTACGGCGCAATCATGTCGAATTGGACAAAGCTTGGCGAAGCCCTACGCTATGACATCGGCGGTCCCCCCAGCGTTTCGCCGAAGCGACACGCAGTCGATGGTCGGTCGTCTAATGAACAAGGCAACCGTGCAACTTGCTACTACAATAAAATCACAACTTGGACACTCTCCCCTCCCCCCCCCCCCTGAATGCCCTCCTCACAGCGCATCGCCCGGTGAATTGATGCCACGACGACGCCGCCCCCCACGACCCGGCGCACTCGCGGATCTCTCCCCAACCCGCATCCTCACCCAGATTGTGCTCCTGCAACTAGCCTACTATGCATGCGCCGGCATCCTCATCGTCTTCACCGCTCTGGTAGCTGGCAAGGAGGTCAGCACCGATTTGATCTTTAGCTGGCAGAGTCTGCGCGGCGACACGGCGGTTGGATGGACACTGGGGCTGGTTTGGGTCCTGAACAGCCTCACGTGGTGAGTAATACGTTGCGCAGGCATGCATTGAACTAACATGTCCCAGCGCCATCTTCATGCTGCTCCTGATTGCGCGCTCAAAACTCGTCCTTGACTTTGCCCTGACCGTACACTTCATTCACCTCATCGTGACCTCCTTATACACCCACGCCATACCCGCCAACCTCTTCTGGTGGGCGCTGCAACTGTGTAGCGTTACTATCATGACTTGTCTCGGTGTCTGGGCCTGCCAATGGCGCGAGTTACGGCCCATCAACTTTGGAAGCAAGACGCCCGCGCGACAACAACCCGCTGCCGAGGACGAAGGGGGTGAATCGAGAGGGAGAGGGAGGGGCAGGGGAAGAGACGGAGCCGGCGAGTATGAGATGGTCGGTATGACAGATGCAGACAATGTCTGATAGGCTGTCATATTTGCATAATTGGCGTTTGATTTGGATAGGTTTGGATACGTTGAGCGGTACCTAGACTGGCCTCTCAGGCCCCTTGACTATATATACCCTTGAAGAGTGTAGAACATTATGGTTCAGTGTTTGAATAGAATGCGTCAACCCGCTTTATCGTGAACTTTGTTACCGACGCTTATGCCAGTTTATTGCTCTGGTTATTCAGAAGAACTATGTTTGATTCTAGACGACCTCACCCATTGCGCGAGGACCAGCTAGGTGGATCCAGCCCATGTCAGTAATCTACACAGTTGCGCAAACTGAGTGTGAGAACAAGTGACTGTGTAGCATCCTCGTTTCGTGCATGTCGTGCTACCGGTACCACCGCGAGTCATCGATCCACATATGTGCTAGCGCGAAAATCGTGCGCTAACCATGGTCCGAGTACAACCCTGTCTAAAGCTTTCACCACCATTCTCTCGGTGCCGTATACACCATGATCGCCACTAATAATCCTTGACTAACGCAGGCACCTGTCACCTAGCTGAAATGAACCCGAATAACGGTTTCTACGGCCAGTGGCCTCCAGGACAGCCACCGAACAACAGGCGCTATCTGCCTGTGGCAGGTGAATTTGGAGAGTCTCCGCGACCCATTGTAAACCATGGCAGACAACAGTATCCCGTACTCGCACATAATCCGCAGATATTCCCTCCTCAGCAAAATTTTCAACAGCATCAGTTTCAGCCTCAACTTCACCCTCACCTTCAGCAATCGCCTCAAAATCCTTTCATACCTCTCATTCCACTTCATGCTGTAGAAGACCTGGAAGATGAGCCACCGCCTCCATTTACTAGTAGTAGCTTCCATGATCCGTTCAACAGAGCCTATGCTACCAGTGGCCCAGCGGTATTTGAAGGCTTCATCCCTGATCCCACACATGAGGAGGAGGAGGACGAGTATGCCAACACGTCTAGGTATCCCCACTCGGCCTACGACCGGGATTTTGAGAGCTCAGATGATGAGCAAGAGTATGAGCGCATGATTCAGGAAGAGGAGGAGCGGGAACGACTGCTCCAGATTGAAAACAAAGACGATTCTGAGGTGGACGCAGACTACTCATCAGAAGATGCGCAACAAGATGAAGGCGACCCAGACGAAATGGAGCTCGGTGTCGAATTTGAAGACATCGAAGGGCGAACTCAATACAGGAGAGGTAGGGGTAGTAACAGAGGCGCGCCAAAGACACAGGCTATACCTAGTATTCTACCCGCCAGTAACAGAGGCCGACGAGGAGCCAAACGAGGTCGAGGCTCTTCTAGAGGCCGCGGCGGGTACCATGAGTCTAGATCTACCAGAGGAAGACGACGGGGTAAACCCGGACGCGTCAAGGGTCCTAGAGGACCACGACCTGTGGCCGATCCAGGTGTAGAGTGGAAGGCTTTGCAGCAAGAGGCCAATGCCAGGTTCATCGCAAAAGACTACGAGGCTGCCCTTGAGTTTGCTCAGCGAGCTATTCAACTCAACCCAGAGATTTTCGATGCCTACAACATTGCCTCTGAAATCTACAAGGAGATGGGCCGCGAAGAGGACTCGTTGAACGTACTTGTAGCTGGTGCGCCGACTAAGCGTGATCCAGAGCTTTGGCAGTACATCATTGAACGTATCCAGAAGTTAGACCCGAACGTATATCCACAGTTTACTGATGCGAATAAGTCGGCTGCAATTCTTTCATGTTTGAATGAGATTATCCTTCTCAACAACGACTACGAAGCTCGTAGCCTCAAGCTTGAGATTGAAGCACAACTAGGACGTTCATCCAAGTGCGTGGGTCTGGGTATCAAGATGCTCAAGACGCGCAAAGAGCAGGGAGAAGACCCTGATACAAGTGTGCTCAAGATCATGGCAATGATGGGTACTAGTACTCCAAGGCAGACCAGACTCCATCTACGCAAGCTCATAACCCATTTTGAAGAGGCCATTGATGTATTTACGCAACCTGATCGGGATCCCATTAACAACGAACTGGACTGGGAGCTCATCAATATCTATCTTGATCTTTTGGATCGAGCGGGTAGTTACAGTATCGGAGTCTCGCGGCTCAGACAGCTCTCACGGTGGAAACAGTGCAGGCGTGCTGAAACATTCTGGGACGAAGTTGAAGACGACCGCGAGTTCGACGTTAGAGATGAGCCCAGGCGTGCGGCTGTGCCTGGTTTTGTACGACAAGCGCAAGATGCTACGTACGGCTCAACACTGCCGTTGGAGATCAGAGTGAAGCTGGGATTGTTTCGACTGCGCAAGAGTAGAGACGACTTCTCAGAAGCCATGGTGAGTCATGCAAATCTTAAATTCTTGCCTGTACTGACTAGACTAGCGTCACCTTGAGATGATGGAGCCAGACAACCATGGTCAGGATGCACCAATATGGGATTACGAAGATTTGTTCCGTATCATCGGCGATGCCTTTCATGCTACCGGCCACGATCAGGACGCACTACGGTTCTATGAGCCATTGTTCAACAACAACTCCAAAGAATTCACCCTGATGAGCTACATGGGCCTATACACGTGCTTCAAGAACCAAGGACTAGACGACAAGGCACAAAAGGTCATTCCCATCTTGAAGAAGTGGCCGGCAGATAACTATGATGACTTGGCTATCCTTGCCAAATTTTTCGAAGATCAGGGCATGCACCAGGAAGCTGGACAACGTGCAGAAACCATTTATCGCGACAAATACGGCCACAAGCTCAAGGCTTTGGGGTTCCAGGCATACGATGAACTCAGGGTGTACTACTACAACCAGCGGAGGCAAGCTAGGGGTAGGTACGCGGTTAGAAAGCGCGCAGCCCTGAGGAATAAGAAGAGGATGCAAAAGGCCACTGGGCAAACCGGTGACGATGATGACTCTACGAATGAGAATGGCGATGTGCAGCTCCCGGCACTCGCTGAACCTACTGAACGTCCTACGAAAGGTCTCTTTCGAACGAAGAGAACGAAGGCGCCAAAGGTTCAAGCGTTCCTTGCTGTTCGAGAAGAAGATACCGAGATGCTTGCTGAAGCCGAACCGATACTTAGTACAATCCAAGGGACTGGAATACCATATTCGGCGATCGAAAATAGGCTCTTCCGCAGGAGGATCCAGAGGCTTGCTACCGAACGTGCCGATGATCTCAAGGCTGCTCGAGCCCAACACCGAGAGATTGTGTCTAGTTTCAACCGACTGGAAGAGATATGGGAAGTTGCAGGAGATGGAGACGAAGATGCAATCAGAGAAGTCTTGTCCATCACTAGAGAGCTTATCGAAGAGTTTTCTACCTTTGATATATTCTTCTCGAACCGGAAGGAAGACCTC